CCCCCCCCCCCCCCCTCTCTCTCTCTCTCTTTATGTTGCCCCTGCTTCCGTGCTTCCCAAGACATGGGGGCGCAAGTGGGCGAGCAAGACAGAGTGGTGAGAAAGGTACGCTCGCAAGAATGGCTAGGCAAGTTCGCCTCCAGAACGACTGGCTGCACATTGGGAGAGCGCAGCAAGATTTGGCCCAAAATTTGCGCTCTGCGCTTCGCATTTCGATTGATATGCGCGAAGCTATGCGCACTTGCAACGGTAATGTGACACGTCGACGCTGACGCACGGCCACCAACTGCTCCCGAGCATTGAGAGTGTACTCTGTAGCGTACAAAAGTGGATGGAGCAAGAGCCGTACATCGAGGCCAAGTCAAGCATCGATCCAACGTCGCATTACTTTGACTGATCCAGCAAAGGTCTAGCGACGTCTCGAGGGCCCGCTTGATTGGTGGGGAAGATGAGGGACTCTGCAATCTGTACATGCGCCGGTCTATTCGCCGCCCATACGATTTCTTCCGCCACATCCTCGCTACTCAGCGGCTGCAATCCACTGTAGACCTGATCCGCTTTTTGTTGATCTCCCCTGAACCTGGTGAGGGAGAAACCTTCGGAAGCTACGAGTCCCGGTTGAATTTCCGTGATTCGAATCTGCGTGTCGACGACTTCTTTGCGCAGAGCAGAGGTAAAAGCTCGAACGGCGTACTTTGTTGCGCAGTAGATGGATCCGCCCGGATAAGCTTCTACGCCGGCTACGCTACCGATCTGAATGATGTGACCTGATCCTCGCTGTTTAAACTGATTGATGAAGAGCTGCGTCATGCCTATCAAGCCCTTGACATTCGTATCGATCATCACATTCACCTCTTCCTCCTCAATCTCTCCCACCTTTTCCACTCCCAAAACCAATCCCGCATTGTTGACCAAGATGTCCACCTTGTCCTTGGCCCACCCTGGTAGCCGAGAGGCGAGTTGGGAAATATCGTTGGATTTGGAAACGTCGAGCGTTAGACTTTGAAAGAGTCCACCGCATTTGAGACCGGACGAGTTGTGCGCTTCCACGCAGCGCGATTGGATCGTCGATAGTGCGGAAGCTCGACGGGCTGTAAGAATCACATTTGCACCTGCACGAGCTGGGCCCCATTCAATTCCGAATGGGTGGACAGGAAGTATGTCGGGAGGGGGGACAAGTGTCGCGCCCACCCGCGCACAATTCAAGCAGAGTCACGAGTTCAGAATAGAATCGGTGAATGCGCAATGCCCACATCCAACTCTTGACTGCTTTCCCCACCGCTCACCGAACAAGATGGCTGTGGCTGCTCCGATACCTCCGCTAGCTCCAGTGATGAGCACCACCTTATCCTGCAATCTAGATGGTCCAAATAGAGAAGACATGATGATCGATCTCTCTTCGCTGTTGCACCTGCTCGATCCCAAAGATTCCCGTTCGTCGGCTCGCGCGTATGAGCGTGCAGCTTGGCGAGAGTGACGATGCCGTCAAGAGGGGTGAGCTGGGGAGATTGCGAGTTCGCAACTGTCGATGGTTGCCGACCGACGCAAAAGCAAATCCCTACAATCTAAAAAAAATTCCCCCCACGAATCGTAGAGTTGCTGTCACTGTGTGAATGTGATGATGTGAGTGTGAATTTAATTCGTGATTGTGAATGTGCAAGGAGCACGACGGCAGACAAGCCTCTTTCTTGCCTGCTGTGTTCCCGCTGTCCGCCTGCACGCATTCATGATTCTCGCGCACATCACCCCAGTCAGGCTCACGTGATTCGCCATGCAGCTATATCGCGCCCAATTCTCATCTGTTGATGTGGAGGCTTAGGCTTGTTGGTGTGTATGCGCGCGGTGTGTAAGAGCTGCAGCTCAAGTCGTCATTTCTCTCGTCAATTTGGCATTTTGATTGTGATTCAGTCACAGTGATTGGCTTTCTTTGTAGCTGGGCTTGTGCTTGATGCAACACGCGCAGTACATGGCAGCGCTCGCGACTGTGTTGACGGACCGATGCAACCATGCAACGTCTCTCTGCAACATCATCTCATCCACCAAAAGTCACACCAGTCAAGCCGCGCACGCACAGCGCAACTCTTTGAGGGTTGGTGTCTCGCCATCCACGTTGATGCATGCATGCAGCTTGCGCACAAAGTTGAAAGTATAGTATACAGCGGCGTTTGCAAAGGTACCAACCAGCAGAGGAAGCAAGTTGCAATCAAGTCAAAAGTTGCAGCTGGTGTGATCGATCGAGCACAGCCAATTCGTATTTCTTGCACACAACGTACGTGCATAGATCAGTGTAGGAGTATGTCTGCTTCCTCTGCCGCTTCTACAGCAGCTGCTCGACATCCAGCAGCACATCCGCGGCGATACGAGCCAGAGCATGAGCAAGAGCCAAAGCAAGAGCAAGACGCAAGCTTTAGCTCCAATAACCTCAGCTTCAGCCCAATGTCTCACCTCTCGGCCCTTTTGCAAAACTTGACTCCACCGCGCATCCTGCTCGGACCTCATCCCAGTCTGAGATGCGCCGTCGCCTCCGGCTTGCCTGCTCGAGCGCGACTCAGAGGAGACTTGGACCAGCAACAGCAGGCTTCTGCAGTGAATGTGAATGTGAATGCAGGTGAGCCTGTTACGATCCAAGATGCAGCCGAGGCCTCAAACTTGCCGTCTCCACAGTCATCGACCATGACGACATTGTCAGCATCATCGTGGGCAGATTATGCCCTCGCAGTCGACCCGTCACGCCTGATCAACTCCTTTTCGCATCTGCTCAACACTCACACTTCAAACTCGGAGCAGAGCACCTCGCACACGTCCAAGACGAGCTGCAATGTGAAAGATGACGACACGAGTATACCTCGAGTGGTATGGTTTGGCGAACAGCATCATCAGTCTGGCGTATTAAAGGCACAAATGCAATTGTTGGACGCGCTTTGTCATTTGCCCTCCAACACTCCTGATTCGTTCGACAATCTTCAAAGCTCCCTCGACTCGAGCGAAAAGCCCCTGTGGCGAGCGTCCGATCAAAGCTCGCTCAGCACCAATGCCACCACCACCACCACCACCACGAGCAGCACCAACCCCTCTCGATCCAAAGTTTCCCTCGTCCTCGAAGCTTTCTCGCTCAAAGATCAGCCCTTGCTAGACCTTTTCCAATCTTCCCATCTGTCCATCTCCGACCTGACCCACTTCTATTCCCACTATTCCAAAGAAAATTTCGACCTCTTGCATTTTGCGCCCCTGTTGACCTTGGCCAAGGAAAGAGGAGTCAGGATTTGGGCCGGCTTTCCTCCCCGCGATTGGGCGGCATACGTGATGAAGAGGGATGGAGAAGGGGCGATTGGAGCGTTGGGACGTTGGGAGCAAGAGAGGTATGGACGCATGGTGCGGGGATTACCATCTGCATCTTCTCTTCGAGAGCTTTGCAGCAGCGACGACGTGGTCAGCGATGCGTCGTCGACGACCTTGCATGGACAACATGCAGAGCAAGATCCATCGCCCACTCTACCAGCGCAGATTTGGCAGACGTATAGCTCGCTGCGAGCTGAAGATCGACAAATTGTTCAGCCCATCGTTCCCTTTCAGCTCGATGAGAGGATGAAAGCGAGGGAAAAGGAGAATTTGTCGACCATCATCGATCAGATTTACAAGCTCTCTCACGCTCACCAGACATTTCTCAGTAGTCTTTTTCGACCTGACGAACCTCCCTCGTGGCCTTCCGACTACGTGGTCTCCAGATCGCGTGCGGAGGAAGAAATCTCTCGGTTGGGCAAGGTGGAGCAAGAAGCGTATCGATTGCGTCTGCATCAAAGTCGAGAAGATGAAGAGCAGCAACAAATGTTGGATGTGACGTTGTTGGAGCCGATGCTGCACAGGGCTTCCAAAGGATTCGGCCCTGCTCAAGCGGTCAAGGATACATTCTTGGCTGGCGTGGTGGACCAAATCTTAGGTCCTGTCGTCCTGCCTTGCTCTGCGCTGAGAAAGACGGGTACGAATGAAGCTCAAGCTAGCTGCACGAACATGAGCGAAAGGGTTCTAGTCATAGCGGGATCGGGCCATCTAGAGTATTCGTTGGGCGCTCCAGAAAGACTTAGGGATCTGAGACGCGCAAGGTATACGATTCAACAATCAGCAGCAGCAGCAAAGGAGAAGCGACCCAAAGATGCGAAGGCGATCCTCGAGGAGCGATTGTGGCTGGAGAACAAGGTGGAGAAGAGCTTGTTGATCCTTAGCAAACCCAAGGATTCGGGCGTTTGGGGTGTCGAGGTGGGATCGATGGATGAGCAGGCGAGGAAGGGCGAGATGGGCTCATCGCATGCGATGGAACACGCTGAGACCGCGAGCGCCGATGGAGAGAGGCGAGACCCGAGATTGCTCAGAAGCGCGAGTTTGACTGGCTGGGAATCGTTGGATGGATGGGAAAGACCTTTGGCTGATGCTGTCGTGCTGTACGACTGGGTCGAACATGAATAGAGAGGAGAGGGGGTGGAAGAATGAAGTTTCAAGTTTGAGGTGCTAGCGGAGTGAGACTGTGTCGCATAGTAATAGCTCCATGCTCCACCTTTGTTGTGTGCATACTTGAGGCGTGCGGAGTCGTATGTGACCCATCGAGCTCCGTCTCTACAGAAGTTGTGGCTTGGGCGCGTCGAAACCGAGAGAGATGGTCCAAGAACTGGTGATATGAATGCGCGCGAGTTCGTCTCAGACTGTCGTCATGGGGTCGGTAGAGTTAGGTTGACCCCTACGACTGACTGACGACCTCCGATTAGAGTTTGAGAGCTTTCGCAGCCAAAAGCTGGTGAACGATTGCGAGACGCCCGCTTGGAATGTGCGCACGGCAAGAATGACAGAGAAGAACATCGGCGCGGCGCACTGAGCGTTTGCAGAATTGGAGAGCCTTGATGCGACTCGCCCCCATTTTTGGCAGCGCAGCAGCTAGCAAGAGCACACGAGGACCGCGCATGGACCCAAAATGGACGATCAACGAGCGAGGTGCCGAGCGCGCGTCTTGCGCGGGCACGCTACTAGTTCCATCGCGATTGTCCTTGAAGCAGCTGGGTCTACGTATCAAGATCTGATAGCTTGAATCTCTTTCTTGGCTTCCTGAAGCATGTTGAATCCTTCGACAGTCAATTCATCCTTTCCGGTCACGGGTGCGCGTGTCGTGCTCTGTTGCGTCTGCTGAGGTTGTAGCAGGTCCGCACTTCCCGTGTCCTCCTCCTCTTCTTGCTCTCCGAAGCTTCTCAATCTAACATCCATCTCTCTCCTCTTTTCCCTTTGTCTAGCACTCTCCTTTGCAATTTCCCTCTTGGAGATCCTAATGGCCTCCATTTGAACCTTTTTGATCGTTCCCGCGCACCTCTTTACACAAACCTTCGTCTTCCTTCCCTCGATCTGCGCCATCAGGCAAGCCGAAGCGCAGACCGTTTCGCTACCCAATCTTGCGCACCTCACAATGGCTATGCCAGTTTTGAGATTGAAATACCGGCAGGCTAGCGAAGCGCCTAGCGTGCTCGAACTTAGCGAACCGAAATTATCCTCGAGCGATCGACGCAGGGAACGGATTAGACTGCCCCCGTCCAGAGAAGAGGCACCACCACTGCTGCTGCTGCCTTCTTCCAACGAGATGGAAAGCAGAAGCCAGCGATTTTTGAAGCGCACCATTCCTGCCTCTGCTGAGATCCGCGCTGGTGGCTTGTGTTGATCTTGATAGTCGACAAGAGAGGCGAGCAGGAAAGGAGCGAACGCGTTGCTCGGCTTGAAGATGATCAAGGGAAAGACTCATCAGCCTCAGCGACTACTCAAACTCACGATTCTGATCCAAATTCTTATTCACGATTAATATTCAAGATTCAAGATTACTTCGGCAAAATTAAGAATTTGAAGCTTTCATCGTTCTTGGTCACGTGTGCTATGTTACGGGGACGCAGCTAGCGCACGGACGCTCAATCTTGAATCACGAATCAAGACGACTTTGACTAAACGCTTGACTGACTGCACGGGTCCAGCAGGATGACTTTTGATTCTTCCTGCTGCTGCGCGCGCGGTCTTTGCACGGGCTGGCTGCATGCACGCTCTCCTCGTACTCACATACCAGACTGCTGACTCTGCGCTTCGCTCCAAAAGCATTCCTTCTCATCCTTCAGCATACACTCATCACTCCTAACAGCAAGCAGTGGCAGCCATCACAGGCGTAGTGACGAGGGCCTCTGTGGCAGATCGGTGAGGGCCAGTCATGCCTGCCAAATCATCATCAAAGGCAGCAGCAGCAACAGCAGATGCGCAATCTCCTTCCGTCTCCCAACGGACTCGATCCGCACGCCCATCGTCCTCGCTCAACTTTCTTCTCCTATCTCTCATATTTCACCTCATCTACTCTGCTTCCATATTTGACGTCTACTTTACCTCTCCCGTCATTCATCCAGACCGACGTTACTCTTTAGCAGACACGTACATCGACGATCAAGGCGCGTCTCTAGAGCCTTTGCATGCTGCTCAGCTAGCTCGGCAAGAGACGGCAAATCACACCGCCAAGAGGTTGGTGCTCATTGTGGGCGATGGATTACGAGCAGACACTGCTTTTGCCAGACAATCTCTCAATTTGGCTCCTCTGTGGAACAGACGAGATGCGCTGGACCTTGAGCGGGAGAAGATTTCACAAGAAGAAGCGGCGAGGTCGTATGGCTTGGAGCTGAGGCATGAATCGGCGCAGGAAGCAGAGGGATTCTATGCTGCTCCATATCTGCGCAAGATGGCTCTGGAAAAAGGCTCGTTTGGTGTGAGCCATACTAGAGTACCTACCGAGAGCAGGCCGGGACACGTCGCGCTGATCGCAGGCATGTACGAGGATGTCAGCGCCGTCACAAAGGGTTAGTCGAGCCGGCCATTTGTCCATCTCGCGACGGTCACGCTTCATAGTTGGTCATTCTCGCTAAAATCGATACACTGACCTTTCCGCATCAGGCTGGGCGCAGAACCCAATGCCCTTCGACTCGCTCTTCAATGCGTCTGCTCGTACTTATTCCTTCGGGTCACCGGACATCTTGCCCATGTTCGCCAAGGGTGCAGTACCTGGTCGCGTGCTGACAGAGTCCTACGACGAGAGCGATGAAGACTTCACGCGTGGTGCGTCCGCGTCGCTATCTTGTTCGTGTGTCGGCTCGTGCAGCGGAAACTCAAATAGCGCTCGGCAATCCTTACAGATGCAACGCACCTTGATATTTGGGTTCTGGATCGGCTCAAGGCGCTGCTCGATCGGGCACGCACCGACAGCACGCTCGATATGGAGCTCCGTCAGTCGGGCGTGGTATTCTTTCTGCACCTGCTAGGGCCAGATACGACGGGTCATACGTATCGGCCTCAATCGCGCGAATACGTCGGCAACGCGGCAGTGGTAGATGCAGTTACAAAGGCCGCTGAGCAGCTACTGTCGGACTTCTTCAATGACGATCGACAGACTGCATTCATCTTCACTGCAGATCACGGCATGAGCAGGAAGGGCAATCATGGGGATGGAGAGCCGGACAATACTAGGACGCCCTTGATCGCGTGGGGCAAAGGCATCAATCGCCCACGCCCTCTTAGTGTTGAGCATGGAGAACATCGACAACAGTTGGAGTGGCGTCATGAACAACGTATCAAAGATGCTTATTACCAGAAGTGGGGAGCTATGGATCAGATGTGGCGTCAAGATGTAGAGCAGGCCGACATCACCCCTTTGATGGTGAGTCGAACCCACACCTGGGCGTACCGAGCCCCTCGATCTGAAGAGCAGCAGCAATCTGGTCATCCTCGTTTAGGCTTCCCTGTTGGGGCTTCCGATGCCTGCAAATTCCGAGGGCCGATTGCCGCTCTCTTACTTGAATTTCTCTCCAGAGCACGCTGCGCGTGCAGCGTTAGCCAACGCGCAGGGAGTGCTCGAGATGTACAAGGTCAAGCACTGTGAGCTCAGCTGATACAGTCCTCGGCTGCGTGATTTGTCATCAAGCTAATTCCCGAGCCCATTCTTCCCTACCCAAGCTCAAAGAGCAGCGCGGATGCTCAACTACATGCCGTTTCACAAGTTGTTGCCCGAGGCTGACCTTTCTCCAGGAACGAAGCGGGTTGATCAGATCAAACTGCAAATTCGGGCTGGACGATACGAGCAAGCGATCGAAGACTCTGCAAGACTACTTGATGATGCGCTTGAAGGTGCTCGATACCTTCAGACCTACGACTGGCTAATTCTATGCGCCATCATCACTGCGGGCTACCTGGGCAGCATAGCTCACGGTCTAGCATTCCTACTCCGCACCTACGTTTTTCGCAACGATCAATTGCAACGCACCAGAGGAGGCAGGGGAGGGGTTGGGTTCTGGGTGGCTCTACCAGTGCTTATAGCGCTCTGGTCCAAGTTCGCTCTCGAGCGATCTCCTCCCACGTATTTCTTATATGCCATCTTTCCAGCCCTCTTTTGGGGTAGAGCACTGGACGATCGACATTTGTTCCTCGCTGCATTGCGCGCACTCCACGTTCGATACGCCGCATCCTCTCATCCAACTCTGAGCCTGCTGCGCGGCACGCTTGGAAGAGCATCTTTGGCCATCATTGCGCTCGCGGTCATGGCGCTAGGATACCTCGTTAGGCCTGTTTGGAGCGTCGGCTTTTTGCTTATAGGTTTCTTTTGGCCTGCTTTGGCCATCGACACGAATACGAGGGCCAGACATGAAGGTCTACTATCACTTTGGCCACTGCTTTGCACCCTTTGTGCACTCTTCACCCTCGGAGGGCTGGACAAGGAAGAGAGCGTACCTTTTCTGTGAGTCGCGACGCTGCACGCGGGTTCGATGTGAACAATCCTCCTTGCGGCATTGCTCATCACGCTTTGCTTCGTCATGTGTAGCGTCTCTAGCGGTGCGCTTTTCCTCCTGCTCGGTCTCGCGGCGCTCGGCCTCAAGCAACTCTACGGTGATGGTGCCCCGCAATCGACTTGCGAAGATAACAGCGGCCCAAAAGTGGGCTCTTGCGCAAACGTGCCGAACACTGGTGACCGGCACGAAGCTCGCTTTTCGCGCGTGATGAGGGTGCAGCTGATCGTGCTGGTCGTCGCAACGGCAGTGACGGCTTCCTCGTCTTACAGTCTTCAAAGGAAGCAAGGTCTGCCGTTACCCAACGAAATCATCGCATGGCTCGTTTTGATCTTCTCCATCACCTTTCCCCTCACGTACGGCTTTCGAAGCTCGTCCGGTACGACCGCCACAGAGGCGCAGTCGAGAGGACAGAGTGACCGAGGCAGACAACCAGCGGCGCATCGTTTGCTCATCATCGTCTTTGCCTTTGCCCCCGTCTTCATCTTGCTCTCCATTCGCGACGAGGCCCTCTTTTTCGCCATTTACGTCGCCACTTTGCTCGTTTGGGCGCGCATCGAAGGCGCGCTGCAGGAAGAACGTTTCCTGTTGCAAAGGTACAAAGATGACCTCGCTGCCGCTGATCAGGCGACTACGTCGCAGTCGTCTACATCACACACACGTTGCAGTATCGCTACGGACGAGCCGAGAGCTTTGGCCCTCGAAGATCTGCGCATCGTCATCACCTTCATCTTTTTCTTACACGTTGGCTTCTTTGGCACCGGTGAGTGATCAGGCGAGTGCATGCAGGAGGGCAGTGCGCGCGCTGCAGTCATGCTGACCTTGGAGGTGTTGCCGTGTCGCAATGCAGGAAACATTGCATCCATCTCATCCTTTTATCTATCACCGGTCTACCGGCTGGTGCCCATCTTCAGTCCCTTCCTGATGGCAGCATTGCTCTTGCTCAAAATTCTCGTCCCCTTCGTCCTCTTGGCTGCCATCTTTCACGTCCTGTGCGTCACGCCGCGCTCTGCCGTCTTGGCGCAGGAGCCCATCTCCACAAGGGGCAAGTTGGTGGAGCCCTCGACGATTCTAGGTCCTCGCTCGCCAGGTGGCTTGAGCCTTGCCGATCCATACGCCCTCGTACTGGCCGCTTCTTGCGCATTCGAAGTTTTGGCCATCACCTTCCTCTTTGCGGTGCGTACAGAAGGCTCTTGGTTAGAGATAGGAAGGAGCATCACCCACTTTGTCATGGCCAATCTGCTGCAAGTCTTTGTGCTGGCCCTAGCCGGCCTAGCTGGCGTCGTTGTGGGCGGTCAAACAAGCGACGGTACGAGCAATTCCTCCAAATCTTGACGCCTATGTCGCGTGCTAGTAATAGATATGGAGTGCCTTCCAGATGATCAGCACTCGAGGTCGGTCGTGATGGGGAGCTAGCTGCACGCTTCTCGCGCCTCTAAAGCAGAGCTCTCTTGGCAAAGGCGTGCTCGATGCGGTTCTGTGCTGCGACCACCTGCCCGATTAGAGCTTGGCAGGCTTCGAACAATGCACTAGCCTCGACGCCTACACCCGAGCAGGTAGCCGATGCAGAGACGATGAAGGGCGCAAAGGTTGGAGCCGGAGGCGTGCGAAGATGGGCTTTCAGATGCCTAATTGATAAAAGAAAAGCGAAAGAGCGGGATTTGGGAGTTTGATAAGAGCTCTCTTTCCACCTTCTTCCAACCAAGGATCCATGAATCTCGGCCAACTCACGAGACTGCCAATTTCGAGCGACGTTGCACCTCCCCAAGAACTGCGGCAAGCTCTTGCAGAATTTTGGCACACTTTCCAAGCTGCTCTCGCACCTTTGCATCGCTTCCTTTCCTGCCCAGCTTTCTCGTCTCCTTCAGTTGTGTTCTGCATTCAGCTTCAAGCTCGTTGAGTCCCCTTGCCGCACGCCTAACACCATCGATGGTTTGAAACGCCTTTGATTTCTCGTGCTGTGCTTTCGATTTGTAGATGGTTCTGTAGAGAACGTTCAACTCGCCGCTCAGCTTGTCGAACGACGGCAAATGAGCGAGATTGGTGAGATCGGGACGCGATTGCCCTGGAGCTGATAGAGCTTGCAAAGCGGCCTGAGCTTCTGCATCGCCATCTGCCGCAGCTGCCGTGGCCTGCAACCATCTTGAAATGTACTCGGTCCAACCGGCGCTGTCAAGCAGGGCGACATGGTGAGTCGTTCGTAGCATAACGTAGCATGCGCTCAGTGCAGACTTACGCAGTTGAGTTCTCTGGGACGCGTAGCGTCTCAGTAGAAGCGAATCTGCTCATGATCCATTCGCTGGCTTTTGTGCCGATGCCGCTGGGTATCCAGACTTTCCCAGGCTCTCTCTCCTTGATGATGCCGAATTTGAAAGGGCCTTGAGTGGCCGCATAACCAGCTGGAAGAGTCTCTTTGGCGCCAGGCTCTCGCATTGGGTCCTCGGACGTGTCGTAGCCTCCCATGCGAGGAAGTCGCTTTGAGTGACCAGGCAATTGAGGAAAAAAGGATGGATAGTGTTTGCTCCCTTGTACTGGGTAAGTCAAGAGAGACTGCACGAGGTACACTAGCCGCCAGAAGCAAGTTACCCCCGTATCAGCGCTCTATTCCACCGAAATCACACCTACCCACGAGGACACTCACAGACGTCAAATCCAGTATTGGTGCCTACAAATCCATCGAACTAGAGATCGACCGAGGTGCGCAGCTTGGGAGCCTTTAGCATTTCTTGTGGTCGAACGAAGCGACTTGCGCTCGTAACTCACTGGACCATGCTCGCGCATATAGTCGCCTACTAGTGAGAGGGTAGCGTCAAGACCAGCCGTGAGCTCCGAGCCACCTTCGCATCTCGGGGCAAACTGAAAGCTCCAGCATCTTTCGCAACTTTTGCCAGACTTTCTTCCCACAAGCGATTCGACTTCGTCTATGCCTCCTGATTCGTAAGCATGCTCGATGGCTCCAGAGACCGTTGAAAGATCCGCTGTGCCGAGTTCCTGAGAGGCAGCCTTGGAGCGAAGGTGATTGGGTGAGAGCGTGCAGATCAAAGAGTGCAGACCTGCTGCTCGAGCCCAGACATCGGAGGAGGAAGAGCTTGCAGGATGATCCACCAAAGCTACATGAGGCGCATCAAGAAAGTGAAATTGCCAATTGCCAGGCAAAGAATTTGTGATTTGTCCGAGTTGAGCTCGAAAAGAGGCCGCGGACTGGAGGCAAATGACGTCCTCGAGGCTATCAGTCTGGATATGATGGGCAAGCATGATTTGCCATTGGCAACTCACTTGTTCAACACCATGCAAGCACAGCACTTTGATCCACCGGCCGCTCGATGGCGCTGCCCAGTCTGACATGGCGGCGAAGAAGCTCGAAGCCGTTTCGCTTTCGTCTTGATCTCGACCCACCCCTTTGGGAAGACGGTGGGTATCAGGGCGGCGAGAGTCAGAGGCTGCTTCTCGTTCGCAGTGACGAGTGACAGCTTTTTTGACTGCTGCCACTCTCAAGTAGAGGGAGCTAGGTCGATGTGGACATGAGCCGCTGTGGTGACTGGTAATCGTGTCCAAGCCTTTCTTTGATTCGGCAAGTTCAGGTCCAGGTCCCTGTGGGGAGAAGATGTTCATAACATCTCAGAACACGTGACTAATGAGCACAGTCACGTGCCCCAATAGCTCGGCCTCCACTCAAAACTTGACTTGTTCAATAAATACTACTGCAGACGCGCTGTGGACAGCGTACACTGACGCAGCGCCTGAACGTACCCCTGCCTGCTGACAGCCCGGTCGCGCCTCATCACCGCCGATATTGCCTGCATGCTGATGCGTGCGCTCTTGCGAAACTCGGGAATTCATCGGCGGCACGCAACACACTCATGACTACACGATCACGAATTTTGAAGGGCGTGTGGCTTGATTGCGTCCGACCTGAAACCGGCTTCTGCCAGCCGAGACGCGGCCAAGGCGGGCGGGGGTCTCACCTTGGGAAGGAGGGACCCCTTACCCCCTGCCACTTACCTCTTTCTCTAATTCAATTCTGGCCTTCATTCACGATCGAGCTACGTTCATGCATGCTGGAGAGGGACAGCAAGTTGAGATCGAGAGCTGGAGCCCCTCGATCGATGCAGGATTGGTCTGGGCGATCACTCAAATCCTTGCGCACTTTGCGATGCACGAGTCGGGGCGAAGGCTAACGTGCTGCGTGATCGGATCGGTGTGACTTTTCTGACTTTGGCCGTGGCTGGTGCAAACTTGCACATCGCTCACACACTCACAACTCAAACTCACATGTACTGTACACAGTCGATGCACACGTGTTTGAGCAGCGCATCGAGGTGTGAGTGGTTTCCCTGCTTGGTCATGCAGTTCTGAGCGCCAGGGCTGACTCTCCACCTTTAGTCCCGCTACCATCCCTGTCAACCCTCTACCGAGCACGTACCTACGTTGCCACTTCCCACACCTCACATCGTTCGACCGCACTCGCACTGCAAAAGTATCTCTCAAGATGTCGCCTGTCCCAGTATCCATTCCAGACCCGGAAGCACAGGCAGCTGCTGCTCAAACCGCCGCTGCGACCGACGGCAATGCGGCAGAGGCCATCGCCGGTCAAGCTGCTGGTGGTGATCAGACATCTGCTAACGCTGCTTCTGCTACCGCCGGACTACCATCTTCCACATTGGACTTTGCTGCAAAGGTGAGTGGACACAAGCTCCGATCTGGATGGTGGGCCCGAGACGATGGATCGGCATGGCGTTTTGCAGGAGTTGATCTTGCACGACTACGCAAGCCTTCTGCAAAGCATCCATCTGCTCCTCCGTCTTTGGGAAAAAGCCAAGGGGCCCATTACTTCGATTTCAGCTCTCACACCTTTTTGCCAACCCAACCCCCTTTTTTTGATCTTTCTCTTCCGCACCGCTTCGTGACCCCAGTCTCGATTTCAGTCGGACCTTTCGCTGATCGCCGTACCCCGGGCGACTTTGCCCGCCTCTGCCGTGCTCAGATGTTCACCCTGGCGCGCGAGGGCAACACGGATCTCCTGGCCTACATCGATGCCGGTCTTCCCAGCAATCTGACCAACAATCGAGGGGACACGTTGCTCATGCTAGCCTCTTATCATGGTCATCCATCCCTCGTCCAGCAACTTTTGCAAAGGAGCGCGGATCCTAATCAGCTCAATGGAAAGGGCCAGAGCTGCGTAGCGGGTGCCGTCTTTAAAGGTCACGATCAGGTCATCAAGATCCTTGTGCAAGGTGGAGCCGATCCCCTGGCTGGTGCGCCCACTGCCGACGATACTGCCAAAATGTTTCACAAGTGGGACGGCGAAGAGGGATATCAAGCGCTGTTCGAGGCAGCTAGCGGTAGGGGCAAGGGCGCGCGGGAGGCAGCGCCCCCGGTCGAGGATCGTGAAGAGGCTCAAAGGATACCGGGCAGCGGTATAGCAGCGTAATCAACGCACGTCACCTCTCACTCGTCTCTTGTGATGCTCAATGTTTCGGATTCGTAAAGACGCGATCATCGGGCCTCTCGACGGTTGGGGCCCAAGCATGGCTTTGACCGCATCTATTTGCATTGCCAACACAGCACACTACTGTCATCTTCACTCCGTCGCAAATTCCACATTCTCGGCGTAGGAAGGCGCGGACACGATCTCTCCAGGACTTCCGGCTTTCCATTGTTGCATCCACAATTGCAGATCCGCTTTCAGCTCTTTCATCTTGAGGGGCTTCGTGTACCCTGAGTTTGATGCAGAATTCAGCATCCAAAAGGATGCATTAGTCGATCGGTCATGACTTTCTCCTGGCGCCTCTTACGTCCACTCACAGGCGTCCATGCCGCATTCCTCCAATCCGCGCTGCTTCGAGTACTCGTCGCCGAGCGCAGTCACTGCCACTATTCTCCTCTTGTGCAGCCTGAGGTCTGGATCATTCGCTTCCACATCCCTCATTTTCTTTGCCGCTTCCCAACCGTCCATGCGGGGCATGTTGATATCCAGCAAAGTGACCGCGGGCGCATGCTCTCGAAATTGCTCCACAGCTTCCATCCCATCCGCAGCGGTGCAGAATCGAATATGGGCCTGGCGGAGCATCTGTGTCAAGATGCGCAGATTGAGCGGATTGTCTTCCGCAACCAGACACATAAAAGGCTGCGTGGTGGATGTTGAAAGAATGGATCCCCTTTCTGACCTGGCTACGCCCGTGTCGTTGGGTGAGGTGGATGCGGTCGACTTGCTGTCACCCGCCGCTGCTCGAGGCGCAAGCATCGCGGGAACAGGCACCGGCGCCCTGAGCACTTCGTCCACCGTCTCAGGCGAAAAAACCAGATCCTTGGTGCGGGACGATGATGGGCTTGTATTGATCGCAGGCCTGCTCGATTGGCCTTGGCTTGACACCGCCGTCATGGCAGTAGGAGCCGCTATCTCGCAGATGCTGCGTTCGAGGGCAGCGTCTTTTCGGCCCAAATCCTCATTGGACAACCGACCTTCGCCGTGGGCTCCTATATGATCCTCCGAGATTGATCTCACCGCTTTGGCTAGTTCCAAATTCGGCTTGCTTTCCACAAGGTCAAGCAGTCTTGAAAAGCTGGAAGGTCCGAAAGGTTTTCGGGTCACAAATGTGGGCAGGATGCCCGACTTTTTGAGACATGCAAACTCGATTCCCGCCGATTCGTGCGCTTGCAGCACTCCGACTCTGATTCCGGGCTTTGCGTGGGAAAGAATCGCGTCGATGCCTCCTTCCGTGTCGTAGCAGACCTCTTCAGATCGAAGTTCCATCAGTCAGCTCAGGTCCCAAGTCTACACTTGTCTCGCAGCACTCACCCTCGGGCAACAGCAAATAGTCGCACTCTTCCAGCTGCGTCGAAGTGTACAAGTTGCCAAATGCTTTGAGAGAGGTGGCAGAGTCGTGTATCAGCTAGTCGATTCGATGAAGCTACCGACGCGGCTCGTGCACTCACTTGCAAGTTGACCCGATATCGCACCCGCAAGCCTCGTCAACCCCACTCCTTCGAAGCCATGGAGGTAGACGAGCTGTGAAGGACTCGAGGAAAGCCCTCGATTGGCCATTGGCAAGGGAAGATCCTCGACAGGGATAATGACCGCAATCACTGTGCCTCTGCCCTTATCACTAGACACCTGCATACTGCCACCCTTTGGGTCGCAGGGATTACACTCGGGCGGTCAGCCTGATGCTCGTGGCAGCTCGCGGATATCTAGCACGTACCAGATGTCTGACGATTGAGGAGCATAAAGCCATGCTGAGCCCCGCTCCGCTCTTAAATACATCCGCCTTAGCGAAGGGTTGGAACAGAGATTCTGAGATAAAGTCTGAGCACGAACCAGATGTAAGCACGAAGAGACCGCGACTTGCGTTGAGGGTACGCAACTCACCTTCTGTCATACCATCCCCATTATCCTCTACCGATATCTGAACGAACTTTTGCCCGTCCGGTCCTTCCGTATGGTATGATGACAGGCTGACTTCGACAAAACCATCGCGTCGAGTGAATCGGAGACCGTTCTGTGAATGCGATCTAAAAAATCAGGCTTTTTGGGGCCTATTGCTTTGAAGGCCTGCATACTCACAGAGATGAGCTTCGCGCACACGCGCTTGAGCGCTGAAGGCGACACTAGCGACTTCCACCCGCGCAGATTAGTATCAATCTCTGCAGCCTCAAAGATTCGTGCCAGTCAGAGCCGTGATTGCTGGAGTCAAAGTACATGCTCCACTTACGCAGAATCAGCTCCGGTGGAGGAGGCAGCCTAGCATCCACACCTTGCTCTGTCCTGATCTCATTCACCTGCGCATTCCACATATCCGTAGCCACATCATCCAACAGCTGACCCAGGTCTACCGGCTCGTCCGCCTGTGTTAAGCAAAGAATCTCGGACGTGCGCGCTGCCATTGTCTCGGTAGCGAAATCTGCAAAGTCGTCTAGGATGCCCACCACTCGTCTATGCAGGGTTGTGACCGAGTCGAATTTTGGGCCTAGCAAGCTTGCGCTGCTTGTATCCGGGACCGGAGTGGCAGACGCCTCAACATCTGCTCGTATGGATTCGATCAGCGCAAGCTGTCAAAAGTCGCGAGAGCACGGAGGCAGATTTGATGATGAGCCCAGGAATTTGGACACAAAGGAGCGGCGAGAGATGCTGCTCACCATGCCTGTGCGGAGTAGCATGCGCTTGGAGGAGTGAGCTACTACATAGTCATCGCCTTCTGGCTTGAACGCATTGATGCTCACCATGAAGTGGAGTCCTCAATTCGTGCTGCACTGTTTGTATCTGGAGGAGAACAAGATCTTCAATCAGTCTTGCTTGTGTCGGAGGCGTCCAGAGAGCCCTGCAGTAGCGTGTGGCTGACGTACCAATTCGATGAGAGCCTTGTCGACGCCTTCCTTGGGTGTATGCGGATTCGACTGCCTGCCACTCCCGTCCGAATCCGTGCCTAGGCTCGGTAAAGGCGGCCCATTGGCCATGGATGGTGGCCTTGAGCGATTGTGAATTTGGTCACCATCGACGTGGTATACAGGTTCTAACCTGTCAAGAGCCTCGCTAGAGGGTCCAGGGAGAACTTTCATCTCCTCTCCAGCTTGGGCCATCGCATCCGAAGCCAAGCGCTCTGCTAGATTGGGCCGGTCAGGTAGAACGAGGTCGGCATTGCTGGAAATGGGTATCGGGCAGCATGACCGAGGAGCGGATGGACCTGCATCGTCTAGCCGACTGGTGCTCGCTTGAGCGATTTCGGCTTTTGTGCTCATTGTTGAGTTGTATCCGTATCTGAGATGCAAAGAGGTTGGCAGTTGGCTCAATCGACAAACAAAGCCACAAGAAAGGCCGTCAGGCTCGCTCCTGCATACGCTTCAGCTCCGTCTGACCGGGGATCTTTCTGATCAGCTGGCAACAGTCACGGGCAAAGATACGCGTGCCATACCTGCTCGTGCGCTCTCGTCTTGAGCGAAGGCAGTGACCGCAAATGAAGATTGGTCGGGACTGGTATTCATGCTTCAAGATACACCTCCAAGAGATGCCCTCCTCCCTGCAGGGAACGGTGCTTGATTCTTTTTCGAAAGTCGCCGGAGGACTGCTGAAGCAGCACAAAGAGGCTGTGGTGCAGTACACCGAATGAGGGCCTAGAATCTAGGCAGTTGGGCCTAGCGTTGGCGTCTGCGTTACTACCGGCATCTCAACCTGCAGGCACAGGGAAAAAGTGCCTTTCCGACTCGGTCAGCTCAAAGTCCGAACGGAATTCGAGAGACAAAATCAAGAAGGGCCGCATTGATTTTAGCGTTGTTTTGTCGCGTCAAGTGCAGCTAGGTGACCCAGCAAGCAGCCTTCGATCGATCATGATGGATTCATGGCTTCGCAGATCGGGGTAGTGGAACCGATAGCTATACTTGACTGCACGCCTGACTCGATCGTATCGAAGATGGCGCGGGCTACCCTCAAAGGTGCTTGGACTCCAATTAAGTCTTGACTGTGAGACGATGATAAGTGAGCATGGCTCAAATTACTCTACCGCCGCTGGAATCGTGTGATGCAATTTGCGGCGCCGCGTCAGCAGTCGCAAGACGAGCGACGCAGCGTCTCACCGTATGGTTCTTCGCGCCCTTTGTTCGAGGGCGGTGTTGACAAACAGTGTGACTTACCACAGTGAAAGCCATGCTGCAAACATAGAGGTGAATCTGACTTCTGCACATGTATGACTACCACAACCCTTGCCGCGGTCTCTAGCTGACTCGACTCGAAAACTCTAATGCGGCCGTCCACGGATCAGTGAGGCCTGAACGAGCGAGCAATCTGTCAGGCTCACCATGTACGGACGGCACAGCATTGAAGTGAATTTCAACAAGTGCGCACTTCCTTCTCTGCTGTGCTTCATCGGCGCTCTGAGACGCTCTTCTTGCGCATGGCTCGTTTTCCCCACATTCACAATCACCAATCGTCGCAGCCGCTGGCTATCGCGTGCATGGGAAGGCGAACTTCTATCTTGGGAATCCCCCTTGATCACGAATCTTGGACACAACCACCCAAAACGGCGCGCATTTCGGCATTCAAGATTCACGAGATTCACGATTGCAGATGCGTAACACTCTTCTGACTCTTGACTAACCTGCTACTTGCTTGAATGACGCATCTTGCCTGATCGTTTGAAACCAATTGAGTCATCAAGTGAGTATCTTGGATCACTTCACGCGAATCTTTGAAATTTGGATCTGAAGCCTGAAAACAAGGTTTCCAGATTGATGTTCCTGATGAGCACGTGATCCAGTGCAGGCTGCTCCTATGGCGCATGCATGCGTTGGCACCTATATACGCAGGAGCGCGGCAGGAGGTCTAACCACGATGATGCTGCAAGCGGCATCTCCTGTACACCACGTTCAGCACACAGCACTCACAACTGCATACGCTCGACTTTTGACTGTATAGGCCTGCTGCTACCGCGCTGCCCATGCGCTCACGCTTTCGCCTGCAGCAGACACGCCATCACGAAAGTCGCCGCGGCGCCAACACGATGGCGCGCAGGCCATCCACTACACGCGCCAAGTCGTGAGTGCAGCTGCGTGACTATACAGCTGAGTGTGACTGCTAATAATCATAATAATAATAACAATAATAAAGACGCTTGAATTCGCAATTGGTGCGTGTGCGCGCCCTGTACGCGATACCCTGTGTCGCATTCGCATTCAGTTCTGAGTTTAGATATGCCATCTCAGTGAAACGCCTCCATACCGGTTGAAGCTGTGTCATAGACATCTACCCAGCGTCTGCACGCAACTCCACCAAAGGCGCCAAATCATCTGACACACTACTCTCACACATCTCTGCGGGCTTCGCACCACCCAGCTTCCCACCGCTGCAGCCTTCGTTCAAGTCCCAACTGTCGCCGATATAGGCAAGAGCGGCCTTGCGCAGTCACCACATTCTCTGTGACTCGTCGCTCATCTCACCTGGCGCGAATTCTTGCTGAATCATCAAGGTTGACAGCTCCACTTGCGGACGCAGGCTATCCATCGTGATGTCCATCGACTATGCCTCGACATCTGGTCGATCGATGTCCGCAGAAGCTAGCAGCTCAGAGGGAAGCCCACGAGTTGCGCGAGCGTCCCTATCAGAACGCTTGGGTGCTGCTTCGTCAAGGGACAAAAAGGCATCAAGTCGAGCAGCTTCGAACGCCGCTCGAATCAAGTCGTTCGTAGAGCTTCTGGACCCTTCAGATTTGCTGCCAGGCCACGCAGTGGCAGACTCGTACAGCCTGCGACACTTGTGCCTGCAACCGGGGGGTATACCTACATCTTCTACTCACAGATCAAGCTCTTCGCGGCGCTTTGGACAGTCCGCCTCGCCTCAGTCAGCCGGACTAGGTTGGCTACGCTCTTGCGCGTGGAGTGTTCTCTTGGGGCTGCTGCCGCCCGAAAAGTCGCAATGGAGGTCGACGTTGAATCAACGCCGGTCTGAGTACTATGTGAGTGTGCATGGCTAGAGTTCGCGCCGCCGTCTGAGCGCTGAAGGAATATCCATCTTTCAATGCTCCGCATTGCGTCATAAAGTCGTTCGTGTCGACCCTAGCGTGTCCAGAGGCTTCCCCGGGCTCGGGGCCTTCACCTCACCGCGACGCGCTGTTGGATCAGATCTACCGGGATCTCTCTCGCTCCCGCCGCAACGTATTCGCGTTTTATCACGCACCAGTCGCTGCTTCGCGCGGCTGTCCACTTGCCCCGCTTCCATCAGAGGAGTTGAATAAGCACACCGAGCCACGCGCAAGACGTAAGAGAGCCACTCCTAGAGTCGAAAATAGACACGCCCTCCTCTTCAGACTGGCTCACATCAATTCAGACTTTGCCGATTATTTGCACGAGGAGAGGGATGAGAGGACACCAGCGAACTCGCTTCTCGCGGCGCCGCGGAGCAGTGATCGACACAAACAAGGCAGCTTGACAGCGTCTGCATCGCTTGACGCGGACGGCTTGGCACCGGACTCGACGGCAAATAGAAGCCCGCCGATTGTACTACTACCCCCGTCTCCTGAAACCCGGCGCGGTCATACGCCTGAAGCCGACAGCAGTGACGCGTTGCTCCCAAGCGATATTGCTCAGGACTTTGCAAAGCAAGACGACCAGCATTCTGCCGGTGCAAGTCCGCAGCAGCTTACGGATGAGTCCGTTCGCTCTCTTCAGGACCGGCGCTGGCATTCCTTACTCCGCATTCTCTTTGTCTATGCGCTTCTGAACCCATCCACAGGCTACGTGCAAGGAATGGGCGAGATTGCCTTTGTGCTGGCATACGTCATGGGAACATCCGAAGCATGGCCCTTTTCGCCCTCGCATAATGAAGACGAGGCGGAGAACGGTGAAGCAGAGGACGTTGATGAAGCCTACGTGGACCGTGATGACGATCCGCCAGGCGCGCACGCAGAGGCAGATGCCTTTTGGCTATTCTCCAGGCTTGTGGGAGAGCTGCGCGAGCTTTACGAGTTCGACGGCATCGATCACCACGCAGCAAGCCTGCATGTCAGAAATGGCTCGGGGCGAGCACTTCCGTCTTTGCCAAAGCAGGAGTCGCAGCAAGGCGGCATGGCTAAGGCCCTAGAACGCACAAGCGTGCGCCTCCGTTGGCTCGATGACGGTCTTTGGGCGGCTTTAGTGAGTCAATGCATGTATGGCACGCTGCTTCAACCAACGCAGGGCTGAAATTTGCCCTTTCGTTTCAAGGCACAGCAAGGCCTGGATCCGCAGCTGCCGTACTACTCGTTCCGCTGGCTAGCGTGTCTGTTGAGCACTGAGCTGGCCTTGCCATCAGTGCTGCAGCTCTGGGATCTCATTCTGGCAGAATCAGGAAGCGCCACGCAAGATTCGCACGCATTAGGGCCAAAGGTCGAGATACTCATCGACATGTGCTGCGCGCTGCTCATCAGCCTGCGGGGACCACTCCTCGGCGCCGCTGAGCCGCATGAGGGGGACGGGGACGAGTCAGACGCTTTCAGTCGATGCATGAGTATATTGCAGGATTTGGAACACGTCGACATTGGACCCGTCGCCGAGCTCGCATGCGTGTTCAGGCAGCGCAGACTTGCGGCGCCTCTGACTGGGGATGCGCCTCCCGAGTGTCATCAAGAAGCAACGCTTCCTTCGACTCCGGCATCGGTGCGAGACAGAGCAACACAGGCTCTGCGAGGTTGGACTGGTCCCGGCGGGCCGAAGTGGCTCTCGTCAGCAACTGCGCGCTCCGTTTCCGGCGGGTCGACCTTCTCAACACCTAATCGAGCCGACGAGACATCAGTTGAAGCATCCTCGACGAACAGTCCCAGGGCTACATTTGCAAAGTACGCAGAAGCATTTCAAAGTAGCGATGCTGCTGCGAACCTTTCGAAAGCCAGCACGAACTGGACCGCAAGAGCTATGGCGTCCTGGGGTGCAAATGGCTCACAGAGTCGCAGCCGCGAATCTTCGCCGCTGTTACCAACGGATGGATCTCCCCGTCCAGGTTCGGCAGCCAAGTTAACGCTCGCGGGCCTGTTCAGTCGTCAGCGTTCCGATAGCAGCGGCACTGCTGCATCTGGACCTTCCGATTCAACCCACCCGGCGCTGCGGTGGTCGCGAGAGATGCCAAATCTACCGCTGCCAAATGTGCTGGACAGTCCGCCGGAAAGGCAGGAGTACGGGTGGGCTTCTCGCCCTCAGCTGCCAGCGTCTTTGGCGAGCCCAAATCTGAACGAAAGCCCAAATACGGCCCCCACTGCGGGACGCTTCTCGCCCATAAGTACCCAGTCGCCCGGCAGCGTGCGAGGAGGCAGCTCGGTACGAGGGGCTGGGCCCAAGCCTCTACTACTCACTGGCTCTGCCAGACCTCCGCGGGAGAGCAGCGGCTCCCACCACGAACATTTTGCAGAGCCTAGCCGCAAGATTTCTAGCGGTCCCATGGCCGCCAGGAATGGCTCTGAGCGTGGCAGTGTGCGTGGCTTGCCCGCAGGCAGCAGGCGCGACAGTAGCATTGCGAGCTCCATTGCAGGAAGCTCTGGGTGGAGCTCACGCCCACAGTCCGAATTTGGTGATCCGCCCCAATCTGGCCATAGTTCGGCCACCCCTGGGACTGGCAACACCCCGACTTTGCCAAGTATGGCGGCAGCCACGCGTCTAGCAGACAAGCTGCCGCCCATCGGCACCACACCTGGCCCGGCCCTTGGCCTTGCCGGATCGGCGAACGGCAAGCTGACGGCGGCCGCTTTCAACAGGGCTAGACGAGGCTCGACGGGAGATGGCAGCGATCGGACGAGCGCGTATAGTGCTGAAGGTACGGCTGTCGGGACGGATGACCTTCCGCCTGCATCCTCTACTGGATTCATCGCCGAAGAGCATCATGTAAGCCCGGCGCCTATTGCAAGCAGCTCAGAGACACCACTGGTCGCAGCATCGTCTCTCATGAGGCCACGCGGAACTGGCGGTGCGAAGGCGAAGGGCAGCAATGGGTCCGTCTCTTCCTTCGGGCCCAGTCATGTGTCAAGCGACAGCATGGAGCAATTCAGTAGACGCGAGTCAAATCGGAGCAGCACGTCTACGACGAGCCCACAGCGCCGCTCGCTAGCCTTAACGGAGTCCGAAGCATCTCGCCCAGATTCTCAAGGCGCATTGTCAAAGGCTTCCTCGGACTCTTCGTCGCACGACTCTCTGGCACAGCGACGCGGCAGCGCGATTAGCGCCGACCGCGTCACCAGCAGGCAAAACAGCGAGTCTTTGCTCGAAGAGCAATCGTTCGAAGACCAAGAATTGGAACAGGATCGTATCGGATTGCAGAGGTTCGAGCTGACGGATGAGCCAATACGCTTGCCCGAGCTGCAACGCGAGGGTAGCGAACGTAGCATCAATCGCTCGAACGGTATCCAAAGATCCACTGTTCGATCAAAGCGAGCTTACTCGACTGTGAAGAAGCGCCAGAGCGGAGCAGACGATGCAGAAGCCGGATGGAACGGCGAGTCCCGCAAGCCTACTGCAGGACTCAGGCGCAGCTCGGCAGCTCGTTCTTCCAAGCTCCAAATTGCGCCTGCTGAGGATGATACCGTGATAAGAGCGCCTTCTCCAGGTCCGAGCGCCGGTCAAACGATGGACATTGACGAGCTCGTGATGGAGCTCTCGGGAGAGAATGATGCCACACTTCGAGGAGACGAATGGTCGGTGCGCGAGGGTCGAGAGCCGAGCCGAGCACCGGGATTACAGACGGACGGCACAAGGGGCATAGGAATCGACATGGGAGAAAGCATCGGCCACGATTTGGCGACTCCCCGCTTTGACGCCTTGCGACGACTTGCTCCCGACGATATGCCGCAAGACGAGTACGACGAAGATTGGGAGACTTATGACGCTGCGGGAGCCGGGTTTGAAAGCGCGGGCGCTGCCCAGGGTGATTTGATGGCATCGATTGGAAACGCCATGCTAGCCCCTGCTGCCACCTCTCAAGCGATCTAATGTATCCTACTATTGCTCACTCAACTGTCACTGACACCACATGTAGCGAACAAGTCATCCATATTGACTGCAAGACTGCGAGCGCCGAACTCTGTGGTTGAAGGGGGGGCTCGACATGTTGAAAAGCGCGCCCATTGGGCGTTGTGGACAAAGATCATGTGGGAATGCCTATGACGCGCTAGGCATACTAGTACTGTGGTGAGACAAGGCACGAAAAGTAAGGTATGGGAAGATGAGGTAGGGAGGCAACGCGGCAAGACGTGGATGAGGAGAAAAGGATGTTGCAGCGAGTACTGGAGAGGTCAAACAGGCGGAGAAGTGGTTGAGGTGCGTGCTTTGGCAAGCAAAGAGGCAATGGCCACCTGCGCGGGGCTAGGGCTAGGCAAAGCGGGCTCCAATGCCGAAGCTGGCTCTCTGTAAGGTGTAGCTTGGGCAGAGTCCCAGCCATAGTCGGAAAGGTTTGGCGTGGTGGCAGTCGTTGCTAGAGATCGCCATGGATCGACATTGCTTTCCGGCAAGTTCAAAGCCGTAGCAGCAGTCTGTGCGCGTTCCGCATTGCTGCCAAGTCTCTTGTGCAAAGTTTGAAAAAAGCCAGTGCTGGCTTGCGTGGTGCGCGATGCGCTTGTGGTTGCGCTGTTGGTCATACGTTTGGCGTGATCCAAGACCGAAAGCATCATGTTCTGGCTAGAGCCGCTCGAGGGTCGTCCGTACTGCTTTGGTCTCACGAGGGAAGGCCGCTTGTCGGATGGGGCCAGCGCAGGCATTAGCGTCGAAGCTTGCTGTTCGTCCTCAGCAGGGACGCTGTTCATCTCGCGACGCAAAGTCTCAGCGGTTGCGCCTTCGGCACTGCGGACGACTCCGAAGATGTTCGCTGACTTGATGCACATATGACTTCGCGCGGTGTGCACGCGCGACGGAGAGCGCGGATCTTCGCCTGAGGAGCGGGTCTGGGCTGTTAAAAAGCTGCTTGCAGAAGAGTTACGTTGGCTAAAAATCAATGCGGGTCGCGGCGGCGTAGAGGATTGTGGAACGCTCTCGCATCGACTCTGAGCGTCGCTTGTTGGCGACCCTATCACATCTGTCGGCCAATAGTCGAGAAATGTTTTGCCACCCAACTGAGACACGAAGGTGCCGTCGCACTGAGAGCTAGCATTCTGGGGTGTTGCTGCCTCTGAGATACCATTGCCATTGCTTTGAAAGGAGAGAGTCACATCCGCTTCATGTCTTGCGCGCTCTCTCACATGGCTTGACGCCTCGCGACGATGCTCCTGGGGCGACCGTATCATACCTAGCTGTCTGTCCACTCTTTTGGTAGGAACACGTCCACTCCAATCTTGCGCTGCCTCGGCTTCGTGGCCAAATGGAGTCAAGGCGTCTAAAGACGTCACGAATGCTTGAAGAGGAGCACGGCGAGTACAAGTGCTCTCAGGAATATCTTTTGAGCCAGTGATTCCGCCCGCAATGCGTTTGGAAGATCGGGTTCCAGATACGGTGTGACGCCTGAGTTGAAAGCTTCGCTGAGCATAAGAATCGACATTGAGAGCCTCATTGAGATGTAGACCTAATCCAATTGCGCTCGTCTCGTCGCGCTTGGACTGATGACACTTCTGATGCCAAGTTTGTTGGTACCCAAGCTCTGGAGACTGTGGTTCCGAGCTCATGAGCGCTGGCGACTGTTGGGTCGACGGCGAAGGAAGGCCGTAGTCAGGGGCCAAGTAAACGTCGAGATTAGGGCTTCCAAACTCGTTTCTTGCAGCAGCCCTACACCCATCAGTTGGCGTATGCTGACCGTCGAACAGATTACCACTACCGCCCCACACAGCGCCAAACACCGCCCCGTAATGTGCTCCGAAGCTCGTTGCGGTCGAAGTTGGCAAGCTTGCTTGAGACATCGGGACCAGTATAGGCTCCAGCGAGCCTTGCGTCCTAGGCGCTCTACGAAGCGCTGGCCCTTTTGGTGCTGCTCCTTGACGAGCTGTACCGTACAGCGAGAAGGACTCGTCGCATCGGTCTTGCGACGAGACAGAGGACCACGAATACTGATGCTTTGCGCGGGATCGCGTCTCGGTCGAGCCAGATGCTTGGCCAAGGGTGGGAGGAGGAGGTCGCAGAAACGAGCTTGGCCGAGGCGGAAGAATGGAGAACCGTGCCGGTGTAGACCGCACAGCCGAAGTACAGAAAGCGCTGGACGTGGGCCTGTCAGCGAAGACCGCTCCATCCATGGACGAGCTATGGACTGCTGGCTCAGACACTGCGCTGTAAGCATCAGAAGCAGCGCCACTGGCGTCGACCGAGTCATTTGAATCGGAATGCGCAGACATTGTTCTGTCGCCGAGTTGCTGATGTGAAGACCGTGGCAATCCAGCCGGGCCCTTGTAGGGCGCACCTGTTTGGGTGTCAAGAGAAGGCCACAAGGATGTGCGATGTATGCGATAATTCTCCGCAACATCAAGGGCCATTTCGTCGCCCCCAAGCAAGCTTGGCCAAGGCAAGGCGTTTTGATCGGGCGTAAGAGGCAGCCCAACGGTGACAGTTGATGTGGAGCTGCTTCCTTCGTTACTCGAGAAGCAGTTTGGTCTCTCGGATAGCATTCGCGGCATGTGCTGAAGACGCTCCGGGCGTGAAGATATTTGCGAGGGTCTCGGCGAGTCGGTTCGCTGGACGGCCGGGCCCAAGAACTGACTCATGGTGCTGACGCTCGTCAGGCTTGGGTCCAGAGTGACGAGAGTGTCGCCTATGTTGTCCCAACCATACCACGAAGGCGCCTGACTGGCAGGCCCGGTAGCAGCTGTCGTGGGGACCATCTTTCCTGCTCGGACCGGTGCGTGGGATGTGCGTGACCAAGTAGGAGACGCTTGCGAGGCGGTGATGTGCGGACTTCGCTCGAGGTCCGATGGGTGCGCGTAGATCCTGCGCAAGCAATTATGTCGCCGGTACCGTCTCAAAGAAGAGTTGATCGACCTGACAGATGAGCTGCCATCGTAGAATTCACCGGCTGATGATTGCTCGGGCTCGGAGTCTCGGGAGCAGTACTCGTCCGCATCTGAGCCACCAGGTGCAGATGGACCCCACCGGCGCAGGTGAATAATGGAGCTCGACCTTTCATGGCCGGCACTAGAACGCCCTCGTTCTCTCGATGGCGCTGGAGTCTTGCCAGGCTGCTCCGTGCGGTGCTTGAGCCGGATGAAGTCTTCGAAAAGCCTCTGCGGCAGACTGAACAGAGAAGACGTGTGCGATTGGTCAGCTGTCTTTCAAAGCACTGTGGACTTAAGCACACTTTACCCACGCTGCAAAATGGCTACCGAACTCTTGGGCTAAGCTACGGACATCGACCGCAACGCTGCAGGGACAGATCAAGGGTCAGCATCGACGTGGCCGGCGCACAAAATGAGAGCAACTCACCAACCCTCGAGAGTTGCAAAGAGCTGGGACGGAGGCACGGCAACTCTTTCGCTTGACCTATGGCGTAGCATATGATCAAGTTCAGGCATGAACCTCGATTGCATACGGGATGTGGGCGATGTCAGACACCAGTGTTGAGCTGCCAATTCCATGAAATCCTCTTCTCTGCGCTCTCCGTCCGTGGCATCTGGTATGACAGACGCCCGGTCGGCGCTTCCCTCCAGCTCCAACAAGACCCATAGAACAGCATCGTAGGTCGCCTGATGGATCAAGTGATGCACATCGAGGTAAATGTTCGAGGGGTACCTCAAAAGCAGCTGTGACCAGGTCATGGAAAGGCGCTGCTTATCGGACGGTACCGTTCGCAATGGGCTTGAGGTGTAGAGGACGTCGGGCGATATTTGGCTCTGATTCAACTCGTCCTCGCCAAGCGAAGACCCTAGTCCAAGGGTGAAGTCTGTCATGTTGGCAACGTCGCGCAACTGCCTCGTATCTTTGACAGGGAGAGCGCTCGCTGATAGAACCGAGAGGCGATATACAGCAGGCTTTGGAAGATCGTCGTTGGCTTGGCAAACAGACAAGGCTGGACAACTTTGCTCGTTAGCGTTGCTTGATCAGTGCTCAAGCCGACAGGACTGTGTGAGCGGCACGAGGTTGACTTGATGTATGATGATGGATCCCTGGGGCTGCTAGGCAAGAAGATGCCGTCGAAAGTGAAGAGTAATGGAGAGGCGGGGTGTCGAAAGTTGCACGTCGTTGGAAGTGTGGTGACCACAAATCAGAGAATCGAGCGAGCCAGGCAGATTGTGGTGTGATGCGCGAGACCCTGATGCTAGCAACGAGTGCAAAGAGGTGGTGGAGGAATGAAGGCGTCACTGGTGACTGCTTTGAACATCAACCCACTGTTGTTGAGCTAGCCTGAGCCCATCGTAGTCGTAGTCGCGAGTGTGAAGGCGGTAGACGCTGTCAGGCAGGCATCCTGTGATTCAAGGCCTAGCAAGATCAGCAGAGCAACGTTACGCATGCCTATGTGGTCTCACTCGACCCAGCAATGTCCGCTAGTGTCGACTACAATTCTTGCAAGGTGATGATTGTGTGCTTTGTATATAGCGGCGCGGCGAGCCAGTCGGAAGAGCAAGAATCGAGCGAGCGAGCTGGTTTTCGTTGAACGCCGCATGTGGCAACATTAGTGCTCAGACCCGCATACAGTCACCCTGTTGCTGATGTTTAGCTGGATCGCATCACCTCTGATACCTGAGCGATTCCTGAGTTTCGTGATCTGGACAATGCTACTACTACTACTACTCTGGCGAAGGCGAAGGACAAGGCGCGCTTGATCAAACGACGAAAGCGATCCCGATCGGGCCTCATCGTTGACAGCCCCGACAACCATTCAAAGAATGAAGCCGCCCCGGCCAAAGGTTGACTCAGCAAGGTTTTGGCGCAGCTGACTTCGAGAGCAAGCGTCGATGATGGGCCGCAATCAAGTTGACTACGCCATTTCGCCCATTTTTGCTCTTCTGCAGGGCGTCATGTACGCGCTAGCAGCAGGGCCGTTGACCGTTGCAACGGTCCGTAAGGGGCTCGTCATGTCACATGCTTCAGTGGTACATCTTCGTCGCCGGAAGCGGTTGGAAGCTCAGCGAGGTGTTGATAAGGATTGCACGCATTGACCCATTGTGATCAGTTTCATCAACGCTTCGAGCGGTCCAAATAAAGGAGCGATGCCGCGTCGCTGATGGATGATCCGAAGGAGAGAGCGTTCAGAGTAGCGCGGTCGCGGTACGGCGCCAGGTGCCTGCACGAGGTTCTGTCGAGCTCGTCGTGATCAATCCTCGGCGGGCCCAGTAGCCACAGTCTGATGGCAAAGCAGTTGCTTGAAGGCCAGCTGGTCGGAGACAGAATGAAGGCAACTCACTAGCAAAGATGAATCACGCAGACGAATTTCGATGCTCGCCTTAGACCAACTCACTTGACTCTGACTGACTCATTGACTCTCTCTAGCGTGGGATGCGTCGTTCCGATCGGCGGGATTCGCCGCATGCGTCGTGTCCCTGGTCGAGGCGTCGGAACGCGCAAGTCTTGAGTCACCGACGAGAATCTCAACATAACACGTGACTTGTGCCGAGAACTTTCTTGACAGGAGCAGCTGAGTTGACGGCTACCACACGCCGAGGGGCTCGCGGCGGTGCAGCGCATGAGCACGCTCGCGTACACTCAGACTGGCAGCGCCTCGGGTTGCGTGTATCGGCGCGACGCTTACACCTCCAGGCAACTTGTGTGGTCCACACTCACCACTCTGCACGGCTTTACCACCTCGCAACTGGAATTGTGCTTCTCACAGCAACCAGACGCCAAAGAGGGACCGCCAAAAATTCGTCTACGCACGTAGCTTCCGCCCATTGGACCTGCCAAACGCGACGGGTAAGCGATCCGGATCTTAAACACCCCGACCAGGTCAGCTGTGGTCCTCTGGCAAGGAGAACGCAATGTTCCGTAATCGTAACAAGGGAAGAGGGAATGGAGAGAGACCAGGTCCGGCCGCGAACGATGCCAACAGCGATGCTGGTACCACGAAGGAAAAGAAACCTTTTGCTCAGAGGAAACCTGCCAGTAAGTACGATCGCCAGTAGTCCGATACAGGGTGGGTTGGGAAGGATGTATTGCGCTAGGAGTAGAGTGTACCACAAAGCTCCTGCAGCGCAAATGGCCACTCCGCCAATTTGTTATCAAGCAGGATGGTGGCCGGGTGGTGCATATCGCACTTTGCACTTTCTCTGGTGATCTTGGTGGGTTCAGAGGAGGGCGTAGTTGGCGGCGGGCCAAACGCACTGAGAACGCACACCAAGCTTGGGGGGAGATGATGCAAGCGAGAGCATACAGTGCCATGATCCTTCGCCACCTCTGCAGCTCCTCCAGCGAATGTGGAATGGACTTCGTGCTTGGATGGTCGAGGGCCGGGCCCCTCCCTACCTTTGATTTGTGCAGAACTCTTTTACCAGGCAATCGTCTGACCTCTCTATATGCACATCCTTCTCTACTACAGACACCGCCTTTAGACAACAGCGTCTCAAGGCTTGGCAGCCCATTCTGACACCAAAGACGGTGCTGCCTACCTTCTTCCTCGTTGGCTTGATCTTCGCGCCTATCGGCGCTGTGCTGTACTACTATGCCAACAAGGTATGCTCAGGTCACGGTTTGCCACTGCAGTCTTCACAGGCTCACACGGCTGGGAAATTGTTGCACAACAGGTCAGCGAGTTCACAATTGACTACACAAACTGCCAAAACGCTGGTGCAGACTGGGTCGAGATTCCAACAGACAAGTATGACTATCAGCTGGCGGTGCGTGTCGAGGCGCAAGATCTGAGCAGGCATATGATGGGGTGCTGATGCTTCTCGATTTGCAGGGCAAGAACAGCTCAAATTGGTCCAACCCTCAATGGCGTTTCGCACCTGCGCCCACCGCGCCGAACGGCAGTCATTGCGAAATTCAATTCTCGGTGCCAGAGGATCTGCAGCCTTCAGTTTTCTTGTACTACAAGCTGACCAACTACTACCAGAACCATCGTCGGTATGTCAAGAGCATCGATACGGAGCAACTTCTGGGCGATGTCCGATCGCCAAGTGATCTTTCCAGCGGCAATTGCAAACCTTTGGGCGCAGAAGGTGGTCGGGGTATCTATCCCTGTGGACTCATCGCGAACAGCGTCTTCAATGGTTCGTATGCTAAATCGCCACGGAAGCTCGTGCGCATGCTAATTCGATCTTCCGCACTCATCTTTGCAGACACATTCAGCCAGCCACAGCTGCTCAACCCAGGAGGAACAGACAGCAACTCGACATATGCAATGACCGATCGGGGCATCGTTTGGCCTGGGGAGAAGAACAAGTACAAGCGCACCAAGAACGATCCCAGCACACTCGTACCGCCTCCGTTCTGGCGAGGCACTTTCAACAACTCACAAGGCCTTGCATACAATTATCCGAATGGATACACGGCCGAGAATCTCTTTGATCCTAGCGAGGACGAGCATTTCATGGTAAGTGGTGTGTGGGAGTAGCATCGAGACGCGAAGCTTTTTCTTAGCTTGATAGCATTGATCTTGGCACCTTGTAGGTCTGGATGCGCACTGCTGGTCTGCCGACGTTCCGCAAGCTATACTACAGGAACGACAATGATGTAATGCTCTCGGGTCGTTACTTGATCACCGTCAATGACAGTGAGTGCAGCGTGCTGGATCTCATCTTCCTTGGCGCGAATGAGCTCACCTCTTTCGCCCTCGGAAGACTACCCTGTCGCCATGTTCCACGGCACCAAGTCGATCGTTTTCAGTACCGTCACGTGGGTGGGAGGACGTAATCTCTTCCTTGGAGCGGCTTATATCGCCGTCGCGGCCCTCTGCGTCCTGCTCGGACTCATCTTTACCGCAAGACACCTCATTCGCCCCAGAAAGCTCGGAGATCTCAGTCTGCTCAGCTGGAACGACAATTGATTAGGCTAGCATACCGCTCTGGTAAACCGTCCGGAGGTGTCTGGTAAATCGCCCCTTCCACGTGGCTGTATTTCCTTTCTTGTGTTTACTTCTCCCGACTTTGCTCGATCACACGTTTGACTGCCCTCCCGCGCTTGTGTGTTCGGTCCGCCATTGCCATTCTTCTTCCTTTGAGCCAAGTAATGCGAATGTACTCTGCACGGAATATGGGCGACTTGATCGAAAGGCTCTCCCTTGATTATGCTTTAGCGCTTTGGGCGAAACACAATGCGCGGTGCGCATGGGCTTTAGTAGGTGGCTGGATTTACCTTTGGATGTGCGCAATGCGATGAGGAACAGAGTCAAGCGGGTGCTTTTTGTGGGTTTGGTTCGTCCAGGCGTATACTTCAATCATCTGCAAGCCTCTTGAAAGTAAGGTTTTGAGCTAGGATGAAGCATGAGCAAGTTAAGATGCGAGTCTTGAGTTGCAGACCTTTGAGAGCCGTGCAAGTGAAGCGTGACGGTGGAGTGTCAAGTAAAGAATGGGCCCGAAGTGCGCGCTGAAGTCGGCCCCACCTCCCCAACCCCCTTTCAATTGTCGTGCGTCGTGTGCAGTAGACGTGAATAGTGATTGTGAGCACGAGCAGCAGTGAACTCACATACGACTCGAGATCTGTCGATGCGAGATTGGTGAGTCAAGAGTGCTGCATGCCTGCCTGCCTGCCTGCCTGCTGGCCATCGTGATGGCTGTATGCTGCATGCTGCATGCTGCCCTGGCTGCGTTCCTCCTCATCAATCTGGTCGGTCCGATCACGCATCGCAGCTATCGCTGTGCGCGGTCCAACGGCTGCCGGCGAACCGACCGGCCGATACCCAAAGTTTCGATTCACGATGGGTGATGGAGCCAAGTTCCGAACAAGATGCGGGGTTGATGCGGAGGCGGAGGCGGATCTCGTAAGACGCAGCAGGAGAACCCTGCGTTTGTTTGCAGTCCACCAAGTGAGGCTTCTTGATTGAGTTTGAGACCTGTATCTAGCTTCTCATCCATCACACGTCCACGCCCAGGCCCATTACCTCTAACTTGGCCCAATCAGTATCAGACCTTGTTCACAGCGATCTCGTGCCTCGTCAGAGCATTCCAAACACGTCAACATGTCGGCAGCTCAACAAGTCCGAGCCAACATTACGATGTACTACGACATTGTATCTCCTTGGAGCGTCATAGCCTTCAAAGTGTTGCAGAGGTACCATCAAAAGTGGGATTTCGAGTTGCGCTTTCAGCCCATCAGTTTGGGAAAGGTGATGCAGGTGAGCAGCATGCGAAGACGAACGATGTTGACCTTGACTGCAGCTGGGGCAGAAGGATTGATGCATCGCTTCTGATGCGGTTTTGTGAGAGCAGATATCTGGGAACAAGCCTCCCATCACGGTCAACAACAAGGGCAAATGGATGTTTCAAGAGATTGAAAGGGTTCCAGCTTTCTACGGCGGTGAGTACTAGTTCTTGACAGCGACAGCGCTGCAAGAACCGCAGGCATCGCGACCATGCACAGACCACAGATTGAACGAATCGTGAATCAAACCCTCTTTGGATGCAACTTCCCTTCCTTTCCCCCCAACAAGTGAACCTGAACAAACCCCAAGGATTCCCAATGAATACTCAATTGGCCCAATCTTTCCTGCGCGAGCTTCGCGATCGTTCTTCTGCCGATCACGATGCGTACGCCTGGACATTGATGGACGCATCGTGGATTTCCAGCAAGCCCGTGGTCAAAGCAGAGGATATTCTAGAAGCTGTCAAACACGTCGGTCTGATTCCTCAGGCGGAACTGGAAGAAATTTTGAAAAAAGCGCAAACGAAAGAGGCAAAGGACAAGTTGAACGAGGAGAGCAAACGATTGGTGGAGGATCAGGGCGCTTTTGGAATGCCGTGAGTGGACACTGCGAAGGATGAGAAGAGCCCATATAGCCCTTGAAGGAAACACATCGACTTGTTGCTGACCCCAATCTTTCTACAGGTGGTTCATCGTCAAGCGGGCGTCGGACGGAAAGACGGCGAGTTTCTTCGGTAGTGATAGGTTCGAACAGATCGCAGCGTTCATGGGCGAAGTGAGTCTTTTCAAAAGGAGAACAAGCTCCTTTGAGTTGGTTCGCGTAGCTGAATGTAGTGAAACTCCTCTTTGAAGGAGTACAAAGGTCCATTCGCAGATGGCAGACGGGCACGCCTTTGATGCATGGCTGTTCAAGCGCGTGTATATGCTACATTTGACAGAGGAGGCTACTGTCCTTGCATGCAATAAAATTTACCAAGATAAGGTGCGGGCTTGGTGCCAGCAGACGGAATGTGTGTCCTGATGGAAAAGGCCTGTCGATTGATCGATCAAGGGATCATTGCAGCATTCGGATGTCCGCGCTGCTAACTTTCCCATCCGTGACCAGTTCCTGAACGACCTTTCCAGTGCCAACTGCGATACGCATGGTGGTCATTGCACGAATGAGCATTCTTGTTGCATGCAGGCTTTCAATCGCAGACTTACCGCCTAGCGTGATGCCCCAGCATGAATGGCCCGCCGCAACGTAGATTCCGCTCTTGGCATCACCAGTGATAACGGGTGATCCAGTCCCTTCACTGATTGGCAAGTAACAAGCTTGCTCGGCTTTGACTTTGGCGCCCTTGTCGACGTTGAGAACGTCTGGCGAGAGGACGGCTGCTTGTTCGATCAACTTCGCTGTTGCTTTGAGATCTGGAATGACATCTGATTCGTTCTCTGGCAAAATCACGTCGTCTGAACCTGCAGAATATCAGAACAAAAGCGTCAGCGTAATGCCGGCGAGGGGAGGTGATGGAACACATATACGCACCGCCGCATATGTACACCGTACCATCCTCGCGAGCATACACTTCCGGCGCAGCCGCTTTGTTACCGTACCGCATGTCGGTAAAAAGGCAGTGAGCGGTCGTGGGCCTCGAACCTTGAATGACCACGCTGTGTGCTCGACTGCCACCAATCTTCTTTGCTTTTCTGAGCAGAGACGGCAAGCCAGCTTCAGAATTGGAGAATAGCGATGACGCTAGTGCGCCTGTCCAAGGTCTGTGTAGTGGAATCAGGCCGCCAGGATTGCTCAGCGCTGAGCTCTCGCAACCTCTTTGTCAGAATGACACTTACCCAGCCGCGATGATCAAATCTGTGCTCTCGGCACTCTCTTCGCTTCCGTCTGCGTTTCGCACCTTGATCTGCTTCACCCTTCCACTGGCAGCATCAAGCTCTGCTGCAACAACTCGAGTTGCCTTGTGTATGCTTACGCCAGACACCTTCAGGGCTTCGCTGGCCAAATGTTGTACCAAAGGTCTGGGAGTCACCTGAGCTGTCGTGCCATTGCCACCCATCTTCGAGGAAGAAGAGACATGCTTTCCGTCTACCCAGTCCAGACTAGCCGGGCCCTTTGACCGCGACTTCGTCGAATCAAATTTCACAGAGAGGGTCTAGCGAGTAGCACGCAGCATGCAAGGGGTCAGTCAGATGGGTGGAAAGGATACGGCAGACAAGCGTAGAGAAAGACTCACCTCAACCTCTCGATAGCCCCATTTTTCTCTTCCGCTAAATTCGTCAGCAAGCTCTTTATGCAGTCTGAAACTGAGCTCTGCTAGGTCGGCAGTTGCGGCACCATGCCAATCTAAAGCCAAAAAGCCTCCACTCTTGCCGCTCGCTGCAGGTGCTACATCTTGACCTGCTTCGTACAGATTCAAGGTACTGCCTGCTGGCAGATGAGACAAAGCGCGAGAGAGATAGTAGAGCGAAGTGACACCGATGATGCCTCCCCCTACAATGCTGATGTGACGTGCCGGAGCTGTCATGATGTTGAGATGTGGGTGAGGAAGGTATATGGTAGATGTGTATGTGGACCTGGCGATGATGCTGTTACCCTGACCGGTGCAAGCCATATGTACGCTCTTCTGCTCACTCCGCACATCCTCCACCCGTCTAGCTACCCAGCCAAAGTCGAATCACGTGAGTCCACGCCGTACGTGCTTCTGAAGAGGTCAGAAGCAGCACAGCAGCACGCTGATCAGATGGCAAAAGGGGGGTCACGAGTGCAGCAATGAGCGCCAAGATATGCTGTGTATGCAACGCCCTGCGGACTTGTTGCCTGCTTCGCCCTAGCTTCTCTGTGCAGATAGGGTGCATGTTGATTTGACCTTTTCATTCTGACGTCTATTGACGTCTATATAGCGCCGGCACTTACCGATGTGATCCGCTGCATGCTGCTAGCTTGCATGAAGGGCGAAAAGGGAGTCCCTGTTCGCAGCTCAATTTTGAATCTTGAATGCCGAAGGGAGAGTGACGACAAGGTCCGGCAAAGACAGATCTTGGTCAAGACGTAAAGACGCAGGATGATATGACGAATCGCGCTTGTGGTTGAAGAGGACTCTGATCGATTGTCAATTCGGGATCGAGGCGCAGGGCGAGATGAAGACAGCAGCAAAGGTCATTAAGAGGCGCGGAATTCGGTAGGATTTTCTTAGCCAATTACAACTACGCGGCTAGAGAGCCCAATCGTGAATAGCGAATCTTTCAATTTCGGTCAAACTAACCCTTCATTTTGATTGAGATGGTCCCTTGATTGTAATTTGAAAAGTGGCGCACGCAAGCGCGTTTGCCTAGCTGCCCGCGGTCGGCCGGGTCGGATGCATGGCCGAGGACAAAGCCTCGTGACTTTTTTTCGCAGATGCTACTCTTGACTCTGCCGTGCTTTGGCTCTCTATGCTTGCACCTGACAGCTCTGCTCTGGTCTAGTGTCTCTGATATCCATCACAAAATCTACCCTCATCCGTGATTCTTGATTGGAGTGCCGGTGTCCGGTATCCTGACGCCGGCGTAGACTCTCTCGCAGACCCCTTACACACAATCACTGGCCTCCCAGCAGTCACGGCTACGCGCACATCCCTTTCTCGGCTGCGTCTGCGCCAACTCTCCGTTTATGCTTGACGCGACTCACCAGCGCTTCTTCGCCTGAATATACAGGCCACCACGCACCTCTTCATCCACCTCACAATTCCCTGATTGCAGTTTCGATTGGCGCCACCCGTCTTGTCGAGATCTCCACTCAGCGACGCGGCGGCATCATGGATGAGCGATCTGAGGTTGAGGGCACAGAGCACTTGTCCGAAGGCTCGACGCAGGGGCAGGCTGACGCGGCTAGTGCAAGCCAAAGCTTGTCGGAAGCAATCGAGGGTCGCAGTGAAGACCAAGTTGGCAAGGAGAGCGACAAATATAGCGCAGACAATGAGCAGCAGGAGCACGATGGTGCTCCGTCTCGCTCTACTTCGACAGCCGCACCAGCAAGGCTTTCGAGACCCGTCTCGCTGATTTACCCGTCCCCCACCTTTGCATACGGATTCAACTCCTCCTCCCGCGACTCAGTGCCCCACTCCACTTCACCAAACGGAAACGCTCACAGTCCCGATGGCAGCTCGAGACCTTCCAAGCATCATCACGCCCGCTCCAAGTCCGTCAGTCTGAGTCCTGTCATTGGGCCAGCTGTGTTTGGACTGGGATCTACTGGCCATTACGGAGGTAGTTCAGGAAACAACATGGTCCGCGAAGGCAATCTTTCACCCAACGGATTTGGCGCAAGCGCGAGTATGAGGAGGACGCCCTCTCCGCTATCTGGAAGTGCGAGCCAAAGTGCCAGAGCCTCGGGCGAGTCGAAGAGATCACCAGTGTGGGGATCGCAGCCTAGTCAAGTCGCAGAGTCGTCTTCTGCTTCAGCTTCCGATTTTGCGAGGGGTAGCAACTCGACCAGTACATCAAACGCGGAGCGTGGGTTGAGGATGTATCTAGGCGAGGCAGATAAGTCTGCGAAACACACCGCTGGCGAAGGAGTATCTCCGGCAGGGCGGGGTCAGGCTCAAAGCTTGGCTCACGGAAGATCACAGTCACCAGCGAGAGGTTCATCAACAATGTCTCCCCGTCTGCAGTCTATGGGCACAGCTGTCGGTGGCAGAGCACAAGCATCGACATCGACCGCCGGGGCCAGCGCTGATGCCGTTTTGAGCAAAAAGGGCTCTCTCGAGGATTTGAGAAGCAGTCCGGTGCTCCAAAATCTGCGCTCTACGACGCCGATCCCTCGCGCGGCTTCACCGCGTCTCGGCGCTCCACCAGCATCTGCTCCCGCCGCAGCTTCGCCAATTCTCGCCGCTCGATCCTCGAACGCGTTGTCCGATCCCTCAGCGGTGGACGCACACACTTTCGACTCGATGTGGCCAAGTTCTTCGAGAACCCAGGCAGACCCTGCTTTAAGCGCCGCGATAGATGGAATCGCAATCCCCGGAATGGAGCCTAGATCCAGAAGTCGTCGTATTAGTGGCTCGACGAGCTCTTTGCGGCAGAGCAGCTCCGGTCCAGCGTCGAGTCCCGCAGTCAGCCCAACTCAACCTGCTTCACCGCTGCGGAGAAGCATGTCACGCTCCCCGTCGGGAAGACACGAGCTTCGAGGTTCAGCGTCTTCGCCGCTTCTGGGACTATCGAGGCGATCTCCATCGCCAGCTCTTGCTTCGTCTCCTGGTCCCTCCACGGGCGCCCATGATATCAACCATCAAGGGCTCGCGCATCCACCTACGCTCTCCTTTGGCAGGCACATCAGGTCCAATTCGGGATCCTCGGGCGGTCACCTCGCATTAGCGTCGAGCCCAACACAAGCGTTCAGCATTCCTGCAGATGGCCGTGTACATCGAAGTAGCTCAAGTCCCAGCTTTGGATCGACACCTCCAGTGCCTTTCGCATTGAATGGCTTAGCTACTCCTCCTAGTCCGCCACCTCCACTTACCTCATCTAGACCTGGTCAAAGAACCGCACTAGAAGCGCTTGCGAGTCATGCGCACTTGAGGAGATCCAGCTCCGGGTCTTCAAAGGGCGCTGCAGATGGCCTGGGAGACAGCAGCGATGGGCGCTCACACGCGGCGACAGACCGGCTCGCCATGCTGCGATCGGCGAGTGCGGATGAAGCATCCGTAAATGCCGCATCCGTGCCAGGCGAAGTGAGACATCGCTCTGCCTCTCCCGCCGGCATTTTGGGTCGAAGCAATGGGACGGCCGCTGGTGACGAGGGGGGCGCGCCGATGTTGAGGAGATTCTCTTCAGATCAACTTCACGGATTCAACAGAGAAACGAGTGGGGCAAGCTTGACCTCGCCCTTCGTACCTCACGCCCCCTTACCGCTTCGCGCAAGATCTCCTGGGATCAGTCTCAGTATGCCCTCGGGACATCACAGCCCCTTCACGCCATCTTCCCCTCTCTCATCACCTTTCCATGCGCCATTGCCCTCCCGGACACCACCTCCGCACCTCGATGCAGGGCTAAGCGAAAGCCCGCCGAAGGTGCGGTCCTTCATTGGTATGCCACCTCGATCGGGCTACGATCTTTCCGACGATCCCGACGACGTCGGATCGGAAGATGGAAGTACGGGCAGCAGCAGGGCCGGGAGCATACACGAGGCAGACACCGATAACGAGAGCGAAGGAGAGGGCGAGGGTGAGGGGAACGACGACACAGGGAGTGAGCAAAGCACCGACAAACGCGGAGCAGATCAGGATCTCAACGACGCTGCAGGACGTGATGTAATTGGAGACTCGCAAAACGGTGGCTCTGATGGTATTTCAGGGGCTGATGCACCGCCTCTGGGCAGTGCAGCTCGACCTCATTTGCCCAAGCGTCCGAGCTTGACAAGGGCTGCAATTGTTCCGCCAATTGCTGCGCATGCAGGACTTGCGGCGCACCATCAGGTTCCGATGGAAGACACTCATACGTCCACTGCTGCAAACGGCTTTCCGGCCGATGGATCAGCCGGGGCACTCGGATTCTTCAACGATGACAATACTGGCAACATGCCCGGCAATCACTCACACTTGGGTCTCCAGTGGTCACCGGGTCCTGTACTCGCTGGTCAATCAGCAGCCTCTGGCGGAGGACCAATGCCCTCACCTTTTGGTCCGACAGCGCTTGGACCCGAAGGACCAGGCGCAATCATCGATGCCGTGGATCCCAGCCTCATCGTCGGTGGTTCATCGCAACAGTTGGGCAACGAATCTCAAGATCAGGATGTGGATATGGGTACGAGCGCATCAACTGCGAACCCAGAACAGAATATCATAGAAGAGAGTCTGAGCACCCTCGAGCGTCTGTTCTTGTTTGCTAAGAGCGAAATGACGTTTCACCGGTAAGTCGACTGCTTCGTTGCTAGAGCGCACTACACCTGTGGAGCTGAAGTTGACTTATCCGCATCTTTTTCGGGCCAACAGAGTGCTCGTTGCCCGATCGCTTGCAGACTGGATTTTTGAGATCGATCTCAGCGATGCGGTCGAGTATGTCATCCCTCTACTGAACGGCCTTGGCACCGACGGTGAGTGACACATGGATGTTCACCGTGGCGCCCATCCTGCTCTCTTGCTCAGTGCCCTGTTCGTGGATCTCTTGACATTCTGATCCTCAGAGCTCGAGGTGTGCACTGTGTTCACTCCAGAGCTGCACCGATTGATGTGGTTCTTCTTTCGAAACTGCCCTCTCGTGCAGAACGCCAAGGCGGACGCTGAGCAGAAAGACCAAGTGCCGGCTGGGGCCACAGATGCAGACAACGACGAGGAAATAGCCGATAGACCAAAGCTCTCTGTGGAAGCTTTCACGCCGCTGCTGTGTGCCCTGTTGCTCAATTCCAACACCTCAGTAGCCGGAGCCGCGCAGCTCTCCTTAGTGCAGCTCTTTGCGCGCCTCGATCACGTCGCGTTGCGAGGTCCTGCAGGTGACACGGTGGAGAACCTCTCCGTTTCGAATGAGTGGAGCCAGGATTCTGCACTTGTGCCCGACGCATCGGGGCGCGAAGGCGAAAGAGTCCCTCTGCGCGCGTACGATTTCGACTCGCAAGCGCGGCAGATGGTGAAAGCGGAATTGTTGGAGAATGTCGCCTTTGCAATCGGCAAGCTCAATGCACAAGACTCGACGCTGAGGACTGGCGACCAATCGACACATGCGCAAGGCGTCAGCCCCTCTGAGAAGTCTAGCACTCCCAAAATGAGGGACTCTAAACGATTGAACGGCGAGTACGTCGATCTTGAGAAGACGCTTTCGGTTGGTGATGCCGTCTCGCGAGACTCGGACGAATTAGCACCAGAGGTCCCTTCGTTTGAGATGGATGTTGAAGCCGATGAGGATTTGCAGGACAGCACGTCTGGCGATGGGTCGCGCGGCAACACTGATGAAACGACTTTCCAGCGGAGCTCGCCAGCCTTGAGCGCTTCCGATAACCCCGATAGAGAGGAAGAAGCTGCTGTTGGGCGAATGGCGTCTGTCAGTCTACTGGCTGCACTTTCTGCGGAAGGACTGCTGGACGTCGAAACGCTCGAAACTCGCGTCGTGCCCGAGGTCGTTCGACTACAAAGCGATGGAGCGTTCTTTGTCAGGAAGGAAGTCGCAATCGCTGTTGGTTCCTTGGCGAAGCACGTGAATTCTTCAGTGGTGGTCAAAAGTCTACTGCCAGCGTTTGAGCGCTTTGTTCAAGACGACATTTGGCACGTTCGGCAAGCAGTATGTTTGTCGATCCCTGCCATCTTCACCCATTTGGACGCAGAGACGAAACGTAATCGCCTTCTGAACGCGCTCGGGATCTTCACGCAGGACGTCTCGCGGAACGTACGCTCTGTAGCATTTGAAATCATTGGTGAAGCCATCTACCTGTTCCACAAGGATCCGCTTGGCGTGCCTGAGCCTCTTATCAGGCACTTTCTGGGCGAACCTTTCGAGGAAGCGCAAAGTGCGGATCATCAACCCATCGATCCATTCAGCATGGAGACGGATCAATCCGGGTATCCCTCAGCCGACTTGGGCAAAGTGCAGGCGGAAGAAACGCAGCAAGACAACTGGTCGGATGATGACATGATGAACGGCTATAGCTCCGAACGTTGGCTGGAGGAGATGATTGGAGGTCCTAGCGGAGCCGCAAAAGCCGTTGATGCCGCGAGACAACACGTCATGGCCTACAACTTTCCTGCTGTCGTCTTGACACTGGGACAAGAGCGTTGGCCAAAGCTACGCTCTGCTCATCGAGATCTGTTCTTGGCATCCGGTACTAGCCAAGCGCAGTGTAGCCTCGCTGCATCCCTGCACGAGATTGCTAAAGTTATTGGGCCTGAAGCAGCCAGCGAGGATCTGGTCGAACTTTTTGAGTACTCCATGTGGACTACAGAAGCCGATGTTGAGCTCAAGAGCGCCGCAGTAGAGCATATGGACGAATTTCTGCAGGCCTTGCCAACAGAGGCTGCCCAAAAGCAGCTGACCATGCTGACCGCACTCTGGTCCTCGCATTTCGAACGCGATTGGAGGCTCAGGGAAAGGCTGGCGCAGCATATATCAGCCCTGGCTAGGCACCATTTACTGGACGACGAAAGCGGCGACTTGGTCACGCTCATGCAGCTAGCACTCAGTGATCCCGTCAGCGCAGTACGAGACGCTGCAGTCTTATCCGTAAGTTACTCGCAATGCCCGTTGTAGAGCCGGCGCAAGTACTGAATTTGGCTGTTTCCTCCAGGTTCCGACACTGTATACCACTTTTGCGGAGCATGATCAAACAGTCGCGGATGGCTTCTTGGCCATTGTCGCAGATATGGGCATGGCCGACCGGTATCGCAAGAGGTTGGCGTGCGTCCTCGCCATGCACGCGCTCTTTGGCGCTGGCATCGAGAGGTCGTCTGTCGAGCTCTCGCTCATCGAACGAATGGTCGAGCTGGCTCGTGACACTGTTGTGGATGTGCGAATTGCACTCTCTAGAGCAGTGGCTCTTGCATGCAAGCGAGGTGGGTCCAAAGTCCGCGTCGTTGTTCTAAGTGCTCGACTGATCGCACAGCTGCTTCCACCAGATGAGCTGTACGCCTCGCCACAGTCACGATCGCCGGCCGTCAATGAAGTTTTGGCACTCTTATATCGAGACGCAAGCGCCGAAGTGCGAGAGCCGATGCACGACTTGCTGGATGAAGAGCAGGCGCAAGCATTGCCAGAAGTCCAACCCGTTCAGGTCCACGCTCGGCGAGATCTGACATTGGGTCCTGCCGATGGAGGTCCGCATTGTCCGCCACGATACACAAGCTGGGAAAGCAGCTCGCCAGACGCCCTCGCTTCCCAACCGTCGCCCCAGCAAGGAATAGCGATCGCAGATTTTCCCATGATCGACGCTGCCCGAGATCCTGACGACAGTGCTGATCCGGATGTCAGCATGTTCGACGATGGTGCAGACGACGACAATGATGAAGAGGAGCAGAGCACGTCCGCGATCAGTCAGGGCGAAAGCGCTCACGACTTGTTGGACGCTCCTCACCATCTTCTCAACGTGTCTGGACCCGATTCGCCCGAGCGACGCCGCATTCAGCTGAAAGACGACGGACCTGAAGAAGAAGACGTGCAGCGGCAAGGGCAACGGGACGGCTGGCTGACTTCGCCTGAGCGAATGCAGCCAAATGGAGGCACAGCGACTCAGGGCGGCAGCATTCAGAGCGCTGACCCTTTTCTGTCATATGTAGCCGACCGTCACCAAGGTGGTACGCACGAGGAGGACGCCAGTCGAGACGACGACACTCAGGGAGGCAGCGCGTCGGAGCAGCGCGACGAGGACGCTTCTGTGTCCGGCACCAGCTAATCAAACCCAGATGGCAACGGACGCAGCTTGCTTGACGTGCGAATCGTACTGCATTCTTTCAGCAATATGTTGACCTTGCAATACGCCAAGAAGCTGGGCTCCATCACCATAGCACCTCGTACAAGACCGAGGCTTGGAACCGGAAATGCGCATTCCACACTACGCCCTCTCACTGCTCATCGTTGCCCTGTCGACCGGCTTTCATTTCTCTGTCGGTATGGTACACTGGTTCACGAGCATATCAGCTGCACAGACCACGCCGGCGAGTCGGCTAGTCGACCTACGTGGGCGCGAGGCCATAGCGAGCCGGTCGCTGAGCCGTAGGGAGTCCACATTCGCGTTGTACCTTAGCATTCACCTCTGCCTGATTCCTGCATTCACCGATCCGCATGCACACAATCTACCTGTAGTAACATTCCTCTCACGCTCCTTGTGGTGCTTTGCGCGCGCGCTGACTTGGATCGCTCTCACATCATCATCACGACAGGCGCGTCAGATGGGCAAGGTGGGTGACGAATGTATTTCGGATACAGATGATGAGCTTGAAATGTCGGTAAAGGGAGGGCGCAGCCAGAGTCGTGGCCGTGTGTCAGCGAACCGGTGAGGGCAAGGCAAACGCTTTTGAGGTGGTGAATCGTGACTGTACGTGATCAATGAAGGCAAGGCGACGAGGCTTTTTGCAACACAGCAGAATAGATTTGCGCACGGATTTTGCCGCACTCTTACTGCTTTTGTCTAACAAATGCCTTTGCAATCGTTCCGTCCCCAAGCGTGATTTCCGTGCTGACCAATTCGTAACGACCCAGCTTTGGAAAGAGGACGGCCCAGGCGAACCAGTAGATTGCGCCTCCTGCAAAGATGCCCAGACTGACAGCGGGTGCAAGGGCGTACCAAGTGTGTTCGTAGACTGCATCCTCGGGCCTCTTGGGAGGGAGCCAAGGCACAATGACCAAAAAGGTGCTGATGAGAAAGAAGAACAGGGTGATGGGCAGTGTGGCCTTGTAAGGCGAAGTCCAATCTTGAGCCCACACAGGCTTGTATTGACGAGGGATGGGCAGGTAGGTGATGAGCAGTGCTAGACCCACTGCCGCGTTGACCACATTGAGGGGGTAGGAGGAGAGGTTGAGCACAAAGTTGTACGCATCTCCTGCCGGTGGGGCGAGCAGGATGACGAGCGTGACGATACCGTGCCACGTCAGACCTGCAAGAGGAGCCTTGAAGGGCCAGTTGGTCGCAAAGACGCGAGCAAATGGAATGATGCCCTCTCTTCCCACAGCTTGGTTCAAACGGCCTTGTGCGAAGATGACTGTGGGTTTACACAATCAAAGGGCGGGCGGACGAAGCGTTGTGAGCGCACGAACAAAGCAACGTCAACTGATCTCATACATCGACTCACCTGAATAGACATTCGCGGTAGCACTGAGAGCGACAAAGACGGAGAGCGCTCTGGCTGAGCGCTCACCAAAGACGTTTCTGAAGAAGAGTGCAGCGACAATTTGCTCTGATTCGAGCACGTCTTGCTTGGGAACGGCTGCGTAGTAGGCGACCTGAACGAGGACATACAACACGGTGATGACACCGATAGCCAAGGGTCCGGCAATTTTGAGGGTTCTGGCAGGATTCTTGATTTCTCCTGCCGCATACATCGCATTGGAGTAGCCGACGTAGCTCCACAGAGCATTGTAGAGGGCAGAAGAAATGCCGAAAACGTCGTTTCGAGTACCTTCAAAAGCGTTGGCAAAGTTGTTCTCCACTGGCACTTTGGTGTGACCGGCCAATGCTGCGAATCCAGCAAAGGCGATGACGAGCAAAATGACGAGCTTGAAGCTTCCTATGGCATTTTGGAAGCGCAAGCCCCACTTGATGCTGGTGCCGTGAAGCAAGACGGCAGTGACGATGACGGCGACTCCGATACCACGAGCATCGTAGCCGTTAGAGGTGCTGCCTCCAGCGCGTAGAAAGTATCGACCTGCCGTCAGGGCATTGCCGGCTGCTTGACCCAACAAGAGCGCCTGAGCGCTGTACATGGTAAGAATCAGGTACTTGGGCTTGCGGTACGCGTGTTGCAGGTAATTCAATTCTCCTCCATTCTTTGGCAGAGCGGTTGCCCACTCAGCATAGACTGCGAAACCTGCGGCAGCAACAATGGCTCCGATCACCCAGTACCTGGTGGACAGAGGAGAGGGGGGGGCGCGAATCAGTCTCGGGCAATGTTGGCCCGTCACGTGCCCTCGCTGGCACTCACAGCAGACTCATACCGACACTGCCGCTCTGTGCGAGCAGCGTGCTCGTAGTGGCAAAGACACCAGTACCGACGATGCGGTTGACGATCAAGAAGACGGCGCTGATGAGGCCCAATTGTCTGCCCTGGGGCAGATCCGTATCCACCGAGCTGGTCTCGGCATCTTCGGGATCCGCGTGACTCCTTTTAAACTTGTGCGTCAAAAAGTCCAGCGGTCCATGAGAGACTTCGACAGAGTCGTGCACGTGGGTAATGCCTGGGCCTGAAATGTCCTTATCGTCCGACTTGGAGGAATGGGAGGCGATGGATGCGCGCGAGGCATCGTTGCCGTAAGCCGGTGCAGCCATTTTGGGTGGTGGGATGCGGCCAGCTGATGAGAGATAGGAATGAGAGGGAAGAGGTGGAAGAGGAGGGGGAAGGATTGCTACTGCTGGTGTATTTGAAAGGATCCATCCGCTCCAAGATCGGGCAAACGCGCTCATTTTGTACTTGAAGCGGATCTCTGACATCCACGCAAGCGGGCGCTAAGGTTGAGCGTGCATACTCACGATTGCGCTGGCTGCTGCGTGACTGAACATGCTGCCGCTACGGTACACTGCGTATGTCGGTCCGCCATTCCCACCTCGTTTGCCTTCCTGCGATCAACTTTTGCTTGTGCGCAATGACTGCTGCTGCTGCTGCTGCTGCTCTGAGCACGCAAGATTACTCGCCATTGCTCATTACGACGCGCAAAGGCGTTGATTCGATTCGCATCGTCGTGATCCTTCACGATTGTTCCTGCTGTGGCGTGCGACCAAGAGCTGTCGCTGTCGGGTGCCCGCCTGGCTCACTCGGACTGTTCGCCGAAATATGTTCACAGGGCTTGGTCGGTCCTAGGAACAGCTGCAGCTATAGCTAGCTATGCACAGCTGCGAGCTTTCGCTGAGCCCGAGCTCGAATTGCGCCGTGCCGTGTGCTGGATACACCTGCGTCTGTCATCGGCCTCACACTCACAGCAGCAATTAAGCACCGTTCGCATGTATGGCCGAATAGGTAGAGTCGCTTGCGCCATCTCAATTAAGCCACACTCGACAGAAGTGTTTGCCCAGAAAGAGCACGAGGAGCATCAGCTCTGTTTTTGTTCGTAACCGACGCAGGACGGCAAGCCAGGAGTCTGAGTTGAACAATGACAATGCCGCAACTGCGGCCGCGGGAGCTTTTCAGCGCAAGGCGAAAAGGGTCGGGTCAAGGAGTAGGAATTGAGCCTTGCAAAGTTTTATTCAGGCGGGCCAAGCACCGCGCCGCGCGGGCGCGCATTCATACCAAAATACGCATTTACTTTTGAGTGCCATGGATCAATCACGAATGGAAGAGCACTCTGCAGGCAAGAGCAGTCGAATCTGGTGTGAGCACGTCATTCGGCCAAGAAGAACGTGATAGGGTTTTGCATTCATGCCATGCATATCATCAGCCATCCTATTCACGATTGCTGCTGCACGGCCGCGTTTGCCCGGCCGGCATCAGGCGGGGGCCGCGGACACCGCGCCGATCAAGCGCCGCGGCGCTCAGCTAGACGCCTTCAGCAGCAGCAGCAGCAGCACATATCATGCACGGATCGGAAATATCGCGCTTGCCCCGCGCAGAAGGACATCCATCACCCGCTATCATACCATCCTACCCTAAGGCTTTCTCCTCAGCACGGGCTATTCAGATTGTGATTCGTTTGTATGCGCAGTAGCAGGCAGCATCATGAATCCGCTTTCGTACCCTCAACATTCGTGATTGCGAGCAAGCGTATCCGCGTCTATACATACGCACAATTAAGCTCGTCGTGATCGCCCGGTCGGGCCGCACAAAAGCAAAAGTCAAAAAAAAATAAAAAAAAAATAAAAAAAGGTGCAAGCTAGTCGATGTAAAAAAAAGAGTCACAGTGGCTGCTTACGCCATCCGCGTACGTGCTTCCTTTCGCATTCTGATTGGCTTCACTGCATTTGCTCCTGCTGGTTTGCTTGGCGTCTACGATGCTTCAGCTGGCGCTTCTTGGCATCCGCGCCTCTCGTCCAGCCTTCATCCATAGACAGTAGGCAGGAGGCCGACTTGTGCATGGTCATCGGCATCCAGGCTCGCCGTGCACGCGCTGCTTTCCTGCAACGATGAGGCAGCGTCGTTCAGTGCTTCAATGCTCAAAGGCGGCGTCTCTACCCTTTACCTTACAGGAAACAGTCACACTACAAGTCTAAATCACGACGCGGCACACCAGAGCTGAGGAGATATCAATGTATTGCGCAGTGATGCAGGACATGTCGAGCCCAGCTCAACTCTTGCTCAGGACCGGTGAACCAGCTCGTAAAGTACATGGTGGATCAAACAGGCTCCTCTGCTCAACGGAGCAGGGATTCCCTGCGACGTTCAGCGAAGCAAGGGCAAGTATCCTTGGTGCCCTTTGCTGATGAGCTGGATGAAGGCGTGTCATCGTCGTCGGAAGGTGTGGCAAGAACAAGGCGTTGCGTAGCATCGCTCGTCGAAGCGGCGACGTCGTTACCTACGGCACTAGCAGCGTCGGTGCTGGTAGCATCTTCTCCGTCGACAACAGAGGCAGGGTCAGACTGTGCAGTCGCACTGTCTACGGCGTCAGGATTCCCGTCGACGTCGCTGTCAATGTCGCTGTCGGGAGATTCGCCCATGTTGGCAGCGCGGTCGTTGCCAGTAGCAGCGTCAGCCACGCTGTCCGCATCGGTGTCGGTAGGAGTCGATGCAGCAGGGAGGTCGTCTTGCTGGGCATCGGTCACACCCTCAGGCAGATCATCGGCGTCGTCCGCGTCCGTGACATCGGCAGATCCATCCTGAGCAACTGGGCTCTTGTTGGTGGGCTTTGCAGCAAGCTCCTTCGCCTCGGCACCAGCGGGCACGAAGGTCAGGCTGACCTTTGCGGGTCCATTGCTGGGCTTGGTTCCGTTGGTGGGTGCAGTCGTGGACGTGGGCATCGCGGGGGGAACAGAGCTCGAGTCCGTAGAGCTGGCAGCTGGAGTTGCGGGAGCTGATGCATTGGTGGCGCTAGTGGCGATCGGTGCTTCGTCGTTGTCACGTTCAGCAGCGAGGACGCGGAAGAAGGATGAGGGCGACCTTTTTGCGGCAGATGCGGTGGGCGCAGGTGCTGCGCTGGACGAGGCGACCGATGCGCTGCTGCTCACAATGGATGCCGATTCTGTGCTGCTCGAAGAGGTGCTGAGCGGCGCAGCGGACGTCGACATCGACTCGGTGACGTTGTTTGGCGTTGCGGCGTAGATGGGCGTAAGCGCGCCGGTTGAAGCTGTGTAGGAAAAGCCTGCAAGGGGGAAATGTATCGATCAGCAATCATGATCCGCGCGGTAACGACAAAATTGTGGTTGATGACTCACGTTGGCTAGAGTCGCTCTGGCTGGCGGCTGGGTTCTTCTCCGAAGGATCTTCTCCACATGGAGTGAGCTCGAGAGAAGATGGAGGCTTCTTGGCGAAGGTAGCACAGTAGAGAACGGGCTCGCCTTGGTCATCGACAATAGGCAGCGCAACGCGAACGACCGTGGTGTCGTTCTCGAATCCGCTTGGCTTCGTGGCGGGTTGAGAGCCGGGCGCATCTCGAGCAGAGACGGTAGCATTGGCAGCAGGAGTAGATGCAGTTGAGTTGACGTCGGCAGCCATCAACCAAACTTGCGTCCTTTCATTCTTGGATGCCATCAGGCTATAGTTGTACAGAGAATTTGCTTTGCCGTCCTGGACCATGCGTTGAGCGCTATTGGCAGCAGCGGGCTCGGCGTGGAGGACGAGGCCCCCAAGCTTCTTCAAGACGCCATCATTGCCAAACAGAAGCTGGGCCGATAGGAAAGCAACGCGGTCAGGCTCAGATTTCCAGATGATCAGAAAGGTAGAATGGACTCACATCAGAGATGGTGACAAAGCCAGGGATCGCGTTGAGCGGAGCAAGCAGAGGCTTGACGAGGTCGCCGACGAGGCCACGCTCAGCGACATCCTCTTCAAGAGCACGAGGGTGGTAACGGAACGGTCGGCTGGTGCGACTCGAGGGCGAACGAGCCTGGAGATTCACCTTGCGGAGGGGCTTGAGAGTGCCCTTGACGGAGAGAAGGTCGCGGTCAGGTGAGAACCCAGCTTTCGTGGGCTTCTTCGCCCTGTCGTTGTCAGCGCTTCTCTTGTGCTCGTGGATGTGCTCATGAACGTGGCTGTGACCGTGAGAGTGCTCGTGACCGTGAAAGTGCTCGTGGTCGTGGTGGTGATCGTGATCACGGCGTTTGTGCTCGTGAACGTGCTCATGGATGTGCTCATGATCGTGACTGTGACCGTGGTAGTGACGATGGTCGTGGTCGTACCCGTGGTGATCATAGTAGTGCTCCGAGTGACGAGCTTGCAGGCCATCGGCAGAGCTCGATGGAAGTGCCACTTCACCATCCCGACCTATGAGGACACGAATGAGATCGCCGTCGTGCTCGTGCATTTGACCATGTCGGTAGCCGCCTACTTGAAGAAGAGGACCATTGCGAGCAAAGAGGTCATCTTCCGCTTCACGTCGCGCCAATCCATGGTGGATCGCCCAGTGCTGGATGGCGATGGAGTAGCCAGCGTCAGTTCCCTGTAGTCTAGGATGTAGCTCACGAACTTGAGCGCACCTTGGAGTGGTGAGCCTTCTCATCAGCATCTCGGTCGTGGCGATGGCCGTGGTGGTGCTGTGGAGGAACAGCAGGTGTTGGTGGTTAGCAAGGGCTGCAAAGACCTCTCTAGACAAGGCAACTACTTACACCGTGTCCGTGCTCGTGCTGAGGTACGACCAGCAAGTTCGATGGGACGAAAGAGGCACGTAAGCCAGCGCACATGGATCGAGAAAGACTGATGACGAAGGACGTACGATGTGCTCGTGAATCTGTGGATGTGGTAGGCAGCAACGAATGAGCTTCGTGGGCACAAAGCGCGCACGAAAATACTTACGTGAGTGTGCTCATGACCTGGACTTCTCTTGCTTCCGGCGGAAGCTCGCTTCTCAACCCTGCCATTCGCTCTGATGAACAGCCTGGGTTTGGTGGCCTGTCTCTTCTCAGCCTGAGAGTCTGGAGACTTGACCTTCTCTGGCAAAGGAGGCGAGGTGGAGCGGAGGACGACGCGCTCCATGCGAGCGTTGCGAGAGGCGAACGGAGAGGCTTGAGGAGCGCGAGCCTGAGGAGCGGAGCCAGCTGGTGCTGCTTCGACGACGCTGGTAAGAGTAGCCAGAGCGACGGAGCCGGCAATGAGGAGAGGCTGGTTGATGAGCACCATGTTGAAACACGTGTACAGGGGAGGAGCAAAAAGTTGTTGGTGAGCGAGGGACCTGCCCGAGATGTGCGCTTGGGACTTTAGTACAAAGAGTGTGAAATAGAACGGCGAGAGCGTGTATGGAGAGAGATACGAGTCAAGATCTGGAAAGAAGAGTGCAAAGGAGTACGGCAAGTAAAGTCACCAGGACTTGACGGCTATACGGGAAGAAGATGAAAGGTGAAGCAAAAGGATTTGACCGAGGTGAGGGAGAGGAAAGAAGGAGAGGAGATCTGGAAAGCGCTGTATTTGAATGCATCCGAGTTGGGAGCTCAGCTCAAACACAGAGCAGGCTTGATGGGGCCGCCGTCGCATGGTCGATCGCTCGACAGCGAGCGCGCCAGGCCATCCCAGACGGGCAGTCTGCCTGTCAAGCCGCAACGGCTCCTGCCATCCTAGTAGACTTTCAGTGAAGCATCGACCTTGCGCTGCACGATCTGTTCAGCTTTTACACAGCCTTGTGGATGAAGGGGTAACCGTCTCTGGTGCATCTGCGCATCTCTACATGCTCCAACGGCTCCTGCTTGCTTGGGTCGCCTTCGCGTGCGTAGTCAGAAGGCACGGCACGTACACTACTGCGACTTCTCGAGCAGCGTGGCATCATTGTGAATCTCCCAAGATAAAGGACCAGTATGCTATTTCACGTTGCCCGACCGGTCGCTAGAAGTTCGAGAGGCGTCCATTTTGTGCCAACTTACCAGTCTCATGCTCAAACGGCCGGATTTCGAGGGTGCAGTCGTGAATTCTCCAGCGGGGTCAACGGTCTGGCCTATTCTTGACCGCGGTCCTGCAAGGTGCACAGGCAGCAGCTAGGGCAACCACCACCCCGCGCGGCACGCGCACGCCAACGCGAACGCGCACCCGTCGATGCCAGCTGATGCATGGCTGATGCTGCTGCATGCGAGTTGACCGTTGAGGACTTTTCGCTTCACGCTCGTTGACTCTGACGCTTCGACAGTTGCGCTTGGAAGTTGCTCGCACTTACTCTGCTCAGCTCAGCTCAGCCAGCGCCGTCCGAAAAAATTCTGCTCGTTTCGATGCACATCTTGCGCTCTCGGCAAGCAGGACAAGGCGCATTTCCACTAGTCGCCATCTTTGCTCCTGCGAGGTACCTTATATACGGAGGAAATCGACGATGTCCACTTCAGGACGTGCCTAAGCAGCTCGCGCGTCATGCGCCATTATTACGCCTCACGTGTCCGGTTTCTGAACGCGCGTTGTTGGCTATGAAGCGTTCGGAGCATTCACATTGTGATTCGAATTCAAGATTGAAGACTTTAGATGATTCAATGTTGACCATTGTCACTCTTTGAATCTGCCGCTCGCACGTTCAGTCACGCTCTTCACGAGCGCATCGACACCGAATCAAAAGCTTGTCTAATAAGACCGGAAATGCTCGGGGGATGTCGTGTATCATTGACGGACATGAGGGGATCTGCCGAAAAGCAGGGAGCTCGTCATGTGCTCTGGTGCCGGCGGGCTAAAGACATATAAGGTACATCATGAAAGGGGTGACGTGGATGGATTCGGGGCTTCAGACTTGACCGTTGCGAATGCGTACACGAGTGCGGGTCGATGTGAGTCACGTAGCAGAGTTGCAAATTTACTGCGAAGGGAGATCAGTGTTCACGGCGTCTGGCGAGCCTTTTTGCTTCTCAGAAGCAGGGGTGGCAAGATCGCCAAGAGAGCTCAATGAAGCATGGCCAGAGAAGCTGCTTCCAATGCTAGTTGCCTCGCTGGCAAAGTTGCGCTTGTGTCCGTGCGTAGAGTCGCTGATGAGACTTGCCTGACTGGCGGTGCGCTCGGGAAGGTTGATTGCTGGGGCTGGGGCGGGCGCACCGTAAAGTACCTGCAGCGAGGTTGGGAAAGGCCAGTCGGCTCCAAAGAGCTGGTAGGTGTAGACTTCAGTGCCTCCCGGAAGAGTCATCGATGACTTGCTGAAACGACCAGTCGGCCCAGGGGCAGTGCGAAGGTTGGGCAAAGCGAAAATAGGCTTGAGGACAGCGGCCAGAGAGGTGTCCAGGAGGCCTTCACCTAGGCATCGGTGCATGCCGACGCCGAAAAGCATGTAAGACTCGCGATTGGGACGGAAGGGATCAATTTCCTTTGGGTTAGGAAAGACGCTAGCATCGTAGTTTGCCGCCTTCTGACCGACGAAGATGCTGTCACCCTTCTTGACACGGATTTCGTCCTCTCCGTCGCGGATGGAGAAGTCGTCCACCGCTGTGCGTGGGCAAACAGGAGCTTGTGGGTTGAGACGCATTCCCTCCCACAAATAACCGACGAACTCTTGCTCGTCAGACGCGGTCCATTGTCCATTGGCCAGCTCGTGGAGGCGTTTGAGATGCTTGTCGTGCTCAGGGCGTAGGAACACCTCGAGGATGAGAGCAGCTTGCTGCGTCTGTGTGGCGATCGACGAGATCATGAGACCGTGCACCTTAGTGACTACCGACTTGAAATGATCGGAAGTCTGATCGCCACTGCTGGCCCAAGCCGCGCGGTAAAACTCCACAGAGCTCTTCGAAGGCTCGACGAGATTTTCGCCACGAGGGCCGAAGAGCGAGGTAAAGTGCTGCACAAAAGGCAGCACATTCTTGACGACTGGAGTATTGATGGTCCACATGCGAGCACCAACAATCTTTTCGATTAGCGCACCAGACTTTTGCGCACCGGCGCGAAGCTGCGCCTGCACGCCAGCCATAAAGTCAAAGTTACAGAACACTGTTGAGAAGAGTGAGACCAGAGCTCAAGATCAGCACAGACCATGTGAGTGGCGGTGCGACAAGATTGACTCACCGTGAGCAAATTGGGTGGCCAAAGCAATGTAAAGCTCTTGCAGAGTCGGAGCACCAGGCAGCTGTTCGCGAAGAGGAATCGCCCAGTGATCGGCTGCCCAAGCGGTGAAGCTGAGAATAGTAACGTCTGCAACAATATCAACCAGCGACGTCTTGTTGCCCGCTTGGATGGACTTTTCGACCAGCAGCTCTTTGGTCTTCTGTTCGAGGAAAGCAGCCGTCTTTCTCTTAAAGTCGTTGCCGAAGAAGAGCTGGTCAAGAGCTTCTCTTTGAGGCGCGTGCTCTTTGCGATCGTTGACTCCCATAACAAAGACGGCGTCGTTGCTCTGGGAGCAGTTGGCGATGCGAGGTGCGTAAGGGCAGTGGCCAGATTTGGTGTTCATGAAGACAGAGTGAGCGCCGTGCCAAGTGGTGGTGCCATGCCATTTGGACGAGCGACCTGGACGCTGGATGGTGTACTCATCAGCTTTGCCATAACCTTCTAGAACCTTGAGCATCGCGGGAGGTGTCATAAAGGGGTAAAGCGCAAAGGTGGAGTTGGACGTTGCATACTCAGTCGGTAGACAATTGAACAGCATTTTGGCCACGACTCCCTGAGAGCCGGCCTGAGGCTGAGTGGCGTACTGGAAGCCCCAAGTGGTCAAAGCGCTAGAGGTGAAGTCGCTGGTGTAGAAACGATCGCCACGGATAAGAGAAGCTGCGTCACTCAGGATAGCTCTGCTGATCGTGTGACCGGGGCAAAGTCCGCTGGCGGGCTGTGCGGGCTTAGGCTCCTCTGCCAAGAGGCCAGGGAAGAGCTCGAGCTGGTCGATGTGGCCGTACAGCTTCTCCGCGGCTTTTTGAACTTCGGGATCGGAATTCCACTCGGCGAAGTTGGCCAGGCGAGTGAGGCCCAGACTGGCGCGGAACTCGTTGAGGGTGCAAAGTCCCTGCTCGCGAGCTTGATTCATACCCAGGATGTCGATGACGCGCATCCACTCGGGGACTCCTCGAGCTCGGAAGGCTCCGGCGACTTCTTCAGTAGCATCTTGAAGCGTCTTGGCCAAGACGCTGTCGTCAAATTTGCCCTGAGAGTCGCGCTCCCATCCGTGCAGCTCCCACTTTGGGGGATCGGAACCAAGTTTCTTGGCGAGATCTGCCAAACCGAAGGAATGCTCGGTAAGACTGTTGCTTGGCGTGCGGATGAGTTGTCGAGCACCTTGTACTTACTATGGGCACCATCGCGGAAGTCAGCCACCGTCACCTCATCAGCGTATTTGTTGGGGAACATTTTGATAAAAGTGTCATTGAGCCATTTCTCATCCTCCATGGAGGTAGTGCAGTGCCAGCGGTAGAGGATGTTCTGGAATTGACAGGCAGACGATAGCTCAGCAAGGACGCTACATCAGCGTAGACGCTCGTTCACTCACAAATTCGCTGGCCACCTGGTTGCCGGTGGCACGAGGAACGCGGGCCCCGTCGAGCCCACGAATGTCCTCCAGAGGGTTCAGATACCACTCGTTGCCTTGAAGAGCCAGGATAGCTGGAATATAGTCTCTGAGGATGACGTTGACGTAGAAGCCGCAGTTGACGAGACGAGCACGGTGGAAATTGTCGTAGTCGCGCTCCTTGTCACCAGCCATGTTCTTGAGGCGATCACCTTCGTCGAGCTGCCAAAGCTTCTTTGCTATGAAGTTGTGATTGCGCGCAAACATCATTGCCAAGGCCGTCGAAGATGGGGTCATAAGCGCGAGACGCATGTCCGCAATTGTGTCGGGGAAGATCATGCCTTGTGAGAAAGTGCGGATCGACTTTTGGCTTTGCTCGTCGTTGCCGTACAGCCACTGCATGTCGAGATAGCTGCTGTTAAGGTTGACTTGGGCGTCCTTTGGTGAGGTGCGGAACGCATCGTGGATAATGAGGTTTGCCATCGAGAAGAGAAGGCTAGCAATACCTTGCGGGTGAGATTTGAAGCCCTTGCGTGCAAGAAGCGTGTCAAAGACGATGCCCGCATCAGGCGTGACAAGGGGTGCCTTTCTTTGCGCGTTCCTCGCGTACGGTGTGCGTGCGGCTCCAAGAGTGGGCTGGTATGGGTTGTTGCCCGAGCCATCGACAGAGCGGAACTCGTTTTCGCGGCCCATGATTGTGACTGGAGGGTGTTGAAGGTCGGCGAAGAGGGTGGCTACAAGCTGGTTGCCAACCAGGGTGGATGCGATGCTGCCATTCGTGTCTGCCAGTAGTTGCACCACTCTCTCGAGGAGGTATTTGCGATCGTCCAAAGGCGCACCAGGGGCAAACAGCTGACCAGAGAGCTGCACGAGGGCAGTGATGTTCCGCAATGCTGTTCCATCAAAGACGGACTTGGTGACTGTGTGGACTACATCTCGCGCGGTGGTGATGACTCCTGGCACGTGTGAAGAGAGAGGGGAGGGCGGGACACCAAGAGCCAAGCTGACCTCGGCATCAGTAAGACCATCCTTGGAGGAGCGATGTGCCAAGGCACTCTCGAACTTGGACAGGATGGCCGACATGACGTGGCCAGGTTGGACGCGCTTGAATTACTCGAGAAAGATCAGCGTCGATGACGTTGCGGTGGGGTTGGAATTTGCGCCAAACACAACGAACGGAGGAGACCTTGCCTTGTGCCACAACTCCTTGGCTGAAACGGAATAGAAGCCCTGAGATGACAGCCAGAGGTAAGCAGCGCGAGGAAGGCTTGAGGCTTGCTTGCGCTCGTTCGAGCAAGTTTGGGTCAAAGAGTACGAGTGTTGACCCGTCGGATTTACTTTGCAAGAACGCTTGATGAGAAGTGCTTTTAGTTGAGGAGGGGAGGGACAGATGCTCGAAGATGCGCCCTTTTATGAGCGCCACGGGCACTCTGACTCGAGACAGACAGGGTTGACATGGCTATGAGCTCTGCAGGCTTCTGTCCCGGGTGTGGGCGGGAGGTGCATGAATCAAGTCGGCTCAAGCAACAGGATGCACCGATCGAGGTGAGGCTTGCTGCTCCCGAGCACGAATGCATGCATGCCGGCAACGAGTAAGCAGCATCGTGCGAAGCAGCTGTTGTGCGTGAGGTCAAACGACGCTGCTGATGCTGTGAGGAGACCACTTTCGGAACAGCTAAAGTCACAAGTGGACCTCTGACTGCTGCTGCATGCTGGTCTGCTGCTGGCTGGCTGGCTGGCTGCCGCGCCGCCAATCTCCGAGGCCACGGCCATGGGCGTCTGTGAATTAAGCAGGAACGCGACCCGAGGTTGCTCTCCTGCGCCACATGGGTCGCGTTGCATTCACGATCAGCCATATGCTCCTGCATCGCATCGCATGAAAGCCAAGGCGGCGTTTCAAATAATCCTCCTTGCCGGCTCCAGCTGGCCGGGTGCCTGCCTGAGCATGACTATGAATATCTTGAACAGCCATTGAAGAGCCGCTCTTCAGCAGGCTTGGTCTTCGCAGTCCGACTTGCGGGGCATGATGAGGGTACGACGCCACCGAGATCCCGTGTTAGCGTGCATGTGGGTGGAGCCACTTTCAGCACGAGAGCGGCTCCCGAATTGTAATCAGCTTCAGGTGCACACTTAGAACAATCGTGTGAGCATGCTAGCTTGGCAGCAGCGATCAGCTAGGATGAGAAGTGCTGTATACTATAGAGGTACATGTTGCCACTCGTGACTCGCGATCCCGCATGATACCGAATAAGCCTAATAGCAAGTGTGAGTGAGGCTCCTCCTGGTGTCTGGCCGAGTCTGTGAGTCCTGTAGTGGACCATCTGCCTATAGCTATCGATCGTCGATCGTCGATGTTGGAAGCGGTGCAATCCGGCTGACTGGTTCTGTGCGTGCCTGAAGTGAGCCGATGCAGTGGGTAGACCGAGCCGCGCAAGCAAGCAAATAGACTTTTAGCGCGTCTTTTCATCTCAGCGTGCGACCGATGAAGTGTGTGTTGCATCAGCTAGGCGGAGCGCCTGCATATGCTGACGCTGGTCCGCGGTGAAGGGCTCTGCTGCAGCAGCCATACCCGCGTATACACTGTAGGTCTTCCATCCCAGCCCGGCAACTCAGCAAATCAGGAGGAGTGTGCAATTTGACTGTCATCCTATTTAAAACGGTCTCGAGCGCAACAGCAGGTGCTGCACGGCTGCGATGTGCCGAGCATGCTAGCTTCATCTAGCCCGCCTGATCAGAAGACTCACATACGCCCATGTCGGCCGCTAAAAGCGACCTACCGACGTCCAGCATGACGGCAAGTAGCACAGCAAACCTTGGCCCACGTCATACCAACCAAGCAAGGTCTTCAGAGATACGGAACGGCACGGTGGGAAGAGGCGGACATGGCTGTGCTCGTGTCTGTTGCGAGGCGAAAGATGAACAGTTGAATCAGCGATCGCAACCGTGGACCACCCGGTCAACTTGAGCAGAGGCCTGAAGAAATCCGCGGGCTTGCGACAAATAAGGGCCTGCAAGCGCTCGCTACCTTGCCGCTTGCCCGCCGCTATGGTCACTCGTGATTGGAGGCTCGCGCATTCGTAATTGCCTTTCAATCACTGAAGCTACCTTCAAAACTCGTGACTACACACTAGCAGTGCTTCTCTACTCCAAAACTCTAGGTTCGCAAAGCCACGCCGCGGGGACAGCACAGGGCTTTGGACCCTATAGATTGCTGCCGTTTCACTTTGGCGATAAGGTTGAATGCGGGCCCGCCACTTTTCGGGCCCGTTCCAGAACGTCGGAGTTACGACGACCAAAGAATACAAGCGCGTGTGTACGTGCGTTGCGCGTGCTGCAGCATTGCGGGACGCGGGTCGGGACCGAGCTCGCCGCTCTCTGGCCGGTCCCGCGCGAGCGGAAAAAGGACTTGCATTCACCACAAAGTGAGCCGATATAGGATTTTCTTTACTCGCGCGCGCAGTTGGACAATTGGGCGGGTGCTCTTCGACTGCTGCGAATACTCACTTCAAATCTTGATTTGGAGTCTCGCTGGGATTCTGGATCAAGGCAGGATGGACATCATGCAGCACACCAAAAGTATCAATTCACCAGTCTTGTCACAGTCACAATCAGCCGGAAATGTGAACGAAGCAACTTCTTTGTTGGCCAGCCAGCAGGTTCAATCGTTCGCGGGGCTTGGTCTCCATGTACATGTGTCCAGATCGTTCGGACTGAACCGCGACCTGATAGTGGGTCCTTGTAGAGACGAATCAGCCGTTCAAAGTTCATCATTTGCGCTTTGCCTTGAACGCCTCACAGGCCGAAGATCCAAGCTGTCGTTGGGTAGGGGCTTCTGCTTGTAAGCTGACGGCTGAGTGGACTCATCGCAACACCAGGGGACGCACAAGCACGACCGCTAGCGACAAGTTGCAATTGATATGCCTTGCTTCCTTTTGGCTCCTACCTGTGCCGTTTTCTCATTTGCTGTGAGTAAGCGCCACGGACACAGAAGTTTTATGCACAGACGTGCGGCACGAGACTTGAAGCACCGATTCGTTCCCCGCGAGCGAAGTAGCGTGTGGCTTGCAAGAAGGTCCCGTGTAGTCCGCAAGTTTGATCTCGAGCAGCTCGAGCAAGACTTCATCACCATCCGTCTAGTCAAGCGGTGAACGAGTTTTGTGCCGCAAATTTACCCGCTTGAGCAGGGCAAAGAATCCAAAGACAGTCTGCTTGCTCGCCATGCTTTCGCGATCTCAAGCTACCACGGATATAGGACATATCCCACAGGTCTACCATCTCAAAGTGGCGGGTACTGGCGAAGCATATGCGATTTTTAAAGCCACGAGCAAGATGTAGTGTACACGACAGCTGCAAAAACAAGGTGTGCGCAACGGGCAGTCTGGAGTCGCAAAGGATGAAGGGAGGCGATGTTTCGCGCAAGCAATGATGAAGCGGAGCTATTGTGGCCGAATGGGCGGGCGCCTTAGTGGACGATTGCGTTTCCATTGACCGGCGCGCGGTCTTGTTTGGGCTGCTTTTTGACGGCAAATTTGGCAGGAGGCGGTACGGCACCTGGGACTACTCTCTTCTTGGGAGCTGCCGCAGCTTCTGGAAGGGGAGCACCGGTATTAGTCGCGGGGCTCTGAGCCTGCACGCGTGGTGTTGCACTTCCATTACCCTGCCTCTGTTTACCATCTCCTGCAGAAACGGTTCGCTGATGTCGTATGCCGTTGACGACCGGCTTGCTCGTTGCTTCCTTGCTGCTGTCACCATCGACCTGGGCTAGAGCGCTTTGCGGCAAGGAATCTTCCCTAGCGTAGAAGAGCAGATAAGGCACGCCCTCGTGCGTGCGTGAAGCTGCTTGCGGTGCAGTAGACGATGCCGAGACGGACGAGGAGGAGCCCCCAGGTGGAGGACAGGCAGACCACAAGACGTCGTCAATGTGCAACCACTCGTTGCCATCCTGTCTGAGCACATCGACAGTATAATGACCGCCGGAGGCGAAGCGACCGTGGTGGTAGACCACTGTCAACAAAAGAAAGAAGGCGTAGGGCGTCAGCCACTGCCGCCAGGACAAAAGGCTCTTGGTCCAACTCACCTCCAAAGAGTCTATACCGCCGCTTTGCCTCAGCCCTTCTCGAGAGAGCCACAACCTCTTCGGCGACCTCTAGCTGTGTGGAGAACTCGAGCTCTTTGGAGTTCTTGCGAACCTCGCCAGCCTCGTAGACAAACCTCTTGAGGTGAAGAACAAGGACGGGTGGCAGACTTTCGATGCATACCGTCTTTGTAGCATCGACCTGGGCACCTCGCGCAGGGCTCCACACGCCAGGAATGATCTCAGGCTCCACCAAGCTTTTCAAGGCGTCCGACAACGTGTGAATGTGCGCAGGCGCTATATCAAGCTGAAGCGGCTGATACGGCTCTAGCGTCACGCTGTCCTTCATGCCGGGAGTGCGCAGAACGGAACGCAACTTTCCACCAAATATCCTCGTGATCGGAGAATCCGACGTAGCGGTCTGAGCGAGAGCGTATCGGGCACTCTCCGTCAGCGAGGTGGTAAGCCACTTCTATCGCCGCTTGTCGCTACTCACTGTCCGGGTATGGGCGACGCGTCCCTTCGTGCCGACCTCCATCCAACCCTCCTCGCCGGGGCTCACTGGTCGACGCAAGACGCGCTCTTCCGCGCCTACATCATCCTCGCCTGCTACGCTGTTCTCGTCCGCCGCCACACTCGCCACCAACGCACCGGCGCGAGCTTCTAGCTTTCTCAAAGCAGACAAAAGCTCCTCGTGCAGAGTGTCCAACAAGAAGCCAAGAAACTCCTCCGCATCTTCTTGATGTCCTCTCCGCATCGTATCGAATCTCTTCGTGAGGCGCATAGCGTCGTAGACAAAGTCGGGCACGAACGGCTCCGAAGCATCGAGAGCTTGTGCAGAAGGCGGTGCGCCCGAAGGAACCGGATGAAACTCTCGAAGGAACTGTATAATGGCTTCCATCAAAGGTGTCGAGTTCGAGAAGTCAGGTGGAACTTCCGTACCAATTAGAGTGAATAGATTGACAAACGGTGCGCAATACACAAGAACTTGAAGGATCGCGTTCGCAAAGCAGAAGTTACCGTTGTTGATCATGCCTCGAGGAGCGGTCAAAGGGGCGGCAAAGACGGACTCTGCTGCCCGAAGACGAGCTTCGAGTGTTTGCAGGCGGGCCTGTCTCTCAGTAAGGACAGGAGGTCGGCTTGTAGACCGGCGACTGGCCAAATGTTGCGATGAAGAAAGTTGCACGCTGCCATTGATCGAGGGTTGACGAGACGTGTCAGGGCTGCCTGCTGTGGATGTGATTGGAGTGGCGACCGCGCTTGAGCTTGATGGTGTGGCGGTGTAGGCCAGAGACTGCGAGCTGCCCGTGCCTGATGCCAAAGTGGCCCAATTCTTCGGAGCGCCCCAGGCTGGCGCTTTGGGCAAAGACGCGATAGAAGCAGATGGCGACGTTGCGGTCGCCGTTGCATCGCTCGTGCTGCTAGCCGCTTTCGAATCGTTCGGGGTGGCACTAGAGGGTAGATTTGAGGCCGAAGGTGCATATTCTGATGCAGCTGTGAAACCAACGCTCTGCTGATCTGCAGCTGCCACGTTACTTGTCTGAGCAGCCACTGCCAAGTTGGCGCTTGTCAAGCTTGCCGGCGCTCGAGAAGCGCGCTGATGTCTATGTAATGGGAAAGCGGTCTGCGGCAGCGATGGACTTAAGGAGCTGTGCAGGCTCACACCAGGAGCTGTTGGCGCATGTGGACGAGTATTAGAGAGGAAGATGGTCGGACCCGCAGTATGTGCGAGAGGTTGTAAGAAAGCCAGCGAGGACGAACCTCGTCTGGTCGAGCTCGCGCTATGCCTGCCGTGCCTGCCGGTCTGAGCCGAGCCGTCGAGTGTCTTACATGTGTCGTCTTCCTGGCCAGCGTTGTGCGACGTTTCAGGTCGCGATGAGCCATCAGGGCTCAGAGGGGAGCTATCTGCGGCCAATGACCTCCCATTCAAGTTTGTACTGCGGTTCGCTTGAGCACTGCCTGCCGCTACATTGTTACGTCTCCTCTGCTGACTCCGAGGAGAAGCAGATGAAGATGAGGATGGCAAGCTACGAGCGGGGGCATCCAACCTCGAATGGGGAGAGAAAGCTACGCCAGCCTCGCCATCCTGATCCTCATAAGGAGACAGAAGTGAACGCGAAGAAGAGGGAAGGACGAAGCCGGATCTTCTGAAGTCGGAACCATCGGGGCTACTGGCGGTGTAGACGGCCGCGGAAGGACCGGCTACTGACGTCGTGGCCATGAGGCTTGCAACGAGTGACGGCAGAGCAGCAATGAAGCGAGATGCTCCTCACTCAGATGTATTCGGCCGCGAGCGAAATTTGGGTGCGGGAAGCGACTTTGGCTGTGTGTGTCGTCACGAAGCCGGACAGCAGGAGGTGCGAGATATGGACTACCAGCGCAAAATACCGGTGAAGTCCGCGACTGAGAAGAATGTTGTCTTGGCTCTCGATCAAGCGGTTAGCAACTAGTCCATTCGCATGCGCGGTCTTTGATGTGCAGCGGAGCAGAGGTCACAGAAATGGTGTGGAAGTGATCGAGGAAGATGCATAGACGAAGGTGGGGGTGAGTTGAGTGGGAGGAGCACAAGGTGGAATGGACCAACCCGCCGTGCTGCTGTGCTGCTGGTTGGCCCTCTTTGACTCACGACTCAAGATTTTGACTCGAAATCTCGTGTGACCTGTGACCTCGCTCGATCGCAGAGCTGCTCGTTGCTGCAGCCTTGATCAGCAATCACCAATTCGAGCTTTCAAAATCCAACCCGCTCTTTGCGCTAATCACGAATCTTGAATGTTAAAATTCGCACACTCTTGACTTTCAATTCAAATTCAGTTGCGGCGTCATGAGACTTAGGGTCACGTGGCATTTGCAGCCCTCCAGCGCAGGAAGGAAATCAGGAAATGCGTGCACGCAGAAAGCGCGCTTTGCCGAGATCACCTCGCGATGCATCAATCACGAATCCTGAACTTGGTCACGAGTCTCTGCTTCGCCTGACGGGCCCGTGACTCAAGACTCTCTTCTGCTGCTCGTGCTCGTCCTGCTTCCCTTCCATCTCAATTCGACTCGCTGCACTTCTGAACAAGAGCTTTGCATACGGCAAGCAAGAAAGTTGCACTGATCAACGAGATGCAATACGAGCAAGCAACATCTCGCACGCAGTACCACGCTACGAGCATGCCCATGCTACTGCAGAGGATGCGGTGACATGCTTGGAGGATTTCCCTTACATCAGCCATCCCTTTTTGTTGGCATCCCGTCAACTCCTACCCAACTGCGCGCACGACCTTTCAGATCTTCTCAATCGGCGCTCGGTCTTTGAGGCGATTGCCAGCATGACCCAATCAACGCCCGACAATCCCACAAGTACGCTAGATATCTCAAGTTCCCTCGAATCACGCAAAAAGCTGCCTGCTGCAACAGAGACGAGCGAAATGTCTGTGGAGACGGCCGCTAATACCGTGCCGCCTCAAGAAGCTGTGGTACAGCTGGACGAGCATCTGGCCGCAGCGTTACGGACACCTCGAGACAGGGTTTACCTCTTGACCTTGGAAGAGCGATGGCGAGGACTTGACCCCAATCTACCGTGAGTCGCGGGACGCCGAAGACGATGGATCGAGATGAAAATGTGTAGAGATGGGCAGCGATACATGCACTCCGCGGCAGAGCCGCGGCAGTTCTGCTCACTACCCCTCATTGCTTTTGGGATTACAGGCAATGGGTCCTGCCTCCTGCTCCACTCTATGAGAGAACGCTCGCCGCTCGACTGGCTGCGCATTTGGGCTTTGAGACAAGCACCGCGCCCGGAAACTCCAATGGTCTTCTCGTTAGTCGAATAGGCCGCACAATGTGAGTAGTCAACGAGACCCGCACCCATTCTCCTTGCGTTCAGTTCCGCTAAAGCTTAACTTGCTTTCAGGCCCTCCGAGAGGCTGATGCAACTCGCAAGACCGCCATCCCCATCTGAGCCTGTCAAATTGCTCTCCCGACCTTCACCTCAGTCGCATGCTCCGGCTCCCCCGGCTTTGAGTGCTCCCGTGCCAAGCCGCGACGTGTCTCGAGCCTCGCCTACAAGTACTTCCGCATCTAGCACTGGCACAACACCCTCATCACAGCCATCCGGTAGCGGCACCGCAGCCCGCACTATGCGGATCATGAAACGTGCGCCTGGCGCTGGAAACGGCAGAGACGCGTCCTCAAGACAAAGTGCGAGGCCGGCGCCAACGATCGGTGAAAGAGAAAAGGCGTACAAAGAAGCTAGAGAGCGCATCTTCGGTCCTGCGGCTTCCTCATCAGCTCCTGAGTCTGTTTCGGTATCATGCACGGACAGCCCTGCTAGTGCTGCGCACGATGAGCTCACTCCAGATCTCTCGAGCAAGGAAGCTGCACCGCCAAGTGTGACGAACAATAATCGACAGCCCAGCACGTATTCAGATGGCTATGCGCGGCCTATGAACAATTCGACGCCGAGTTTACGCTCCACTGCGCCCGCCTTTGCACCCGCAGGTGTGACAGCATGGAGCGCTCAGGCAACTTCCTTCTTGCCGGGAATGCCGGCTGGAGGCATGACGCCCCAGCCTGGCGGCTCAGTACCGATGTCACAGAAGAGCAGTCAGGACGCATTCAATCCGTTTCCGCCTTCAAGAGGCTCAGCTAGCACTGCTGGGAGCTCAGCGGGTGGCGAGGAATCGAGCGATCGAGATGCTCAAACATCTACGGTTGATGGGGTCGATGCACGGGACTTGGGTCGATGGGACTACGTGCCCGGCGGAAAAGGGGAATATGTTGTTCGGCCTAGACCAGAGCAGGCAGGTCCGGGCACTCCTCCATCATCTGGTTCGCCCACTGCCCGCTTCAACACAAGCTCTAAGACCCCTGGGCCCCAGCATGGCGAGCGACCCGAAAGCAACCACGCAGCTCGTGCGCCCTTTGCACCTGGTTCCGCTCATGTGATTCAACCAAATCAGCAAGCACAAATACCAGATCAGAGCTCAGCTTTCTACCAGTACCCTCAGTACGCGGGGTATGGCGCCGACCCCCATTCTTTCTTCCAGCTGCAGTACGGTTCCCAGCAGTTGCAGCCAATGTACTACGGACAGCAAGGACAGCAAGTGATGTATCCACAAGCCAATTATGGATACATGCAGTCAGGCTTGCAGCAATGGCATCAGCCAGTGGCTCAAGGTTCGCCTGATCAGAGTGGCGCGTCGGGCTATGCTCCATTCACGGCCCAGAACCAGGCAGCACATCCGGCTCAGCAGTTCCAAAATGCCTCGTCTTTGCCGACCGCTAGGCCTGCGGTCGCGCAAGGTGATGACCTCGCAGTTGCGGTGCCGAGTGATGGCGCTGCGCAGCCTTCAAGGCTGGACAAGACGGGCGTTAGTAGAGGTAGGGTGCCTGGATTGGGAGAAAGGGCTTTATACGACCCAGCAGCTGGCATGGTCACACGGACAGCTAGTAGTGGTCGACCTTCCATGGTGAGTGTGTGAGACATGTCACAACACTTCCCTTGTCAGGTTTTTACTCTGTGAAATCATGTTTTCTCCAACGTCAGACACCATCGGCTTCCGCGTCATCGTCGTCATCCATTGCTTCATCTCGATCTTCTAGCGGCCCCGCTGGGCTCGGCCGCAAGATTGGCAACGCGACGCATTTGCACCATTCTCTGCCCCCCAAACCCGACTGGATCTCCGGCACGACGCCCTCGCACTCAATTGCGGTCCCGGAATCGACGCCACCAGAAACGTCGAATAGCCCTAAGATTCAATCCCAGCAGACGTTGGACGCGTCGATTTCCAAGTTCAAAGACCTCTCTCTGGGCGGAGAGTTTGACGGTAACAGCGACGCAGCACCATTGGCACGTACGAGAGAAGCGACCGTGACGCAGGGCTTGGCTCCATCCCCATCAAAAGCGCGAGAAGCAGAATTTCCCGCATTGCCGTTCAACGGAACGGCGGCATCGGCCTTGCCGAAATCTTCTACTTGGGCAGCTAAATCTTCCGCGCACAAGGTCTCTCCCCAGGGTGCGGAGAAAGCCCATGATGGCGCCGAAAGGCAAGAGAACGCCGCGAATATATAGATGTGCGCTGCTTGAAGCGCAATCCGAAAGACCTGGCATCGATTCTCGATTGTGGACCGCGACAGGGAAAGGACCGGGTGCCGCATGTCTGCTCTGTGCTTGCACCTCTTTCTTGATCTACGCGCCACCTACTTTGTATATATACCGAGCACCAGACATTCGACATGTCATTTAAGATGAGCGACCTTGAATGCTACGTGTCCTTCGCCTGATGTCGTCGGGGCGTAGCACTGGCAAGGTTCGGAGTAACAGTCACGCTAGATTTATGCCAGAGCACGCCTGCATTGATGCGCAACGCTATGAACGCGGGGCTCACATCCATGCGAAGCTTGAGAATCCAAAGATCATATTCAATCGGCCGGCGTGACGCGACTTGACCGCAGGCCTCAGTGCGCTGACCAGCAAATGCCTGCGATGTACACAACAGCTACAACTTTGGTTTCCGAGCATTCTTGGCCATCTCCGCTTCTCTGACCCTTTCTTTCTCATATTCGACCTGGCGCTCATCGAGCAGTTCGATACCCGTCTCTTGTTCCAACTGCCTGAGCGCTTGCAGACAAGATGCGGCGCTGACGCGGATGGTCCTAATTCCTAATTTGGCAGCTGCTTTGAGATTGTGACCTATATCGTCCAGAAACACCACCTCGTCCGGTCTGACTTTGAGCTTGTCCAGGGCGTACAGATAGATACCTTCTTCCGGTTTGCGCATTCCAACTACTGCGCTTTCAATGTACTCGTCGAAGAAGTCCCGTATCCTTTGCGACTCTTTTGAAATGCCCAGATGCTCCAGCTCTTCTTCCAATGTGGCAACTTTTGCAGACTCTCCACCGCCATTTTCCGGCGATGCGGCGGTAGGTGGAGCAAAGTTGTTGGTCAAGGCTGCAAGACGAAACTTGCCCGATGCTCGAAGACGCTTCAAGGCTGTCTCCATGAGAGGGTCTATCCTTGTCGATTGCTTCATCATCAGCCCGAACAGCTGAGCAAAGGAGGAAGTTTGTCGAGATGATGAGCACACAGCTGCCGCAGCCAGTGTCCGTGTTCACACTTACGTGCCGGCCGTCGATCTGCAAGTCCGTTGGCAACTGAGGTACCTCTGTGTTTACGGCGTCGCACGCGCGTCAGCACCTCCTCTCGCACCGATGCTTCTGACAGACAGACAGACTGACTGACTGACCTCTCCTCCTCGCCTTGCAGAACTCAGTGTACCACCTGTTCATGCTGTTCAGGTCGCTCAACTCCTCTCCAAAAGTCTTGTAGAAAGCGTACAAAGCCAATTCGCTCCTTTCGAAACGCTACGGCGATGCCCGTGGAGCAAAAGAAGCGGATGAGTCAGCCGAATGAGCTGAGCTCGTCAGCTTCTGCGGACGCTTGAGGGTATGTGACGCATACACACTTGAAACGCTCCCTTGCGACCTCGCGCTGTGATGCCGACGTTGATGTAGTCATGCGGCAAGCCCCTCTCCTGCTCGTAGAGGTTGATGCCCACCAATGGTGATCCCACCACTACACCTCCAATGTCAAAGATGATGGCGCGGGGAGGCACCATTGCCCGAAGAAAGGGATTGTTCTCGTTGCCATCACCCATGGCCGAGCTTTAGCGTCAGAGAACACCTAGAAGCTGTTCGAGTCCGTGAACCGTCGTGCAGCGATCGAGGGAGTGGTCAGTGGCGCTTTGGCCCCCTTAGGTCTGTACAAGAGCAGCTTCGGCGGTACTGAGAAGTGAGGACAGCGCTGCTGCATCGGTGATTGTGAGCACACTCAAAGTGGTGAATCACAAACCATCAGAGACTCGTGACTGTGACTGGTGATCACTCACTCTCAACTGGAAGCACGAAAAGTGCGCTGATGCGCGGCCTACCGGTAGACCGGCCCGAGGCAAAACGGTAAATTCCATGCGCAGATGAGTACCGCGACGGCAGGCACCCTTTAGGTTCACGAGTTTCGCACACGTCTCCTCACGTGATCGCATCCAGATTCCCTGCTCCACTCATGTGACTGTGACTCTTGACTTTGACTGTTGACCCGTGAATCAGACTCGATTGACTAGACTAGGTTCTTTTCGAATCAAGAATATCACAGATCAACCAAATTTCTCGTTTTCAAGATTCAAGATGCTTGATTGCGATTTGACGAGGAATTCGTGAATTTTGTATCTCTGCACCAAACTCGTGACTCTCGACTTGCACGCGTATCGGGTTTGCAAGTCCTCGCTCGAGTCGTCGCTCTTCTAGTCTTGAGCGAGTGGCGAGTTGAGTCTCAAAGCATTCGAGATCCCCATCAACAGCTGGACGCGCGAGCTCTAGTGCTCGCAGCTATATCACCCATAGCACAAAGTTGTCATCATGACCTCACTGAAGTCGAGCTTACCCGAGTCGCCGCTCTCACTCAATCCCTTACCAATGACGGATGCCTACCCGCTTCTCACGTAATGCCATATCTCGTGATCAGCTCTTGATCGCAAGCTGGAAAATGATGCGTTAACGACAGCGCGTTGATCGCTGTGAGGTCGCCAAGCACCAAGCACAGAGATGGTTGCTCGATCGCTGACCTACCGACATCTTCTTGGGTGTCTGTCGTCTCGTCAGAGCGAGACGGAGCATCACCAGCACGAGTATGCGCATTGGTACAGAGCATGAGCATTCGATCAATGATGAGTGAAGAGACGAAGTTCTCGTCGAGATGAGTCATCAGGCGACGGAGTGAGAGGACGAGCCGCTGAAACAGGTTGAGCAAGTTGCAATGGACTTGCTCGCAGAGACACAGAACAAACGCGCGCGATCACGCTCTGAATTGGGCGACCACGACCGCGTGATCCCTTTCAAAGAGGAAAGATGATGCAGGCAGTGTCAGCCGAGCAATGGGCGCAAGTGTTTGATCACAGGGACGCGCTCACTTTTGAAAAGGCTCGAGAGTCAACAGCTCTCTGGGCTTGAAGGACTGCGATCGGAGTAGAATGTATCAGTGATGTCCAAAGCCAATGCGCAAAGGCAATAAGCCAATTGGCAATTCTCCAATCACTCACGCTCTCCTGCAGCTTCTTGACCTCGGATTGATACACCGCCTCTGGTGCCGCTGTTGAATCGATACAGCTGGCCTTGATGCTGATGACGGCGTGGCCCTGGTCTTTGAGGAAGTGGGAGCTGTTCAATGCCACGATACGAGATTGATCCGGTTGGGCGACGTCTGCAAAGACGCAGTCGACCATGCCAACAAGCATCCTGTACTTTTGAGGGTGTCGGGCATCTTCGATGATGGCTGGAAGCAAAGGACAGCAATCAAGAAGCCATAGATGAGTCAGAATTTGCCCCACTATTTGACTGCAACAACTACTTGCATCACTGCTATTCGGCCACTCACGGATGACATTCGTTCGCTTCTTTGCCATGTTGATCAGATCTCTTCCCGATCTGTGACTGAACTCTACTGCAAACACAACTCCGGTCGGGCCAACGATGTCCGCGACGTGACTGACACTGGTTCCACTTGCTGCACCAAGATAGAGCACCTTGTTTCCCGGCTTGATGTGAATGTTGTCCAAGCCGCCCAAGACACCAGCGGCCAATTTGGATCTGAATGGGTTCCACACTCTGTATTCGGTCTTGCTAGAGACACCGGACTCGTCGGTGGCCGGCGTCTCGACAGAGATTCTCTTTTCCCCATACACCGAGTCTCCGGGAACCAAATTCCTGGTGACAAGAAGGTGCTCCTTGCCCTCGGCCACAAAGATGCCTTCATGCCTGTGAGGTTTGACGATGACGTTCGAGCCACCCTTTGCGCCACCTCTGGCACCTCCACGCGCACCGCCCCGACCACCGCGAGGTGCACCTCTGCCTCTTCCACCGGGTGCTCCCCTTCCACCGCCGCGTCCACCTGTGATGCGGACAGCCGTTCGAGTCAAATTCGACACTTCGCCAGGAACACGCAGAGAAATGCACTCACCGCGACCTGGAGGTCCACCTCTGCCACCTCTGTCTCCCCCACCGAATCCGCCTCTACCGCCACCTCGTCCGCCACGATCACCGAATCCACCACCTCTAGGTGCTCCGCGTCCACCCCCAAAGCCACCTCTTCCTCCACCACGTCCACCTCGATCCCCTACAAAAGCAAGCGGGAGCAGTAATCAGCAAGTGTTTGAGCGGCGTCGCACGATGTAGCAGTACAACTGCACTGTTGACTACTTTGTGCGAGTGGCGGTCACTCACCGAAAGCCATGGTGTATTGCTGGGGTTCGAAGTCGCTCGAATGTGTGCCTGTTTGTCACTCGACTCGGCTAGAGCCCAGATGCTGTGAGCCGTTCTTTGCGTGTCGGTGAGAGATATGTGATCTGTTGAATTTCAAGGGCCACACAGGATAGAGCGATGACTTGAGCACGGTGCTGTGGAAGTGGACAAATCAAGAACAAGGAGCCCTTTCCTTTGGCTTTCGGCTTGCTGCAGCATGCTGCAGTGACAGTTCCCAGTCGTGATGATGAGTTTCCTGAATTTCTTGGACCAAGCCGTCAAAAAAGTTGCTGCAATGCCCACGTGGTAAGCATCGCTCCAATCGATGCGTCCTTAGGTCGCGCCCATGCCCGCCAATTCTCGTGCGAGTCACAACAGCGCACGAAGAGCTGACCTCTCGTCACGTGCAGAGACCACGCTTCCTGCTCCACTGCTTTTCTGAAACTACGACTCAAGACTCAAGACCGATGCGGTGCTTTTTGGTGAATGACTCGACCTTGGGATTCGCCTTCACCAAAGCTACTCCGAACTGATTCATCTCGCTCCTGGTCTCGCGCGCCTAAGTCTCCTACATCACTCGCACGATCGCCCCGGCACTCGTCTGCCATCCACTCATCATGTCAACGCCGAACGACAAGCTCACGCTGGACATCAGCAAGAGGGAAGGAACCATCAACCTCGGAGCTGGTCCATCCTCTCTCCCCACGTCTGTCCTGCTAGAAGCCGCACAGGGCATCCTGGACTTCTCAGGCACAGGCATGGGCCTGACCGAGCTGTCGCATCGATCGGGCACATTCAAAAAGGTCATCGAGTCAGCCGAAGAGGATCTGAGAAAGTTGTTGGACATTCCACAAAGCTACGCCGTGCTCTTTATGCAAGGTGGAGGAACTGAACAATTCAGCGGGACGGCGTTGAATCTGTTGGCTAGTCACGCCATCGCTCATCCAGACTACGTCAAGCAACACAATGGGCGGGGGCCTGCGCTGGACTATGCCGTTAGCGGAAGCTGGACCGCCAAAGCTCTCAAAGAGTCCAAGAGGCTCGGCTGCAACGCCAAGGCCGTCTTCGACTCTCGCAAGCTGGAAGGTTCAGACGGAAAGTTTGGCATCATTCCCCCCACGTCGACGTGGCAGCTGAGCGGAGTGGACGGTTTAGGCAAGGTTGCGAGCAAAGACGAATTGCCAGCCATGCTGTATTACTGCGACAACGAAACAGTGGATGGGGTGGAGTACACTCCTGCTTTCCCAATCGATCAATTACCCAAGGAATACGCTCAGAACGTACCCATCGTGGCCGATTGCAGTTCCAACATTCTCTCTCGCAAAATCGACATTGCAGCTCATTCCATTGTCTTTTTTGGAGCTCAAAAGAATGTCGGGCCGGCAGGCGTGACCATCGTCATCGTCAGGAAAGATCTGATCGCTCGGGATCCCGATGAAGGAGTTTCGAATGGAGGTCCAAGGATCCCGACTACGCTGGCATACAAGCATCATGCAGACGCGAACAGTCTCTACAATACGCCCCCGATGTTTGCCATCTACGCATCAGGTCTCGTGTTTGCCGATCTGCTCAAGAATAAGGGCGGAGTCGTTGGAGCATCTCAACGCGCGGACATGAAGAGCAGAGCAGTGTACGACATCATCTCGAAAAGTCAGGGTGTTTTCGCTGCGACGGTCAAGGATCCAGCCAGCAGGAGCAGGATGAACATCTGTTTCAGGATATTGGCACGTGACGGAAAGACGGCAGACGATGAGCTGGAGGAGAGGTTCATTAAGCGATGCAGAGAAAAGGGCATCGAGCAGGTCAAAGGTCACCGTTCCGTCGGAGGGATCAGAACCAGTCTTTACAACGCCGTCTCCCCCGAGCAGACTCTTGTTTTGGTTGATGTCATGAAAGCCTTTGCGAAAGAAGTCCAAGACGAAAGGCGGGCCTAAGGCGCTATTCTTTGGAACGAGAAACCACTGACACGTTGTCATGAATGCATGCTTATCGATAGAGCGCAGTGGTTCAGCCATTCGGTCTGTGTATACAACGCTCAGAGGAGCATGCTTTTGGGAAGGTGCCTCGTGCAGGGAAATGGGAATAGCACAGAATCGCAGGTCGCGGGGTAGGCTCGATGGGGCAGAGGAAGCTGGGAAATAGTGCCCAGTGATGGGATGCTAAAGAAATCCTCAGAGCACTTTAAGATCGCTTTGCTGAATGCACACAGCCTACTTGCGAGCGCCAGGCGGCCTGAAGCAATGAAAACAGAGAAAGAAGCGGTCAGCAAACGAGTGCAAATGCACCCGATGGAAGTGAGCCTCACCTCCACGCATTAGGGTTACGACGTGGAGCCTCTTGGAAGCCGTCCGCGCCAGCTGAGGGCCCATTGGACGATTCTCGAGGTCTTGATGGCGTGGCTGCGCCAGAAGTTGGCGCAGCATCGCCAGCAGTGCCCCTTGCTGCTTCACGATCTCTCCATCCACCGGTGCTCTTGCCGAACACACGTGGAGGGCCGGATGGGGCAGAAGGAGCAGCGGCGGCAGCAGGGGTAGGTGCCGGACTGGAAGAGGATACAGGTCCACGTGAAGGGCTGGAGGTACCGTTGGCTACTGCCGCAGCTGGCACGGGCGTGGAGGTACCAGTGGATGGGGGCGTCTCTCCGCTGGCCTCCGCAGCTTTGCGAGCAAGCTCCTTCTCTCTCCAGCTTCCCGGTTTGACACCAGCAAAGCGGGGCGGCGCAACGCCAGAAGCCGGGCTAGCGTCACGTGCGGCAGCGACTGCTCCAGCTGGTGCAGCACCTCGCCACGACCGTTCGCCTCCCGCTGCAGGGGTGGCGGCTGGGCCAGCACGTCGTTCTGCCTCCTTGGCGCGCATCCTCTCGTCGATCTCCTGCTCTTTCGCTCTTTGCTTCTCCGCCTGCTCCCGCAGCTGAGCTTGCCGGGCCTCGATCGCTGCTCTTTGCTCGGCTTCGCGCTCGGCTTCCTTCTCCGCTTCGAGACGGCGCTGCTCGGCCTGACGATCCTCCTCTGCAACAGAGAACAGGAAATGGCGTCAGAAAGATGATCTTTCACAAGCAGAATCGTGAGCACTCACCCTCTTGTCGAAGTCTCTGACGCTCTGCCTCTTCGGCAGCGCGAACGCGTTCTTCCTCGGCGCGTTTTGCGGTCTCTTCCTTCTCCGCAGCAACCTTGACCCGCCTCTTGTGCTTCTCTTCTTCAATCTGGTCGTTTGCACGAGCTTGTCTGGCTTCCATTTCCTCTTTGCGCTTGCCTTCGATGACCCTCCTCAACTCGCCATAGTCTGGCAGAATACGCTGCAGCCGCTTCTTCAGCTGGAGGTCAGAAGCGTGCTTCTGACGCAAAGTCTCAACCAGCGTAGCTTGCGCCTGCACATGGCTTGCTTTGTCTTCCTCCTTCTGGTGCTCGTAGTCAGCCTCAACCAGGGGCAGCTCCTCGCGCCGGTAGGCACGCTCCAAGTGGTCCATGCGACGGTGAATGATACGGAGACGGTCGGCGAGCTCTTTCTTCTCGCGCTCGATTTGCTCAACTTGCAATTGAACGAGCTTGTCTGTGTCCAAGTTGGCGTACTCTTCCTCTGTGAGCTTGAGTCCACCCTTCTCGCGAAGGCTTTGCGCGAGCTTCTTGGCCTCGTCTTGCTTGACCTGCTCCATTTCTTTGCGGATGCGCTCGAGCTCGCGATTGCGCTTTTCTTCTTCTGCCCGCTTTTCTTCGGCAGCTTGTGCAGCGCGCTGGCGCTCGGCACGAGCAGCAGCCTCGTCCTTCTCTTTGCGTGCGGCTCGCTCCTCGAGGAGTTCCTTGCGCTTTTCCAGGATGGCTTTGCGGGCCACCGCAGCTTTGTGCTCCTTCTCTGCACTGTCCACAGCGCGAGCAAAGATATCGCGCTTGGCGGCCTGCGCAGCCTCGAGCTCTGCTGGATCGATGATCTTCACCGTCGTGTCGAGGCAGCCAGCGAGACGCGCCAGCTGTGTACGAACGAGCTCGCCTGGCGTCTGTTGGAGTTTTGTCACGTCAGTCTCAGCACCGGCACTGGTGAAGGAGGCAGGATGCGCTTCTGCGGCGAAAACATCGTCTTGGAAAGTAATGGCCTGCGTAACGTGGTCTACTCGAATGTCGAGGTGACCACGCTTTGCGGCGTTCAGGCAGAAGTTTTCAACGTCCGCCGGGGTGTAGTTGTTGGGCGCCTTGAATGCAGCGACGAGGTCCATGACTCGGGTAAGCTTGACGGCGTCGTACACCTGGCTGAGCTGCTGAAAGAGTCGGGTCAGAACGACGCTGTGAAGAGGCTTGACGTACTTGGCCATCTCTTCGTCCTGCGCAATCTGATTGATGATCGGCTCGATCTTTGCGCAGATTGAAAGAGGGTGAAACTCGACTTCGAGAATATTGTACAGCTCGCGAAGCTCTGGGCGAACACGACGAAGAATGTTACGGCTCAATGCCTCTTTCAGCAGACCCGCTCGGGTTGGGGTGCGGGTGAGGCCGAGGAGCGAGGTGAGTCTACCGGTACGGCTTCGTGTCTCGACATCGCCGAGCAGGAAATCCGACTTTGATTTGTTCATGTTTCCCGTGCCAGGAGCATTGCTGCTGATGACTGGCACAGCGAGGGCGCTCAGCAAGACAAAAGAGGCGTAGCGAGTGTGCTCTTCCTCCGTCTTGATGCCTCCACGAGCCAAAGAGTAGTAGCGGTTCCATGCCGCAGCGTGAAAGAGGTTGTTGTCGGATACCATGAAGATCTTGGTGAGCTTCTCGTAGTAATTGGCCATCATCGATGGACGAGGAGCTTTCTTCGCCATGGTGAGAAGGTTGTGCACATCCTCAACAGAGCGGAACGCCTCTTGCCACAGCTCGAGCTCGACTGCAGCATTGAGCTGGGAGAAGCGTGTGTCAAGGTGTCGCTGAAGGGTGTCGGGCTCAGTGAGATTGATCGCATGCGTGTGGTGGGAATACCGTGCCACATTCTGCAGGTGGATGCGCAGCAAGTCGCAAAGACGTCTGAATTCGGTCTTGCGCTCGTACTGGAGGCAGAACTGAAGAGCGCGGTGTGCGACTTGCTGTGTGGAGATAGTGGGAGAGTGTGACAGGTCAGCACAATGACAGATGAGCGCTCCATAAGATGTTGTATGTTATCATGTAGCGTGCTTGCGCTAGCAGCATCGCCCTTCACCTCGCTGACGAGCCTGGCCACAAAACGCACCTGGTATGGAACTTCGAGGCGCGCATTGTTGCGCAAAATGTCGAGCGATGTGCGATAGGTCTCCCACAGGAACTTGAGCCAAGGCGTGACTAAGGCGCGATCTGTACGATCTTTGCTCTCCTCGCTAGTGACAGCACCGAGAAGCATGCTCTCGGGCGTCTCGCTCTCTTCAAGATCATCCACTTCCACCTCCTTAGCAGCTTCGTCAGCCTTGGCCTGAGCATCTGCCACCTTTTGCTCCGAAAGGCTGATGAGGTGCTTGATGACCACATCAATACTTCCAGCATTGGTGTTCTGCGAAACGTTCTTGTACTGAACCAATCCATCCTTGACAAGTCTACCTCTACGTAGGTCGACGCAAAGATCCGTAAAGCGGATCATGATTGGCTCCAAGGATGCCAAGGGAGTCTGCTTGAATGAGCGAAGCGCAAAGATCTCTGACAATGCAGACAGGGCGGCTGTGGTCTGACCGACGCCGATCAACTCTTCGGCTCGCTTGAGCACCGTCTCTGGGCGTTGAAGGCGCGACATGACGGGCGATAGCAATGTGCGCGGTTGAGGGTCGCTGGTCGCGTAAATGTGAAGGGTGCTCTCGTGCCGTCTGCAAGTCTATGTTTGCCTGGGTGCAGAGAAGGCCTCGGAGTGGGTGTTGGAGAGGACACTAAAGAAGCGTACGCCCTTCCTGACTTCACGTCGTCCTCAATCCAACGAACGACAGGCTGCAGAGCCACACAACAGTCAGGCAGCAAGCACACCGCAACACGAGCCACCAAAAGCGACAAAATCCTGCTCGCGCTGACCGCTGCTGCTCATGCTGCAGCGCAGCACACATCTTCCTTCTCATGCAACGCCGGCGCACGAAGTAACGCGCGCCACTCGGCCACGTGGGCTCTCAGACGCGCAGTCGCGTTTCCAGCATGCATTCGCAATTATCACGGTGTGAGCTGAAATAGGTAGCCCGTCATTCCTGCTGACTGCTGTGTATATCAATTTGAATCAATGACACCTGCTGAAGGGTCTATCCTGAGTGGGGGTATCAAATATTCACGGTCGAGCATCTGACTACCGAGAAGCAAGTACAAATCGGATTGAGACGTCGTGCGCTCGGAAATAAGAGAGAGGCGCAAGGCTGAAACAGGTTCGACCCCAAGCTACAAGCTGCTGGCTAATAAGGAAATGATGAGTTAGGGCAAGAAAGTGGTGCATATATGAAGCGTGATGGCGGATAAACGTCCCCTCGGAGGGATATAAAGTGCCTTGGCCTATGCTGGGATTTTGACGTCAAAATCTCGAGGTCCGCCATCATCATCGTCGTCGTCATCGCCTTCCCAAGACAGACCGTCGTCTTTGCTCATGATAGAAGCAGCATCATTATCGTTGTCCAGATCCGCCATAGCGGCATCCGCATCGCGCAGGATCTGACTGAGGGTCTTGTGCATCCTATCTTCTCGGCTGACGGTGGATGAGGATTTCCTCTCGTCAGAAATGGAGCTCTTGCTCCTGCCAACTGATCCGAAGAAGGAGTCTTTGCCACTCCCGCTGGAGCTAGGACTGAGTGGAGAAGTCACCTTCTCGTTCTTTCCTTTGCCAAATTTGGCCAGACTAAAGCGACCCTTCTTGGGAGGACCAGAGGCGGAAATTGAGCCAGAGGAATGCGCGTGCGAGAGTGAAGAGTCAGGGCCGCTGCTGGAATGACGACTGGAGGCAGAGTGAGGCGAAGGAGGAGGTGGACTGGAGCTCAATGACGGTCCAGAGTGAGACGGCGTCATCGGAGAGCTGGAGCTGCCGTCCCTTCGCTGCACATCAATAGCACGACGCGAAGATGCCGAGGCGGGGGGAGATTTCATGTTGGTGCTGGAGCGAGAGGGTCGTGGTCGGCTTGGCGGAGACGTAGCGGCATGATTCGCACTTTGCGATGAGTCTGCACCGGAAGGGTTTTCGCTGCCCCGAGCCTCCTCTTTCACCACTTCTGGCGAGCCATGAGGTGAGTGTAGCTGCTTGGCACTAGCCCCCAATGTTGAAGGCGAAGCACCTGGCTCTTGAGGGTCGTTGCTGATACCGCTTAGGTCTAACGTGGGAGGTAGTGGTTTGCCATCGGCTGCTGATCCATTCGCACCCTCGACCTTAGACCCATCGGCACCATCAACTTCTGTGTTACGATGGACTTCCCCTTCGTGCAGCATCAGCGCGATGGCAGCATCGGTTTCTGCACCACCCACGAATTTGGACATTGGTCTAGATGTTCGTTTGTCGAAATCTTGTATGCTGCGAACCGGTAGCTCAGCAACTGCTGCCTCGGCCTCCTCCGCATCATCCGTGTTTGGTGGGGGTTGATTTGCAGCAGGAACGTCGTCCACATCAGGCAACTCAGCCTGTTTGGCTCGCGGCGTCTCGTCAGGCTCCACAGGAGGGTTGCTGAACGGCGCAGCGGGCTCCGACGCAGACTCCGACCTGGGCTTCAAATGTGGGCTCGTGCTCGTTTGGATCGGCAAGACGTCGCTTGCGCTTCCGGCTGGATCACCATCGCCAACATTTGAGTCGATCACACTGCTATCCGGTGTATCTGCGGGCTTACTGTCGAGCTCCAGCTCTTGGGTAGCTTCCGCGGCGATATCCTGACCTGAAGAGACACATACCTCTTCCTTGGAAGGGGGCAAAACAAGACGATGATCCTCGGAGGCTGTCGGGGTGTCTTTGTCTACCTTTGCATCCTTGTCGAAGGGAGATGTCACAATTGCATTCTCGGGAATGATTGTAGTATCGTCCTTCTTGCTGCTCTTGGGTTCCTCAGCGCTTGGCTTGGCACCTGTCAGCAAGTCCGCATCGTTCGCTGCGTCATCGTGAGCAGAGACGGGAACTGGTAACTCCGTCTCTGCAGAGACCAGGGGACTCTTTGAGCGCTGTCGCGCATTTTCACTACTGTTGAAGCTGCTGATGCTAGAAACGCTGCCGCCCGCTCCTCTCTCTCGCGCTCGTCTGGCCACCTCCCTTGCACCGACTTCGTCACGCGCTCGTTCCGCTTTGCTTTGCACGCGCTTCAGGCGCGCTCCCCCGCTGCTTGCTCCCTCTGGGATCGTTCCGTGTGATATGAAAGCTTCAGCTTCGTCTGGCGTAAGCTGAATGTCTGCCAATCCCAAGCTAGCCAGGAGTGCATCGGCATCTTCGTGACCAACGATCGCGTCAGATCGCGATGCCGTGAGAGCTTCCGACAGGCTTCCGCCTTCTGCAATCATTTTGGCTATGGCTGATGATGATGCACCCCTTGCCGTAGCGGCAGAGGAAGCCTCGGCAACGAGGGCTTTGGACGACATCTGACTCGCATTGTAGCGAGCCAGCCTAGATGCAGAGCTGTCCGAGGCAGAAGAAGAACTTTCGCTCATGCTTCTCGACGAAACAGCGCTGGCGCTGCCCGTGCCCATCTTCGCAAGCTTCAGTGGAGCTACTCCCGCATTTGCTGAAGGAATGTACGTGCGAGGCACAGGCGCTTGCCGTGTGATGCCAAGCTGGGGATACAAGCCCCGTTTTCTGTGGTCCTGAGACTCGGCGGCTGCCAGTGCCTTCGCCTTTGCCTTTTCTTCTTCTCTCCTCTTAGAGTCAGAGAGACTCAACGCTGAGATCTCAGCAAGCATGGCGTCGACGTCGTCGTCATTGAGGTCGAGAGAGTTGGCATCGAAGCTTTCCATCAAATCTTCGACGCTTGCTTGCTCCCGCTTGCCAGCGCCGGTGGGAGCGTGAGGTAGTGCTACTGTCGGCGCTGCAACTGGGCCCCTATCTGACACAGACCGAGGCTTAGCCAGACCGATCGGAGCCAAGTGCTTGCCAGTAGCAGGCGGTTTCGACTCCTCATTGCTGCTACCTTCAGTAATGGTGCTGGCACGGCTTGTTTCTCCATTGGCGCCTTCACCCGTCGCAGCCGACGGGGCATCAGCTGATGCCGGTGCTTGTGCAGAGGTTCGCCCATCGTCGACGCGCAAGAACAGATCCAGCTCGCCGAACTCTACTGCCTCTTCGAATTCTTCGAAAGTCCCCCTCCACTCGTTGTTCACCAGCAGTCCGGGTATTTGAGGATCTCGCGCCTGCCAGTGATTGATTAGCGTACCAAGAAGCGAACCAAGAAGGAGTCAGAGGTGTGTATAACGCAGAAACTTGGGCAGTCTGTCTTACTCACCTTTCTCCTCCACCTGCTCTTTGCATCCTCGTCGCTAGCTAGATCATGGTAGATGTAGGGGACCTGTGCAGCGAGCCGATTCCGATCTTAGCAAATTGACTAGAGACTCGCTACACAGCGATGCTCATGGCAACCCACCTTTTTGACAGTCAACACCGATACGAAGCGCTCATGTCTGGAGCGGACTTTGATGTTGGATAGGATAGATGTGCTAAAGAGCTCTACTGACGTCGCCATGCCTCGCTACACCGAGTGTTCGTCACTTGGAGCGCTGTGCGTGTGTGCTACCTCGGCTTGCGAATGCTATGGCAGCGTATATGCGTCCGCTTGTTTCTTGATGTGACCGATTCCCTCGCAACGACGGGTATCTGCGTGATGCTGGAGCGCAAGAGCAAGTATTGTCCAAAGCAAAGAGAGAGTGACTGTTCCTAGTAATCGAGCAAGAGCAGTACCCTCGAGGAAGTAGAGGTGAGATAGAGACACGCGCAGCAGTGACAACGACGGCCGTAAAGCATGCGACGGGTGCGGTTCATTGACAGTGTTAGGAACCACGTTCAAGAACCAAGAGTGAGCAGTGCAAGCCACAAGCGTACTGAGTGACGACTCGGGGTAAGTAAATTCAAGGACGAGTCCCGTTAAGCTGTTGTGGCGCTGCACGCTATGACTCCATCACCTTGTCCGCTCGCCGCCCAACTCAGCGGCGCGTGCTTGCTTGCGCGCGTTGCTGCTGCTGGTGCATGGCAACGCGCTGCTCCGCCCACAGCAACTGTCGCCATGGCAAAGGGCGCATCCGTGCAGCTTGAAGCACATGAAGGCCCGCTAAGCAAACGTGAATTTAAAGTTTGCTTGCATTTATGCCGGCGCTAACCAGCTTGACTCGTGACGCTTGGCTCGTGACTTGACTGCTGTTGTGACCAGCAGGCAGCATCACATGGCGGCACGGCCGGCCAGCGGCTTCGTTTGCTCACTATTATTATTATTATTATTATTATTATTATTATTATTATTATTATTATTATTATTATTATTATTATTATTGTTCTTATAGACGTCACGAGAGCGAAGAATGGCTTGCACTCACGCCGATCTCTCAAATCGCTGCGTTAGTCGACGCGAAGCTTCATGCCTCATCAGGTATACTGCCGCCCTGCACACTTTGTGGACGCGATCGACGAAGGTGCTAGAATGGTTCACCCTCAACGTCCATCATGAATCAGAATGTAGGCTGTCCTGAGTCTCGCAAAAGTACACAAGCTCTAGTGGGCGATGTCGTTGAACGCGACCGTTCTTGTCTTTCATACGAGACCTCGGCTCGACAAAGCTTTGGACTTCACTCAATCATCTCAGGCGCTTTCCCAATCGTTCGGGGCGCGGACGAACAGTCTGGCGACCGTCAAACTTTACAGATGGACGAAAGCCAAAGTCAAATTGCTAGGGAATCATCCCAGCCACAGCCCCGCAGAGCTCTATGAAAAGTCTCATTTGAGGCGCGATCGAGTGATGGAGACGGGTCAAGGTCTGAAGACCCCAACAAAGAACGAGACGCTGGCCTTGGAGGGCGCAGCACATTTATGCCGCCTCCTCCTCTTCTTCGGCAAGCAATCGTTCGGCTTCGAGGGCAGCAATGCTGTGCCGACAGCCAAATAAAAGAAGGGTCAGCTCAACACCTTGTGCTCGTCAAGATCTCGACAACACCCACCAGCCTGATCCCGCCGATGTGACGGCTTGGCGGTACTTCTTGTCCTGCACATCTCCAGCTGCAAAGACACCCTTAATGCTCGTCTGAGCGGTGCCAGGCTTGGTGACAATGTAGCCATCTGCGTCGCATTCCACCTGACCCTTGACGAGGTTCGTCGCTGGGTCGTGACCGATCTGGAGAGTGACGACTCGTTCAGCGAAACGACAACCATTTGAGAGCACTGCGCATGTGTACTTACTGCATAAAAGAGACCGTTGACTTGCAGGTCCTTCTCCTCTCCAGTCTTGGTATTTTTGATGGCAAGTGCGTTCAAAAGTTCGCCGTCACCCTTTGCTTCGGTCGCCACGTGGTTGAACAGCACAGTAACCTTTGGGTGGTTGACCAATCTCTTCGCCATGATCTTGGAAGCGCGCAGCTCGTCCCTTCTGACGAGAACATAGACGTGGGAACCATACTTGGTCAAGTACGTGGCCTCTTCCGCTGCGCTGTCTCCACCGCCGATCACAGCGAGAGGCTTGTTACGGAAGATGGGAACGGCGCCATCACACACTGCGCACGCACTGATACCGCTCTGCCAGTACACATCTTCGCCCTTCAAGTTCATTCTTCTTGCAGATGCACCAGTAGCCATGATGATGGTATCCGCCAGCTCAGCAGGCTCTGCTTCCTTGCCCTCTCTCCAAAATTTGAACGGCCTTTCGGAGAGATCGACCTTGGAAATCGTCTCGGTGTAGATCTTTGTCCCAAATCGCTCCGATTGAGCTCGAAATTTGTCCATAATCTCGGGTCCACGAATACCGTCGGGAAAGCCGGGAAAGTTTTCCACATCCGTAGTGGTGGTCAGTTGTCCACCCGGCGCGAGGCCATTGGCGAGGAGACCCTCGAAGAGGACCGGCTCCAGATTGGCACGTGCGAGATAGATGGCGGCAGTGTGACCAGCGGGACCGGAGCCGATGATGACGACTTTGTGCTTCGTTTGACCGTTTGCGGTCGCTCCATCGGGTACGGGCGCCATGTCTGCAGCGACTTGCGAAAAGTCCGTCAGAGTTGAAGTCGATTCGCGGGCTTCGTCGGCCTGAATGGGTATGGACGCGCAGAGAGCAGCGGCAGTTGTGGCAGCAGCGGAAGCCGTTGCAGCTGTTACAAATTTGCGCGTACTCAGGAAGCTGGATGCAGTCTTTTGAAGGTGCGACCGGGTGGCACTAGTGGTGTGGTCTGATGTCTGAGTTGGATGGCTTACTTTGAGCGGAAACGCAGAATGTGGAAGGTGCGAGGCAAGAGTAGTGTTGCGGATGAGTAAAGCGGTTGGTAGCGAGCGAGTGCAAGCTCGGGTACACATCAAGGTGTGTGTTGTGGTTGATAGGGGAATAGGTGTCTGACTCTGCCCTGGCAATCGCGCATTCCCACTTCTAAATATTGTCGTGATTCAGCTTGCACGCATGGCTAGGCGATCACGCGGCCTTAGGACTCGCGGTGGCGGATGCTTTGAACAGCCGGCAGCCGGAAATAAGCCTTGGATGCGTGCGGGCGTGAGTGCGTACGCATCGAATGCCGAAGTCGAAGCCATTCGCATCATGCACGACGGTAATCACATGGTGAATGGACCCAGCCAATTGCCACGTGGCTCTCGGCAACGCCTTGCAGCGCACGCGGAAGCAGCCGTGCGTGTCGCGCGCGTCGTTCGCTGCTTTGCCTTCGATCTTGCCAAAAGCACAGCTCCGTTTGGCTGGAGCGTGCAGTCAGTCACAAGTCGATCGTGATACGCGCGCGGGCTGCAAGCGCGGGCGCGGGCAGGCAGGATCTTCTCGCCCGCTGCTGGGCGCGTTCACGCGGCAGTCAGTCAAGTCGTCCGGAACTGGGAACTGGTGCTGAGACTGGATGGTCGGTCGGTCAGCAGGGCAAACGACGCGAGCGGCGAGAGATTCCACAGTTGGTCCAGACAAAGCGTCATCCTCACATTCCCATTCGTATCACCTCTGCCGCACCTCTTCACCTCGCCCCGCATACATCTCGTCGTGAGGTCAGATCTACGGTCTTTGGCACGATCCTGCAGCGCATTTCCTCGATTGTGCATTGGCCTCGGGCGTCCATTCGCTCCGCAAACACAACCCAACCCTCTTCAATCCCGACCCTCGAGCCGCCATGATGCTTGCAACCGGGCTTCGCACCGTCTCTCGCATCGCGCCGCGAACAGCCTCCAGGGGTCTGCTCACCAAGGCCGAAGAATGGACTCCCCAAATGGTCAAGGAGATCGAGGCGAACGGTGCGCCGAGCGTTGATTTGAAATCTACTTTGCCCAACATTGAAGCTCGATGGAGCAACCTATCCAAGGAGGAGCAATACACTATCTACCGTCAGCTCGAAGAGGTTCAGCGACGGGACTGGAAGGAACTCTCGCTTGATGAGAAGAAGGCTGGTGAGTTGTGCAGGGAGGAGCTTCCTTGAGCTTCGGTCGGTGGTGCAGCAGCTAGTACACGTACCCGCAGCACATTAGGTATGCGCTCAAAGATCGAACGGTCATTATCGAGCTGGCTTGACTTTACTGCTGCAGATCCGGGGAGCTTCGGGTGCTTGGACTTGTGAGCATTGCGATTGTCGCCTCTCCTGCTCTCAACGAGCAAAATTTGCGCAAGCGTAGGACTGGCAGCTGGTTCACTATACACAGTGTCCAGTGTCCAGCGATGCGCTGTGCTTCTTTGCGGGAAACCCTTATGAAGGCATGCTGCAGTATTTGCATCGATTTTGAAGCAGGCGTGCGGCATTCGTAGTCCCTGCTTGGGGTGGAACTCCTCCGCATGAGCAAATTTCGCCCAACCTTCCGATCCGGTCCGCGACCATGGCTTGATCTCGATTTAAAGGCGGGCGCAGCTTGAACCCTTTCGCAGGCCCGCGGAGGAGACCAAGCAGAGTCATGACGAAGCCCATCAGAGACGCGCGCTGGTGCACATCGGCTCACCTACCTCGTCGCAACCACCTTTTCTAGCTTACTACATTTCGTTTGGTCCTCATGGCCCTCGCAAACCCATCACCCAGCCCGGACAAGCCATCAAGACCGCTTTCGGCGTAACTGGTCTCATCATTGCGACTTTTGGCCTCTTCTTCGGATTGAGACAATTCGGTGAGTAGCGCATAGGGTCATCCGCTCTGGAATGGGGCACTACACTGACGCCCTCAATTACATCGTTACAGCCAACCCCAACCAACCAAAGACCATGACGAAGGAGTACCAAGAACAATCCAACGAGCTGGCTCGCCAACAGAACCAGAACCCAATCACCGGTATCTCTTCGGAGGGCTACAAGGGCGAGGGACACGTCCAGAAGGTGAGCATTGCGCGATGTGCGCGTAGTATGCACGGTGGCATACTGACTCGTCTGTCTGCCCGCCTTACCCTCACTTCACCTCTTAGTCTTATGTCTGAGCGACGACCTTCATTACTACAACTGGACTCGATCAAGCCGAATGCGAATGCATGTCATTCTAATCAACGTGGTGGCGCGGATGGCATTGCCAACGCGGAGAGTGCGAGGGACAGAGCATACAGATAGACGATGCTTAGAAATTGATGCTGGGCTCCTGGACCGATTGACTGGAGGCGTATCGGCAGGAAGACTGACAAAACAGAGCGATGCATCACATAGTCGAGCACGCTTCGCAAGCGTGATTAGTGCATTTGGAGTTCCAAGGCTTGCTTCATCTGGTCGCGTAGGCACGACCATCTTCCAACTTCTTGCGAAAGACGAGAAGCAACTTTTTGATGCGATGCGGAGATTGAGCGACGAGATGCCACTAGTCAACTTGGGCCGAGCCCTGGATCGCATGTCTGTTGCTGAGATCGTTTGGACTCACATTGCCCGCACGAAGGGAGGTGGTCTGAATGAGCTCGAAGCCATTGGACGAGGCGAGCGGAACAACTTCGAGCGTAAGATCTCGTAGACCGTAGTCTGTATTCCGACCTTTGAGCACTTGATCGAACTACGCGCACGCCAGAGTTGGGTAGAGAGCTCGGGTCAGCTTGCGGCAGCGAATCGTTGACAATCTGCCGTTCGGGGCATCATGGTGACGAGAGCATCGGTCGAGTGCTTTTTGCACGGATCGTGTATGCCAACGAGGCGTGACGTACCTGAGAATTACCTTCGCTCGTGTGTTTGCCGTTTTCCTTGAACGCGCCATACAGAACCAGAAGTCCGCCGGGTGCGAGGAATGACTTGGGCATCGGTTGCTGATGTGTTCCCGAGCCGAACGACACGGAGTCGGAAGAGATTTCCTGGCCGAGCTGAGCGAAGATGCTTTCAGCTACATGCCAAGGAGCGATGTGGATGATGTTGAAGCACAGGACTATATCGAACAATGCGAGACCAGTCTCGGCAGCCTCGCCCTTTCGTCTTTGTGTCGTGGCGTTGCGCAACTGAGCCCATTCCGTCGCATTTGTCAGTTCCAACTGAATGGCTGGGAAGATGTTCGAGGTGCGGGATTGCTCGACGAGCCTGTCGATGCTTTGACACAAGTACTCGTCCGCCTCTGTGGGTTGAAAGGTGGTGTGCCGGCTTGCATCATGATGCACCGCTGCTGTGGAAGCCGCATCAGGCAGTTGAGACTGATGAGCAAAGTGACAAATGTGTTCGCCAAATCCGCTGCTGATTTCCAGTACGTGCAGCGCTGAGTTCGCTAGACCGACAGTTCGCCTGTTGCGTCTGCTATGGTCCAGTAGCTTGAGGAAGTGAGGCATGATATCTTGCTTTGTGCGCGAGGCGGAGCCTGGCTGACTCCACCTGTCTGGGTACTTGTACTTGCACACCTCCTCCTCCACCCTTGCAACTTCACCATGAGCACGCTGCTTCATTCTTCAGGTGCGAGTCTGACGTCCGGTATGAGCGCATTTGCGTTTGGATCGATCTCTATCATGAATGCTTGCTGGCAAAAGTCATTTTTGAGAGGCGGATGGGAGCGCTGTTGAGTGGTGGGTGGTGGGTGGTGGGTGCATGCATGGTGAGTGCTGCCCTCGAATGAATGCTCTTGTGGTGCCACCAAAGCGGATCTCCGCGGCGCTAAGACGGTGCGGCGCGAACAGCATCGGCAAGATGGCACAGGCTAGCTGCAAGCGCGTGGATCATCACGATTATCACGAATGATGTTGTTCCATAGCGCGGCATCCATTGTGATTGTGATTGTGATTGTGATTGCTGTATACGGTATATAGACGATTACGACGCTCAGAAGCAAACGACGATCTGTCAAGAAGCGCAACGCATCAGTCATCTCGTTCCCACGTTTGAGCAGGCAGTCGCGGCACCCGCGGATCAGTCGTCTTCGCTGTCCCACATCCGTCAGCGCTTCTTGCAGTCTTGGCTTGACAAGTCATAGCTTTGAACCCCGATACCTGCAGCACTCCGATCATGTGCTCTCGGTAGCATTGGAAAGTGACGACACGATTGAAAAGGCGGAGATCACTCAGCACATTTGGCCTTAGCTCGGCCAAAGATGTCGACAGTGCTGCCGAGGGCGGCACTTGAGGAAGCGGCCGACGACCGCGAGCAACCCTCTTCCCAAGCAGATCCAGTAGCAACCGTCCACAAGAGGCAAGTCAAGAAGCGCAGACGTCGAAATCCTTCTGATCCTTCCGAGGAGGAGCAGCGCAGCTCGCAAAATGGTACACAAGTCAAGCCCAGCACAGAAGTGTCTCGAGCGGACTCTCTGGGCGGTGCGCTGACCAGAGCGTTAGTAGGGACGCTTGCATTTGTGTTCAGAGCGCCGGTCAGGCTGTTTAGACCCGTGAAGCTCAGCTCTTGGTCTTTACTGGAGGCCATGGCCAAGAGGGATGGGAAAAGTCTGTCGCTGCGATATATGAGGCAAATCATCAAAAGAGAAAAGGTGAGCGCGGTCATTGACACGAACAGAGCAGGCCATGGCAAGCATCGCAACAGCAGCACTCGGCAACAGGTGGCATCCTGCAACATCTTGTCTAAAAGCCTCAGAAAAGGCCCTCACCGAAAGGCGGACAGGAAGTCTCGCGCTCGCTCACTTTGCATCTCGTCTTTGGCTTCCTGTGCAGGCATCTTTTCTACCGCATCTCCTCATCCCTCCATTACTAGCCAATACCGCTGTAGGCTTCGCTCTCTTCGAAGCATACACACTCACCGAGCAGAGCCTGCTCGACAGGAGACTAAAGAAGATCTCCGAAAGGGCGGATCGGCCGGCAAAGCGACCCGAATTCACCCCCCTTCACATCGTCTTCTCGAGTGGGTTCGTAGCGGGAGCTGCTCAATGCGTGGTGAGCGCCCCACTAGACAATGTCCGACTGGTGCTCTCATCCAGACGAAAACAACATGGCCTGGACGCGCATCGGCCTCACCTGATAAGGTGGAGAGACGTGGCTCGAGCTGCTGTCCTTCCTTTTGCCCCGGCCACGACGCACGAGCGGCTGGTCAACCGAGTCAAGGGTATGGGCAGCAGCGCTAACGGAACTTCGAGAGGGAATTCTTCTCAAGTCTGGTCCGCGGAGAATAGAAAGGAGTTGGAGAAGACTCTCAGACGTTGGAGGGGCGGAGTGCACGGAGCTGGACTGATTCTCTCACTCGCTCGAGACTCCGTCGGCTTTGCTGCCTTCTTCACCGTCTTTGAGGTCTCGCGACGATTGGCACATCGAATATCGAGGTCCATCGATCGTAGTATCGCATGTTTCAATGCATCTTCTGCGTTGCCTAGCTCGGCTGGCGTTGAAGTTGCTTCGACCGGTGATACTAGGACGCCCTCCAACCATGCCTCTCAAGACGTTTCTTACTCGGGATCGAGGACAAAGACGGGCCGCATTGTAGCTGCGTTCATCCTCATCGTCGGTGGTGCAGTAGGCGCCGCTCTTTACGAGCTGGTCGGAAGACCTGCCGAGCTGATGCGTCTCGTTGTGTGGGAAGGGCGCAAGGCTTGGGAAGAAGGTAGAAGGAGCCGTAAAAAAGGCAGCGGGACAACACATAGAGGGGCTTCAAATCTTTCCAAGAGACGCACAGGAGCTCAACTTGGCGGACGGAGCAAAATCGTCGGCGGTCGAAGACTTGCAAATCGCTTACAGGAAGAAGTTTCGAGGGTGACACGGACAGGTGGGAGACTATCCAGCTATCTGGATCTAAGAAGAAGAAACTCCGCTGGTGTGAGCGCCAGCCGCGTGTTTGCGTCTCGACTGCTGAGCCGACCCGCTCGAGTCAAAGGACGCCGGACGAAAAATGCGAGCTTGACCAATCAAGTTTCGGATGGGAACATTTGGCGACCCAAAGCGCCAATGGTCGCAGACCATTCACATGGCCGTCGGCGTCCTGCTTCGTCCATGCCGAAGAACCTGAACCGCCTCGCCATCAAACCAAGACCTGCGCGGCCTTTGCATCAAGCACCTCCGCCCCTTTCAACTCGTCCCACAGCAATGTCTCTGCTGGTAGAGCACGCGGAGCGCACAAGTATCCTAAAGTACACCTCGTCTCATCGCTCCAGCACGACGCCCGTGCCGGTGCCCATCTTGCTTTTGCACACATACTTCATCGCGCCTTTTCTCGCACTCTCGTCGCCGTCCACTACCGGCAGCGCACCTTTGCAATCGCGATTAGGCACAGACACATTGTCAAAGCGCACGTCCGCTTCTAGACGCGCTCCTGTGGGCACGTCTAGAGAAAGAGCGCCGGAGAGAGCTGTGAGGGAAAGGTGGACGTTGAAAAATCCGGTTGTTGCCGCTCCTGGGAGTCTCAAGAGCGCAGTGACTGCCAGGAGCTGGGGTTCTGGACGCGTGGCTTGGGCTCTAAGAAGAGTGAGTGCACCGCCGTTACGAGACCGTTGCGGTGATTGACGCCTTCATATCATTGCATCCCTCGCCGCCGGCATTTTTGCTTCCTCCAGCTCGCTACACCGTGAGTGGATATTGACGTGCAATGCCCCTTTCCAAAGCCTGGCTGAGCAACGACCTCTCTCTCTCTCTCTCTCTCTCTCTCTCTCTCAGATATGGCATTGGCTTTCTCGCCTGGGCTTACGTCAGTGGAGATATTTGAAATCCTCAAACGCAAAGGTATGTCAAGCACCGTTTGATTCAGTGGTGCTCCTCCTGGTGCCACTGTTCAACATCGCACCTTGTATAGACGGACGCTGCAACTCTCCCCCCGTTCATGATGCCCATCACCTCCACGAGCGTGTGAGCGTATGTTGTTGAGGTTTCATGACACTGCCAAGGAAGGTGAAATACACGCTGTGCCCCTTATGCGACCCAAGCGCGCGCAATGAACTCGGAAAGACCGATGTCGTCTGTGGAAGAAGGGCAATGGAGCCGGGCATGAGCATGGAACCTTTCGAAGGAACCACATTTCGTCATCTACACTCACTGGTGTTGAGCTCTGCCAGGTACAGCAAGAGGTGGGGATGCGAAAAGGCACCTGTCAGTACTCCTTCTGACTTGCACGATCCGGCTGAATATGGGCGACCTGGTATCATGCGAGGCCCGCGTCGCCCTCCTTCCCGAGGTCTCCCATGAGATCCATAACGACCACAGCACGCTGAGCACTCACCGTAAAGTCCGACCAAGCTGGCTACTGTAGCAGCGCGAAGAGTCCAAGAGACGGTAGGGCCAATGACGGGGAACTTCCTCTTGTGCAAGTAATCCGCAATGATGCAATCGAATCCGATGTGGGAGTGCACGATGAGGGACACTGCCAGTGCGCCATCCAACAGACCCGAGCTACCATGCTTGACCATGCCAGCTGCTACGATTGGCAGCAGTGCTACCGAAAGTCCTCGCTCGAACAGCCAGTGGTAGGAACCGTGAGAGGGGGCGGGAGGTGGGTAGGGAGTGGGATCGTTGACTGTGCCCTTGATGTATGCTATCGGATAAGCGCCGATGTGCAGCGTCAGTAGCCTGCCGCGGAAGAGTCTCCGCAGCTTGAGCAGTTTCATGTTGACTCACAAGTGGCAGCGTTAGGCTGCGCAGCTTGAGCTTGAGTGGGTTTGGTCGAAGATGCAGCGACGGCACGGCCTAGGTGCGGTCAAGGAAATATAGCATCAGCATCACGGTCCACTCTTTCGGGCGTGATGATCCATATGCATTCAGCCTTCCGATCGTGGGCTCCATATTCCCAAGCCTTCCTCAATCCTTTGATCGTGAGCCTGTTACCGCGTCGTGGTGACTCACCGGATGAGAAGGCTCGGGCGCCCGAGGCCATCATGCGAAGCTGCGGATTGGAGCCCAACATGCTGAGCTTCAGCGATGTCTGACTGAAAGCCATCGTGCTCTGTTGCTGTGGGGGAAACAAGGATGCTCGAGGCTCTGACGACTGCTTTAAACCGAGAGTAGTGCCTCGAGACGATGACTTGCCCGGTGAACCGCGTTCGCGATAGGCTGGGCGCGCTCAGAGGTGTAAGGCGGCTGCAGAGTAGGCCAGGGGCTGCCGTGGACACCGGTGTGAAAGGACAAGGTGGTCGAACGGTTCACGAGGCTGAGATCGAGCGATGTAGTCAAGAGCAGCTTTCTCAAACCAGCAAGCCAGGCTTTCCCCGCATCGGTGCTGAACCACAATCACAATGTCACGGTCACGGGTCCACCACCTCGAGCTGCTATGTATGACTGACTGCTGCTGACACCGCGTCTTCTGCCATTGGCTACTCCTGCATGCAGCCTCTCCAGCGCGGACCGCACGCGCGGAGACCCCGGCTGAGAGTCGGCGTAGCCGGGTCTGGTCCATGTTGCGTGTGCGCGCACGTGGCTGCGAGCGTGACGCACAAGGGTCGGTCGAACCGTGGGAACTGCACGTGCCACTTGCCGCGAACAAAGCTCGCTCAAGCTGTGCCGATGTAAAGGCAAGTGCCTGATTCCGAGCAGCTGGGGTGCGTTCCCACTCCCTACACCTATGGCTCAACAGACGGGAGCAACGACAGCAGCTCGATCAGATGATGTGCTCATCATCCCTATGATTATCAACGTCTTCGCGCACGAAAGGACGACACAGTCACAACATCTTGGCAAAGCAAGCGAAAAGTCGCGCTTGGTTGCGTGACCCTGGTACATTGAAGGGCGAGGCTTCCATCTGCAACACCCCGCACTCCGACTCACCAGCTTGAGCTCATTGCTCAGGCACGTCATCAAAGTCACCCCAACATCACCAACACGCCATCTCACATCGTTGCAAGATGCCAGCCTCGTACCGTCGCATCGACACTACAGACCCTCGTCGGTTCGATCGAGTAGTGCCATTCACCTTGCCAGGCAAATGGGCAGACGACTCTCCAGATCTGTATGAGATGCTACTCAGCAGCTCCACTGTGGCCTCCGGAGCTGCAATGCTAACCAGACAGATCCCGGTCGCGTTCGTTGGAGTGGTGCTCAGTGCTGCGCATGTTGCGCATTACAAGCCCCTACAAAAGAGAAGAGAGGGCTCGCAGCAAGCTGGACCCTACATGGGACTCGGGTGAGTTGGGCGTCCCGAGGAGAGGAGCGCTGAAAATGCCATCCCTTGGCGCACACCAGCGTATCTTGCTGCTATTCCGCTCGCAGGACACGCGTGCTCACACTACCTCATTTCAAACTTCAGTTTTGCTCTCATCGCCCTGATAGTGCTCATTTTTCAAAAGGTGAGCCGAGAGCTTTCTCTGTACCAAAGCATAGCGCATTCGCTCATTCGAGGGCTGCCTCTTTCTGAAAGATGATCGGCGCGCCTGGCTTCGGTCAACAATTTCTGGCACAGCAAAAGCTGAAGGCTACCTAAAGGCGCTTGGCACAGTCACGCAATGGGATTTTCTTGTCACTTTCGCTCAGCCTGGGCTTGATACTGCTTCCAATGGTCTGATGGGCAAAGCGTACATCCCACGCGTGCTCACTCCTTCTGAGGCTGTGCCTCTCCCAGACCTTCGCTGATCTGTTTCATAGCAGGTCTCAGAGTAATGAACCAGCGACTCTGACATGAAGAAGCTGAAGGAATAAGCGGCCAGAGCACCAGATCGACGATTCACCAGCGTCGAACTCACCTTGATCGATGTAGGACTGCGCCCCATCAATTCGGCCAGCTTGGCTTTTTTGTGCTCGGGAAAGGCGGGTGGTTGATCGTCCAGAGCCATGAAGGCGAGTAGGAACTTGCGATCTGCAGGGGCGGGCATGAGTGTAGGTGAGCTACAGCGTCAACACGATGGGGTCCGGCTCAAGGTCTTGTTCCATCCGTCCGGGAATGACAGCCCAGGTCTCCTGCACGCATGACTGCTCACCATCCTCTGCGCTCCAAGCCAACTTGTTCTCGCCTTTGCCTTCTTTGGTTTGCTTGGTGGGCCTATCAGGCGGCGCGTCGCCTTCACTTGGTCGTTTGGGTGGCATGTTGAATACAACCTTGGTGGGTCAAAATTGTGCAGAAGTGGTAGGAACGACGTCTTACGATCTTGAAGGCCAAAGTAGAGCTGATGATGAAAAGGAGGGAGGAACGCGCCAGGGCATGGATGCCAGCATCGGCTACGCGACACCGAAGGCTGAGCTGAGGTCTGCGGGTCTGATTGAAGCTCATGCTGCATCAAGCCTGGGTGTGCAAGCGACTCGGCCGCTGAATTGACCGGCTCTGCTGATTGATGCCTTGGCGCGTTGCGTAGAGCAGTGAGTCTGAGTGCACACTTGCCATGCAATCGCAATCTAGCCTTTTGCAGCAGCTGCATGCAAAAACTCTCTGACAAGCGAGCGCGCGGGCATCCGAATGCAATCAGTCAAAGTCCTTCTGTTGAGTCCAACCACATTCGACCAATTAGGCACGCCGAGATTGGACCCTGGGTATCGTAGACTGCTTCATCACGTTGACCCGCTCTGTCATGATCAATCAAGTCTTAGCACACGATCCTGTCGGCCAGGCGAGGCAAAGTCGTCATCTCGCAAGCCTTCAAGCATCGAGTGTGGGCCAATCACAGTGATGAGGGGCGAAGCGAGCTGGTCAATCTGTGATGAGCTGGTCATCTTATTCCAGCACAAGGCTTTGCTGCGCTGTTCGTCTCACGCATCAAGAAGCACTTCTGTTAGTGAGCCCACCTTGCGTCCAAACCTTCTGACATAGAAGACCGCACCCTACCTCCGCACATGTATTAGTCCATCCAGCATCTCTTCCACCATCAAAGTCCTTGCTGACCCACCAAATTGACACCATGCCACCGAAACGCAAAGGTGTCGACGCTGAGGCTTGCCCCTCAGATACTTCTCAAAGCGACCTTGGCGAGGCGCTCTACACTTCAAAGGTTGCAAAGGATGAAGACGATGACTTGAGCCCTTCTGATTCGAAAGACGAGGCGGATTGCAAGCCCTCGCCGCCCAAAAGGAAGAAACTCTGCAAATCGACCGAAAATGGTGAAGGTAGCCGAGCAGGTTCAAGGCCCGCTGTTTGGAGCGAAGCTGACCGTGAGTCGAACCGCTACGAAGTAGGCGCATCGCCTGACGATGTCGCACACCTCCATTCGCCTCTACGTTTACGCTTTCGCCCCTCTCAACCTCAGAAATCACAGCTCTGTACCTGATGCTCGGACTGGATGGAGACCACACGTTGACCAAACGCAAACAGACAGTCATCGCGAATGCTCTTGGACGCTCAGACAAGGCGGTGGAGGTGGGTCGGCGCTCTTGCACGTCGGATTGAATGAAGCGGTGTACTCACCGAGACATTCAATTTTTGAATGCTTGCTTTGCAGCACTGGTGGAGTAAGTGGAGCCTGACTACCTCTGGGCTCGGGCTTCGGCTCACATTACGTACTTTCACTGCAACGAGCAGACACCAGGACGAAGAAGAAGGTCGCCGAGACTGTCGCACGCTTCGCAGGCAAGTGGAGCAATTTCCACTGATCTTGTAAGTCAGACTTGCTTCGAATGGCGCCCGCCGCCGATCACAGAAAGCGCTCTTGACATCGTGTCTGATCTCTTGTCAACGTACACAAACCATGGCGCACTTCCAAGAATCGCGAAGAGGACGGGCTTCGTGACGTTACCACGAGCGCACCTATTGCATTCGCTTCCCTCTGACGTGATGGAGATGTAATGGTTCTGGAGGAAGATGAAGATGTAGTGGCTCTGAAGGAACGTGGCCAAGCGAAGCCTCATAGAAAGGATCACCTCGGCAAGACAAAGTTAAAAAGCCCGCCGAAGCATCAGTCCACTCGGTCTCGAACTCAAGGCATGCCGAATCGATGCATGTGCCTCGCATAGATGTACTTCGAGGCTTGAACAAAGAGGCCACAATAGAGAAGCGCTTTTGACTCATGAGTTCGCATGCCACTCTCGATGCTGAAATTAGACTGTGGGTGGGCTGATGTGCTTCCAGTCTCTCAGATTGCCGCCGCGCAGCTGGGTGCGCACGATTCAAGAAGCGATGAATTGTCATCAAAGTCATCCATTGAGATGCGTCTTTCGATTGGATGATCTTCACAGCATGCAATTCGAGGGGCTCGATGATGGACAAAAGCTGCACAGCTATTCTCGTCGCCTGGTCTTGCTTGACACAGCGCTTGTGATGTGCGACTGTCTTGGGTAGCGTCGATCCTCGGCGTTTGATTCGAGCTTGTCGGTGAGTCGACAGTCTCGATTTGAGAGCCCGGGTTGATTCTAGGCTGCATCGATATTTTTACTCTTGCTGGCATTCTCGATCTCATCGATGACCTTCTGCAAAGCAGGTCTGAGCACTTTCTTCCAACGGTGCTGGTGATGCCCAAAGAGGCGCAAGCTTTTGTCAGCAATGCTCCAGAAAAGCTGTCACCCCTTCTGATACGCGACTCACTTTGACAGCTTCCTCGCTGCGCTTCGAAACGAGTGTCATTGCAGCTCTTTTCTGATCATTGAGTACTGGCATGTTGCCATCCGAAACCAAAAGGGCAAGAAGCAAATGCTGGTCTATTGGCGGAGCAAGATCCGTGTCTATTGTAAGCATGCAAACTCTTGCACCGCATACTTCTCTCTGTTGCAGGATGCAGTTTGAAGCTCACCTTCTTGCTCAGTCCAGGATGCTGGGGCAGCCTTGCCCTTCTTGGGAGTTGAAGGTGCGCTGGAAGGAGTCGGAGACGGACTGCGTCGCTTAGGAGCCATGATCTCCTCCCGTTAAAGTATGCGTATAGAAGAGCCGCGGTGCGCCGCTGTATAACAAAACTTAAATCGCCAGTGATGAAGGCCGGGATGGAGGTTGAGGGGCGCTTCGTCGGCGGTGGAGTATAAAGGCGGTGAAGCATAAAGCATTCAAGATCCTACTCGGCAAGCATTCAAGATTCTACTCGGCAAGGATGTGTGATGGAGCGAGGAATCATTTGACTACGCGTGCCACAGAAGAGGGCGGCGCGCTGCAACAGTCGCAAACACGAGTTACGAGGCGGTGCAATGGTGGATGCATGGCATCGCCGGCCTCCTTCATCATTCTCACACTAATCGAGAAGGGTTTACTATAACAATTGTCGTGAGCCTTGAATCCTCATCAAGCACCGCCTACACACTCACAATCACCAGTCGGAGATGGACGCCATGCAGGGCATCCACCTCTATACGACTTGAAGCCAGAACTTGCTGTCCATGCACGATTCATCACAGCCCAGGGTCAATGCATGGATTGATGATTGTGTCTACGCGGCCGCGCGCTTCTACAATTTGAATGTGAATAGCGCGAGCCTGATCTGCCACCGCAAAGCTTAAACTCGATTGGGCCCAAGGTACATCAGCTTGACAATTTGTATCAAGGAGCTGCCTGATCAATGCAGCAGTCACGAGTGGCTACCAGCACAAATTATGGCGCGTCTGAGACACAAAGCAATTCGATCGTAATTCACCTTCCGTGAGGCGCTCTCGATCCAGGCATGCATGCGCTGACTGGCCCGAAGCCTGGCGCTCCGCCGACAAGGCTGAGATCGTTGGGAGCAGCGCATGCTTTTTATGTGCATGTAAACATGTCATATATCTTTGATGGTGAGAGATGGAAGAACGAGGACAGCTTCGAGCCAAGGAAATCGTGAATGTTTGCCAATCGTGAGGTTGAGTGCCAAACTTTACTCCCTGCTGGTCGAATGACGCGCTCTCGTAGTCACGAGTGTGAGTGGCCCCTATCGATTCTGCTCTTCTGATGAGCGCCTGCAGGAACTCTTCCTAGACCTCACACTCGCCCATTTATTGCGCTTCTATTGACCAAGTTGGAGTACACGTACGCAAAGACCTCCGATCATCAAGCATCCTGACGTTCCGGCGCTCCTTCATCCGCATGGCGACCACTAGCAAAATGCCACCTAAACGCAAGACCAACACCGCTCCGGTTGCAAAGCGATCCGACTCTGACATCGAGAGCGAACTTCCCAATGACAAGGAAGAGAGCGGGGGACAGAGAAGGCAAGAGGATGACTTTGTGCCTTCACCTAGCGAGAGCGAAGATGGGGATGCAGACTTCAGACCTAGCGCTTCGAAGAAACCTCGAGCTCGTGGAGCTGGAACTGCAAGCGCTACCGCTTCGCCTAAAGCGAGCGGCAAGTCGAGCGCATGGAGCGAAGCCGATCGTGAGCCCCTTTCGGCAAGATGACCAGAAATCCACGCTGAATCTCACTGACTGTCAAGAATGTCGACAGACAATCTTGCCTTGTCATTGATGCTAGGCCTTTCAGCAGACAATAATTTGACTAAGCAAAAAAAGGAGGTCATCGCAAAAGCGCTTGGACGAAGCGACAAAGCAGTGAATGTGAGTAATGAATCAGCAGCGATCTACCTCTCCCAAACATTGCCAGATACTGACTGGTGGCCGCTTCCTGCGTACGACTAGTTCTGGTGGCGTAAGTTCACGCCTGACGACACACTTTTGCTACATGGCGCTGCTTCTAACAAGCATAGCCAAGAACCTTGCCCTCGCAGATGGTAAGACACACAAGCAAGTGATGGAATTGGTCGCACGCTTTACCGAAGGCAAGATTGGGAAGTAAACGTTGGATGCGTGAGTTGGGAGTCGCGACTTCGTGCCTTGCTCGCAGCGATCGGCTGACCGTCTCATCAATTCGGACGCCAATGTAGCATCAAACGATCAGGTGTAGCGTCGTTTAGGTCATCCACGAAAGTCGAAGTTGCAGAAGGCAGAGCTCGGGATGGTAGGCACCATTCCGCTCACTCCATGTGTTTGCCAATGATTCGCACGTTTCGCCTTCCTCAAACTTCAAGCCTCCCATCGTTCTCTCTGCCGCGCAAATACGTTGCACTATCCATAAAAGATCGTCTCAACGTTTCTGTAGTACCATTTACCATTCAATTCGTGGGGATACTGGTGACTGAGCGAGAGCAGCATTTACAAACAGTCGGTTCATTCCAAGGAGTGTCCGTGGGCCACTTGATGCTGGAATGGCATCATGATAGACCTGCAAGATCACTCATCACCCTGATCCTGTTCCTCGACGACTTTACCTTCAAGTTGCTCGATCATTTTCTTGACAGCAGGAATGACGACCTTCTTCCAACGTTGCTGATGAAAGGGCATGCCTACGTCAGAGTGATGGCCAAATGCGCGACTACGCATGCGTGAGACAAACTCACCCTGACCGCCTCTTCGCTTCTCTGCGTAGCAGATGCCATGGCGGCTTTTTTGGCTTCGCTTAGAGGAGGTGCCTGGCCATCCGCTGCGAGGTATGCCAGCAGCAAGCGACGATCTGTGTCGAGATGCCACGAGCAGACAAAGGCATGAGCGCGAACAACAAGCAGACTTCCCCAGGATTTGGTCTTCTCTGGCGCCACCTACCTTGATCATCGGTCCAGGAAGATGCGCCTGCTCTCCCTTTCTTGGGTGAAGAAGGAGCGCTTGAGGATCCTCTGTCGAGAGAGGGAGAGCTACTGCGCTTTTTCGGTGCCATTGTGCGTGTTAAATGATGCTTGCACGATGCTGTGAATGGTGGTGCTTTTGGGGCCCAGCTTGGTCTGGAATGGGAGCATGACCCTTTGAACCAAGTTCTTTTGGCTGAACAAGAGTATGCAGGTGCCTTTTTGAGGCGACAAACAGACAGACAGGATACACGCTCGCTCTAGGCGGGCCCCTTTGCGCTGGCAGGCCAGCACTTGATTCTTTTGGCAATGTGGACGACTTGTCTGGCGCACGGCGCGTGACTAGCTCTGATTGGTGATTGTCTAGGTCGCTCCACCCTCGTTATGGGGTGTCATAAGCGTAGGCCGCTGCGACTCACGACTGGGGCTTTGCGCAGCCCAGCCGGCTATACGTTACTTGTCATCAGCGATGTCCAGTGCTGGAGCCTGCACCAAATTATTACCGGCCACGTCTATGCCGCGCTGTTCATTCACGATTCCTGAGACATTCGATATCCAGCATAGATATAGGTGCTCGTCATGCGTTGGAGATTCACGATTCGTGGCCGACTCGATCGCGCCTTGATTGCTGGAGTACTCTCCGTCCCTGCATGCAGCGACGTGTACAGGTGCACCCTTTGTCAGCTTGCAGTCAGAAGAGTCTCCACTCGTGATCGTACGGCATTCGCGATGATATATGCCTTCCTAATGCCTTTGCTTTGCTTTCGCGCAGACATCAGGAGCAGACTTGTTGATGAGACAGACATCTGAACGGCTTGGTGCAGACGCGTCCCTGCTGATGAAGCTTGCTCTCGCATCCAGACGCCCGCGTGTGTCTATTACATTTATGTACCGGTACCGCCCACACGCAGCGTACCGCCGCAAGAATCACAGCAGCTTGTCTCAGAATCACGAATCACGAATGCGCTTATCTACCGCCAAAGCAGTCTGCACACATCACAGCACCGTTGTTTGCTTAATTGCAAGCGTACAGCAGCAGGCTAGACTGAGCGGAAGGGCGCATATTCTACATCTGAATCAAGAATGCGTGAGTTCATGACGTACACCCACGTTCAGCCTGAGTTGCGAGTGAGGTGCATGTGCGATTCAAAGAACGCGCTCACTCTTGACTGTGCTGATCTTGAGCTGTCCACGACAAAACACACTTTGGCGTGATCTTAGCACGTGAGACATGTGAGATATGTTAGCGCACGAACCTCTTAATTGAAGTCCCCTCAGATTGGCTCCTGCGTGCTTGGCATGAATGCTTCTTGCGACCTGTACCCAAATCGTCGGCGGTCTTCCAGGCTCATTGCCAGTCGATGATCGGTCACTGCGATTTGCACCCCGTCTGCAGTAGCTACAATACTGACCAGTCCTTCGTTCCGAGCACGCCTCTTCTCTCTACCGCACTCACCACTCCTCTTCTGCGACCAAGTCATTCATCGTGATCCACCAAACATGCCTCCCAAGAAGCGCCCCCTCACGCCGTTGACCGACGAAGAGCTCTCTGAAGACGACCCAGTGACCAAGGGCAAAACGACTTCTGAGCGCCACTCGAGCATGCAGCAAGATACAAAAGAAGGACAGGCATCCGTGCCAAGTCCTGCACCAAGCGAGTCTGAGGCGAAGCCTGCCACACCAAAGAAAAAATCTCGATCGACGCCAGGCACTCCAGGTCGTGCAGCAAGCGGCTGGACTGAAGGTGAGAGTGAGTCTGCATGGATATCGTGGGACAATGGCACGGAGTGGAGCTTGACATGCGATGCGTTTGCTTCAGCTACGCAAGGCTTGATGCTCATGCTGCTCGCTAGCGGCAACCTCTCGCTTAGCAAAGACAAGAAGGCAACCATCAGCAAGATGCTCGGTCGCAGCGAAAAATCTGTCGAGGTGAGTCACAGTATGGATCAAGCATGGCGATCGTGTGCGCCACCCAAGGCTGCAAAAGGACTGAAAGCCTTTTTCCCCATCTTGTGCCTTGCACGGGCAGATGTGGTGGAGTGAATGATGAAGAGTGTGCCTCGGACAGCTACAATCAGGCATACTGACACCAAGCCAATGTATTTGCGTCGCCGTCACTTCGCAGATGGCAAAATGCGCAAGCTCTTGTCAGAGCTGGAAACTCGGATCGGCAAGGAGTGAGGGCTTCGAGTAGGATGAGATTCAAGTCGTGAGTGTCGTAGGCGGCAAGTCTCATTTCCGTCAAGTAGCTTTCGCGCCTCTCTTCGCTTATCCACTACAACCGTGTGTTCAGCAGGGGTCAACGTCCCTACAATACATTCCTCGACATTTGTCAGCTTCCTGGCGTCGGCCAGAGAAGCCGCCGACTTGCGAATGCAAGCTTTCAGAAGCGCATACCTCATACCTCATACCATCAGCAAATGACCCTGTCGCATTCATGCTCATAGGAAGGCCCGCCTGATGTAGTCATCCCACCTCCACATGTTCACCATGCAAGGCATCCGGCTGCCTAGTGTCGCATGACCAAATGTCAGCCAGCTCGATGCTTGGATACATCTTCCTGTCGTGCTCTACATGATGCATGAGTCAGAGTCTGAACGCTGACGACGTGAGCCATCCACTCCACTCCGAGAGTGAGAAGACTTCCGGATAGGTCGCGCGGTTGGGAAATTGATCTGTGCGCTTCGAATGCATGGCTGAAGCAGGAAGCTCTGCTTCGCGCTTGACATGCGGAGTGAGCACGTTGATTGTGCTCCATTCTGAGTGAGAGCTGACGCCGACGCAGGGGCGACAGTATCGGATTGCGCTTCGCCTGTGTTAGCGCCCTGCAGACACCGATTACGAAGGCAGCGCGACTCTGACTGTCTTTTACGATTACGAGTCGCGTTTGGGGCTTTGGGCGGCTGTAAGTGGCTGAGCGCGCAACTGCTTAATTGCTAACTGCGCCGGTGGATGTTGATGTCGATGAGTCTATGTACGTGCTGCGCGTGCTCGCCATGCTTGTCAATGCTCTCAATCACCCGCATATTCCGAGCAATGATCGTACTGCTGCCGACCACTCAGACTCACCTACGCAGTACACACCAAGTCGCCAACTGGAAAGCCCTAAAGACACTCGATCACCGCACTGTCATCATCGACCATTCCATCAGACCATTTCATCAGACCAATCAACATCATGCCGAAGGAAGAGCCACTTTCCAGTCCTGCAAAGCGCGCTACGCCATCAAGTCAACCTGCTTCGCCTTCTAAGCGAGTCGCTGGAACCAGTGGAGGAGGTGCAGGGGCCAAATGGACGTTGGAGGATAGTAAGTCCCGATAATCATGACTCCTACTCGCTATCCTGACCATTGCTGAAGCTCGTAGCCCTTTCGTCTTTGCAAGAATACACACTCGTGCTTGGACTGTTGCACCTGAATAACGCGGCCAACCTGCCCGAAGCTCAGCGCACCGAACTCGGTAGGCTGATCGGCAAGACCCCCTCTGCAGTCAGTGTAAGTGAATGAGGCTTCAATGGTATCCGGTCGTATGTCTGCGCCAGATGGAAATTTGATGCTGACGCCTTGACCTGCCTGCTCCGCTTCCTTCTCCTGCAGACATTCATGTGTGAGTGTGAATCACGGAGGTGCTTGCCGTGGGCTTTACCTTACACCGATGCCCACATCCCAAACTCTAGACCGTGGACTTCGACAAGATATCGCCAAGCTGGAGAAGAGCTTGAAGGATCAAAAAGGAGGAGGAGCAAGCTAGAATGAAGCCGCAAGCGGCCAAGAGGTAGGAATCTCTTTGACACTCGCGAGTGCGCGGTGGATGCATCGCTTTTGCGTGCGATATGCATGCGTTCTCCAACCCCATGCACGACGTCTTCACGATCACTCACACTGTGATTCGACTGCGCGTGTGACTTGATCGCCAAGAGTGTCGCAAGTGGGCGCTGATTTCTGTGATCAGCATGATCCACCTGTGAGCGATGCAAGCTATAGGCAGCATCGTGGTAAGCTCCCAGCGATCGTAGCTTTAGGTAGTCAGTCACATTCACATTTGTGGATGTGTTTCATCAGCATGATTCGGCGCACGTGCGGGTCACACACGCGCGGCGCGACGCGAATCATGAGTAGAGTTTGCAGCAATCGTGAATCCATCGTGGTCAAGGTGTGGTCGAGCGCCGCGCCAAGACCTTGCACGCTCCCCTTCCTCTCCCCCTCTTTCCCGTGTTCGCCGATTGAATATCAACTACAGCGGGTTCGGTAGACAGCACATCACCCAATTCATCTTCGACAAGCTTGCTGCACAATAGCGACTTGCTTGACGCTCGAAATTGCCTTCATTGTCTTCTGCTACCATCCCGCATGCAAAAAATGAGCAGTCCACGAAAACGAGTCAAGGAAGAGCCGAGTTCCGACAAGGATGGCACCCAGGCACCGTCGACTCCGTCCAAGGTGGCAAAGGCTCCTTCCAGATCAGGAGGCACCTCAGCTCCCGGCACGCCCAGCAGGTCCAAAATCGACGCAGGGCTATCAGCGGTTTGGTCCGTTGAGGAGCGTGAGTAGCACGAGCAGCGTGCCTATCTGACAAACACGTGCTGACCGCGCTCCACTGTGCTGCTTCACGCGCGAATCACAATGGCAGAAAGACGAGCGTTGCTGGCGTACATTGCGCTCCAAGGCAGTTCGGGCATGTCGCGCGCCAACGAGGAAGCGATTGGCAGACTGCTTGGCCGCAGTGATCGCTCTATCCATGTAGGTAATCGGGATGGCCTCAAGGGGAATGCTTGATTGCATTCACACCTGGAGCGCTCGGAGTATTTGCAGCGAAGAGACATCCGGCATGCAGGATTCTCGCTTACTCAAAGTTCCCCGCGCTGCCTCCATCTCTTCTAGAATTGGTGGCGTGAGTAGCTCAGCAGGAGTGGATCGGGGCCATTCTTTTGCTGACTTTCTGATGCTAATTGTACGCCAGTCAAGATCCGCAAAGAACTGTCGCAGGTGGAAGATGAAATGAAGGCGGACGCATCCAGTAGCTCGAAGAAATGAGCCGAGCACGAGTAGGAAGCAGCGATCACTTTCCGACTCAAATCGGCGCACAAGAGCACAATGCATGGCACTAGTGGAGATTCTTGGCCGGTGACTTGTAGGTTCTGCTGAGATATGTAGAGAAGGAGCCAAGGGTACTATACGATAGGCTGGAGACGCGCGTCGCTGGGGTCGAACTAGATATGGCCCTTCGATTGTCCGCAAAGGCGGTACAAACCTGAACAATTGCCCCTGTCAAGGTTGAAGAGGAGCCTTTGGAGCGACAGGGCTATTTTCCTCCCATCCCCAATCGAAAGGCTCCTGTGCTTGACCTGCATTCTCGACTTTGCCACCCTGTTCCTCAATCGATTTTGGCGCCTTTGCCGAGTCCGGCGCTGTTGCAGAATTTGAAGCAGGGCGAGACGAAGAGGAAGAGGAAGAACCACGTACATTTGTAGATGTATCGAAGGATTGTGAATGGAGTGAGGGGTCGGACGAGTCGGTCGCGTCGAAGTGATCGGGATCAGGCGAGGGAAGAGAAGAAGTAGCAGAATCATCAACATCCGGCTCTTTGTTGAGTAGTAGGCTATCCGCTTCCCTTTCGCCTCTACCGGGTGTGGTGCGCCTCTCATCAACGTACTCTGGTCTTGACGCTCCACTCGACTGTGTGGGCTGTGGATTCGGCCCATCGACTCGCCCCCTGTCTGGGCGAGCGCGCCTCACACTTCCTCGTCGAGAGCCGAGCATTGGCGAGCTGTCTGCTTCCAAAGATCCCTCTAGACCCTCCTCTGCGTCATATGTGGACAGTATTGCTTGGGTCTCGCGCCAGACAAACCTAGAAGAGGAGTGAGAATGAGTCTCAGCTTCCAGACGAGTTCTCCGCTGCCCATTCCAAGAACTTGTGTAGCAACGCCAAAGACTCACCATCCAGTGGCAGCTCCGATGGCACTACCTCCGAGGATGTATGCTATGTTGAGCATACGTGCGTGCCAGTCCAACTCTTGCCGTGCGCCGCTGTCCAAAAGCTCTCTTGTCCTCGCCCCTACAAAGCAGTGCAGCAGCAGCTTTGGAGTAATCATCGCTGTAGCTACGAGGAACTGAAAGAAGCTGACAGACTCCATCGACTGAGGGTGACGACTGAATATGAGCGTTTGCATACACGTCTACGAAACTGTTTGGTTCCGACTCACTGCAAAGAAGAGGTTTGAGTCTGAGGCCGAAGAGCAGGCGACCAAATCAGTGCCTGAAGCATTGCCGTGCAGTAGAGGTCGGAGTGCTGTACTCACAACAGAAGGGGAAGGGGCTGAAGCTGAAGCGCTCGAACGGGTCCGGGAATGGAGCAGCCGGTGAGCGCGAGACTGCAGGACGGACGGGGCTGCTACCGCTCAAGAATGTGGCTCCCACTCCAGCACTTACCGTATGAGCACCACCATGGCTAGACCCTTGTCCCGGATAGCGAGCTGAACGGCGTTCCACCTCCGATCATCCGTGACATTCGTAATGACTTGCCAACTCTTTCCAGGACCCTTGACGATGAATCTGAGCAGAGCGAAAGCAATGCTCGCCCCCAGCAGACATCCAACAGCGGCCAAAGTCCAAGCTTCAAAAAGGCCGTGCGTTCCCTTGGGCTCTATGGAGGCGGAGCCGTACGCCAGCCCGCAAAGCGTGACGGCACTACCGTATCCCGGAAGAGGAGGTATTGAGAGTATGACGAGAGCGCTCAGGAGATAGAGCTTTCCCTGGCTCGATGCAGAGATCTGACTTGCAAGGCCACCCAGCAACGAGGCAATCTTCTCTGGTCCTAGAATCAATGCCGTCAACGCCAGCCCTCCATACATGGCGCCCAATGCAAACACTGCCAACCGCGCTCTCAGAGTCGCAGCTTTCCACCATTCTATCGACGACTGAAACAGCCTTTGCGCGAACGCTATCCACCAACCAGGAGATAGCAAGGACCTGAAAGTGGCTTCACCGAAGCGGGAATTCGTGCCCGATCCAGCTGTACGCCAGGCGTGAGTCTGTTGTCGCCTGCTGGAAGGCATGTTCAGCCAGCTGAGAGACTTTGATTCGCGAGCCTGAATAATGCGGGGACCCTTGCACAGAGCGCTTCCTGTTGTCTAGCTTGGAAGAGGTTGGATGCTGGTCTTGTGATGCGCTTCTGTGCGAGCCTGATCCGCTCCGAGAACTGAAGCAGGGCCGTGTGCGGTGTGAACAAGCTTCTCCTTCTGCTGAAAATTCAGCGCACTTGATTGAAGCCAGGCTGAGACCCTCCAGGTGGTTGCAAGGCTAGGGGATGGTGATGGTCAACGGGCATGATAGAGACCGCTTGATGGCACCTCCGGCTCCAGCGACTCTGATGACTGCATGCGCTCCTTAATCGACAGGTGCGCGCTGAGCGTACTTGTTGCACCGCATGGCTCGAGCACCAGTGGGCATGCATGCGCATAGCTCGCGTCGACAACGTCTTTGCGCCCTTGCTATATACATACATGGCTCTCATCCACTCCTACCACCTTCTCTAACACCGACGCGCACAAGTGCTTGTTGCTCTGGTCTGTCGATGTGATCACTCTTTACTCCCCTAGCAAAAGTTGCGAGTAGATGAGCCAAGCGGAGAGCTCGGGTGCTGGTCGCTCGGCTGGCGCTGGAGGAAACAGGACCATCTCAGCGCTCTCGCAAGCAGTGTCACAACTATCGCGGACGTCGCGAAGCAGGCAGGATGGAGCGGGCTCAAGCTTGGAAATCGGCGAAGATGCGGACATGGATGCATACATTGGTCAGATGCTCTTGGAAGATGCCAGAGCTCGTGCAGAGGGGTCATCATTCAGAAACCGCACCTCAAGTTCCGCACCTTCTCAGGCTAGAGCTGCCCCAACCAACAAAGGCTTTCTCGCCAGAGTGATCAATCAGGTAGATGGTCACAACAGAGCCGTCTTGGCCAGGCAAGGCCACTCCGGTGACTGGTCCGAAGCAGAACAGAAGCACCTGCGAGACAGCACCAGTTCCAACTCTTCAGTGTGGAGGGCGTCTAGCAGAGAAAGAGGGGGCGAAGAACCCCTTCGCTGGGCAGACGTGCAAAACGACGTAAGGCGCAGAGGCAATCCACGCAAGGGAGAAGCGGGCATGTTGGATGCTAGGGAGCAAGAGTTGAGAGCCACATTGACACGACCGCGAGCGGGCGATGCCGGGAGCCCCAAGTCGGAAAATCTATGTGACGCTGCCCATGGGGAAAGCCAAGCTTCAAGTAGACGTCAGAGACTTGTGCAGCAAGACTCCATCCATCATCTACCCGATCTTCCGCGCGATGACGCAAAATCTACTCAATCCAGGCGCGGCTCACACCACCGAAGCTCGGATGCACCAAAGCACGACAAGGGTGACCGAGCCGCCCGTTTACCGGACGCTGAGCGCGAGCTGTACAGCTCCAAGATGGATCGCTACTTCGAGCCGGATTACGATGCCGCGCTAGATGCGACTCACGTGGGAGACGCAGGTATAGAGGATGCTCAAGAGGGCGAGATGCTTCGCGAGACGGGTTGGGAAAAGATGTGGGAGGTTGTCAAGGAGCGAAAAGAGCGAAAGGAGAAGGAGGAACGCGAGCGAAAGGAGCGTAAACTTGTAAGAGAGCAAAAGAGACGGAGGAGGTCAGAAAGGAAGCAAGACACAGAAACGCCGGTGGAGAAGGACAAGACGACACGCCATGAGCGCTCCAGACACGGATCCCATCGCGGTCACCACAAAGAGGGCTCTGAAAAGTCCGACCGCCATCTACGTGACAAAGAACACTCGTCGCGCCACGAAGCTGGCGAGAAATCAAAGTCCAGGCGCCATCGAGCCGCCTCGCCTGCTTCTGAATCCTCATCAGACTCACGAACAGCTAAGCGAAGCAAAGTGAGAGGGGCGCGACCTGCGTCGCCGAAGATAAGGGAGGGGGACACGGGCAAGCCGAGTGGGGTCTCTCCATTCCCGGCAAAAGTGAGAGAATGGGATATGGGAAAGAGGAGTCCGTTCTGAGCTCGCGCTGCTCTATCCGAGAGCGTTGCTTCAGTTGAACATTGACACTCAATGATCGCGAAGTCAACAATCAGCGCTTAGACTTTTCTAGCATAATGTACAACATCATACAGTCAGAAAATGCATCGCCACATACAGCGTGCAACGCGTTGTCGCGACTCAGCGCCGTGCATAGTATTTCCTGGGTCACGTCGACGGCCGACATGGAGATGGCAATTAGCAAGAAGAGAGAAGGCGCTATATTAGCAAGTCCGAGATTGTGTGTTGCGAGTGCGGTGCCCTTGTATGTTGGTGGGAAAGATTTCGTTGCGAGTGGGATCGACCGAGGGCGTCACCAAGACTTGCTTAAACTTCAGTGCGGAACCAGCTATGATACGATTCGATGCAAGGGTGAGGAGGTGCGCTCCCCAAGGTTAGAGAGAACGTCTTGCTACGAAAGATCTCAGCGATTCTTGGCCCAGACTCCGGCATCTTGAAAGGAAGAGATCATCTCCTCAAAGCCATTGTCGTCCAGCCTTCTAGCAGGCTTCCAGCCAATGACATTCTTTATCTTGGTGGTCTCGAGCGCGATGGCCCGTTGAGCGACGGCTTCAGTGTCCAAAAAGAGCGTAAAAGGCGTGCTCGTGATTTGTGTCTGTGCCATGATCTTTGCGATCATTTCGGAGTGCTACAAAGCGAGTGCCAATGCCTGCAATCAGCGCCAGCTGCAACCGCACACGCTTCATCTCATCGCTATCACTTCTCACCTTCTCGTTCATTTCATCTACCACGCTGCTCAAATTCAGCTTGGCCCAGGCATTGATGGCGGCATTGACAAAACCAGTTTCCACACCAAAGAACGCTCCGATGGCGTCTAGCAGCTTCTGTTGATTAGTGTCCTCATCATCCGCCACATTAAAGACCGGCACAGTGGGCACTTTGGCTCTTGGACAGCAGTTGGGTAGATCCTGATTCCACTCCACGTTCAAGCCTTTCCCTTTGTCGCTAGGAGAGATAGCTGGCAGCTTCTCTCCTGCTTGCGAATCTGCGGCGGCTCGGTCTCGTTGCGCGAGCCAGCGAGCCACGCTCCAAGCAGCGGTGCACCAATCTTGGGAGTGCAGAGTGTTGAGTCTGAGGTCTCCGCTCCATAAGATCTTGATGGGTTCCTTTTCTATCCTGTACACCTCGCCGAGCGCTAGTCTAGGCGGCAATTCCCCATGGTACTGAGCTGGACCCCAGACACCCGCAGAGCGCAAAATGGCGGCGGGCAAACCTTCGATGGATGCCACAGCTCGCTCTGCTTCGTAGTAGAAGTACGCTCGGGGCCCCTTTGGGAGTGATCGTTTGCTCACATCCGACGACTCTTGGATCAAGCCCTCGTCCACTTTCGACTTCCAAAAAGGCGGCGTATCCCTCACGTATGCTTTGACACCTGCCTTCTGAGCGAGAGCTGCGAGCGATCCTGCAAGCTTGACTGTGCGCTCAAGCAGAAGCTGGGCCGGCACGTCTGCGCTCATGGACGCGGGGAAACACGATGTCAGGCTTGCAAGCATCCTGGCCTTCCAATGACCCTTTACTCACCACTGCTTACGATCCCTTCCCCAGTGAGGTCGAATGCGAAGTCAAAGGGACCCGATGCACTCGGCTCAAACACGCGCGCCGCGGTGGCTACAAGGAAGGGGTGCAGCGATGAGAGACTTGAGACGAGTATTCACTGAGATTTGCGGACTTACCAGGGATGTTCAGATTCGCCTGCTGATACTCCACGCGAGAATCCGAAATGGCGGCGATGGTCGGAGGGTCAACGAATCTTTGAAAGTGGCCGAGGAAGGCAATTTGTTCAGCACGTGTGCCCCGGCGGCTCTCTCAGGCGGCTGTCACGACCTCCTTCGCGACTGCGCCGTGATGTCCAAGGGCTCTGCCGCTTTCCTTGCTGGACAGGCGCAGCTCAGACACGGCAGCGGACTCGCTCCTCTCCTTTCACGAGCCAGAGTGACTCGAGTCGACTCACGTGGAGCTGCCCTCCTTGGCGATCAAGAACTTGTCCACCATGCGGACATGCTTCACTGTCGGTCCACCCAACCTGGCCGGTTCATCCGATAAGAGCCAAGTGAGCAGCGGACGAGCCAGATGGGTTACACCGCCTAGGATGAGCACGTTGACCTCCGAAGGAAGCGAGTCTGTCATGATGACAGGTGAACAGCAGGCTGAGGGAGCGCGCCTCGTGGATTTGGAGAGTGGATATGCGGTGAGGTTATTCCGTGGTGAGGTGAGCGGATGGAGATTGGGTCCAGAGTGGTGGGACAATAGGAAAGAGAAGTCAGGGGAAGGTGGGGGATGTTGTGGGTGTGGTGAGCGTGAGAAGAGGTGATGGTGGTGAGCCACGTTGGGCTGTCTGAGTCGAAGCTCTTCAAGCTGTGCTGGTGCTGCGTGGAATGAGCAGCACCGAATGAGCGAGCATGCCGCCGCTGATCTCGACCCACGCAAGGCGAACCTTTGCGCATGATTGAGCGCGCACCGTCAGCACCGGCCGTGCGAGCGGCCCGAGCTTGATGCGCCTGCATGAAGCAGTCGCGATTAGACTTCGAGTGCGACTTTGGCGGTTGCGGGCAAAGCGACGCAGAAATTCATGAACAGCTACCCAATGGCCCCGCAGAGCCACAATGACAGCGAAAATTTACGATGGCTTGACGATGATGATGGCCCAAGATTGTGTGCGGAATCACAATCGCACGGAAGGAGCGCCCGCAAAGGATCTGAGCTGATTCGCCGACTCGACTCGGCCGCGCACGCAGAACGAGCATGAATCGTCACGGCGGGGTGCGCGTCCATGAGTCGAGCAGGCAGGCGAGTCAGAGAGTCACAGTCACGAGTACTACTACTGTCGAGATTGTGAGCTCGGTAGGTCGAGCCGAGAGGGATGATGCGCATAGGCGCATAGACGTGATATGCAAGGGGCAAGCAGTGCTCGCCAAACGGGACACTTTCCACCTTCTGGCTTGGGCAAAGCACAGCAGCGGACCATCAATCAACTAAATCGACACTCTTGACTCCTGGGGCGATGGCGATGCGACGGGTTCCCGAATTTCCGGAACGCATGCCTTTGGTTCCTGAAATCGGACTCAGACTCGATGCAGCTTGTCAATCAAACGCTGTACCGGTACTCACGATTTGGCCGCTTTCGCGAATCATTGCGAGCGAGAACATTGCTCGCTTCCTCTCGGCTGCTGCTATGTATGGCATCCGCACATCGGGACGCGAGCAGGCCATCAGGGTCCGGCGAAAGCACGGTTGATCGGAGCACCGGCACGGTATCACAAGCGTACCCTGCCGGACGGGCCACTTAGGCTGCAGCACGCGTTTGGTACTCCGATACGGTTACCGACTTTGGCTGCCGGCATTTTGCTGGTGCATCTTGTGTTTGGCGACTCGTGACTGTTGCCTTGTACGCAAATCTGGCCACTTCACGGTCATTCAAGCCGGCGGCTAGACTTTGTCGCGAAGCTCGTAGTAAAAAGTTGGTCGCATCGCCAAGCGCTGACATTCGCAAGCGACCAAATCTGGGACTATGAAGAAAGAACGTAGATGAATTTGACCAAGACCGTCTCGAGGACGAGCAATGGAAGGCTACAGTAAAATGAGCCTAGCAGTGTAGAAAGAGAACTAGGCTGATGTGTGTGGTGGAGCAAAAATGCGTGTGCATCACGGCAAGATGTGGCAGAGGTATTGTCCGAGTGATGAAGTAAGTCT